CGACGCCAAAACATTGCGTGGCTCATCGACCCGTTGGTCGCCTGCTGGCGGTGTCGACACCCGCAGGCTTGTTTCGGCCACGGCCAGTTCGGCGATCATCTACCTGTACATATTCGAGCTGATTTACAAGACGTCCATCAATGCGGAGCTGGCGATACACCACGCTTTGACAATCTTCGTTATCGCAAGGTAAGCGTGTGCGCTGTGTACACGCTGCGTACACGGTGTGCTTCTCGATTTGGGGCCATTCGAATGAGGATTCTCCTATAGCGGAGGGGGCTACGTTGTTCATTCATCATGCCGTCCAGAGGGCCACAGGCATCGCGCACGTGCGTGCGGCGATACGAAGAGTTCCAGGCCGTTGCGCCTTCGCAGGAAGGTCAGGTTAGTCGCCGCCCGCCAGCACCGAAGCGCGCGGCGCGAGCAACCCCGATATCCGACAATTTCATCATGCACGACACGGGGTGAACAGCTACCTACCTCCGGGGCTTCCGAGAGACGGCGAGGGAGACCACCCGAACATGTTGAACGGTCTCAATGTAGGGGGAGAGCTTGAGAAATCACAACTGAATGCCTTAGCGAGGCCGAGGGTAGCCCAACCAAGATTGCCACGTACCTACTCATCCCATACCAATACCTAAAAAAAACACAGCAGAGGTATGTTTCTTCCGGTTCTGCTCGTCACACTACTGCATCTCGTAGAGTCGTGACGATCACTGCGACTTCCCGTCTTGTATGCTGTCACCCCAGGCCCTCTTTACACCGCCTGTTCTCCCCGCCCTGCCACCGTTGCTGCTGTGTCTTGTACTGCCGGCTCTTTGGCCGACACCTTGTGGTCCCAATGAGAAGCGTTTCGATGATGTTCCATGACACCTACAATCCGGCGGCAGCCTACCCAGCGATCATGTTGTACAGCGCCATCACAGAACAGCCGGTGTTTGTTGCCCTGCTGAGGCACAGGTTTGGGCTCCCCTGCTGCCTCTGGTTCAGGATATCGGCCGTTGGCGGCGTGCTGACCAAGACCGTGGTATTCGTGTTGACGTGGGTGGTGCTAAAGAAAGCACTAGTCGACGTCGAAATCACCAACATTAGCGGCAACGGCTTCCCTTGGAAGCGGGCCATGATATGCATCGTTTCCATCGTGAACGTCGGCCTGTTCGTCGTTCAGTTGGTTAGTGTCCGCATATACATCATCTTGGCAAACAAGGCGAAAATAAGTCTTGCCCCAAAGGCAGGTCTGCCAACGGATCTGGAACTGGATCACGAGAGGATGGAACACACGTCTGGTTGTATCGCCGAGAATTGCTAAAGGGACGAGACTTCCAGCTTCCAGGCAGGGTTGTACGCAGTGGCATTCTAGAACACATAGCTTGTTGACGTGGTTCGATAACAATAGCAGCAACGGTTGTTGACGTGATACACAACAAACAAGCCCAAAGCACAAAACATTGAGTGCACAGTGCCGATCGCTTCGGGAGACATCGTACCAAGGGCGGCGGCAGCAGGGGTTCTTGGGGCAGAGTCCTTTGGGTTGCAGTAGGTGCCTCACGACGGTGACGTATGACGGTCAGTGTCTGTGGTTCGCGCTTGGGCTTTGTCCGATGGCTTCTTGCCGCCCACCGCCGCTGTCCTGGTCTTGTGAGGTGTGCTTGATAAAAAAAATGAAATCCTACCATATGGCACTGTTCGGTGGTTCGCACCGGCATGGGTTGTCCACAATTTGCTAACTTTGGTTGGAAGCGGTCGAGGTTCACGGGTAGTCAGAAGGTCGAATCCACCATCCGTCATTACACTCCTGCCAGTCTTTGGGTTGCCCCTCGAAATTCAGACATTTCCTCCCCTTCGTTTGTCTCAGACCCTTCGGGGTCGCGATACATGTTTGACATATTTTCGAGAGGTTATACGTTGAGGGCGCACTTTCTTGTGTCACGATGACCAACCAGCAGAATGCAGGGCTAGGGTGCCCGTTTTTACCTCCTCGCTGCGCGGGCGGCGGTCTTGATGTCAGAAAGTGTTCGACGTCCCATAGAGAGAAGGGGGTGATGTGTTGCTACAGTAGTCATTTACTACAACGGGCGAGAGTGCGGCCTGGTGGGAATCGGCGAGTAGGAAATAGATGCGTGATTCTATGGGAATATCGCACTGGAGACTCGGGTTAGGGGTAAGGACATGCAACCAGGCTTTTTGGTGCTGTTTGATCTCGATGAGGATGTCATTGTGCGTGTCCGACAGTGTGGCTGTGCAATGTGGAAGGTCATTTGGGGTGAAATTTATGTGGTGTGAAGCAGGCGGCGATAGCCTGCGCGACTGACAAAATAAGTGGTTTAGGTTGTTACAACAGTTAGCAGATCCATCCGTGTGTCTTTTGTTTTAGGATGGGTGCGTCATACGCATCGTCGACTTGCTGTGGGATAGAGAAGACAGGTGTGGCCAGTCTGGGAGTTACCAAAATCAGATGATCGCCGTGAAGAAGTTTGTTGGGCAGCTACAGTTCGGCAGTTGCGAGATACTTGGCGTGATATTATCAGAGGCATGTAATGAGAGAGCTTGTGAAAACGATCTACACGCAAACCTTTGTGGAAGGGTTAACAGCAGAGCGCAGAGTAGAGTGAATAACAAGTGAGCCGTTCCCAGTTGGTGTGTGATGATTTCCAACGTTACCGACACTGAGGATCGAGATGACGTCCCTTCTCGTGGGGTCAGTGCTGCAAAGTTCTCGATGTGATTGGCAACACAAACACGGCCGAACAGGTTCAAGGGGCTTAACCACAAACTTCTACATTATGCACGGGATTGTTCCTCCTCTAGAATGGCGCACGTGAAGGAGCGACTAGTTTCATCAAGAAACGTGCGGACTTGTAGGGCGAAATGAATGGAAACTGCGTTTCAAACGGAGTCGTGAAATGGTTTCAGCATGAAAGCCCGCAAGGCCAATCAAACACATCACCGTGCCCAATATGAGGCTAGCCAAACAGCCACGAAACGTTCGGGGACGCTTGTCTGCACCAAACCGATGGCTTGAGGGTGTAGTTCTCCTCTATGCTTAGGTACGCGTAGGTAATGACTGCTTTCACTCGCAGGTAATGACTGCCTTCACTCGCAGGTAATGGCTTCTTTCTCTCGCAGATAATGACTGCCTTCACCCGCAGTGAATGTAATGAGGCGTTGCTTGCCTCACACCAACATTCTCACTGATCGTGACGAGTGGCAGCCCCACACACAGAAAAGGGAACACAGGTTTGACTTCAGTCGCTACGACAACACCTATCATGTTTTACGCAGGGTAGGCCTCGGGAACCGCCCGCTAGGCCACAGTACTCGGGCCGCTGCTGGTGCCACAACGTAGTATACTCGGTCGACTTTTCCGAGCAATCGTGGGCCAAATCTCTACGCGAAAAATGCAACAATGGGTCCCAGAAACGCAGAACTTCGTCGCGCCCGCAGAAAACAACCAATAACATCAGGCGCACGCTCATCCACAACCCGATCACATGTAAGCCCACTGGTCACCGTTGTGTCCCTGGACACCCCCCGTTGCTGCATTCGTCGCCAGAGCAAGACGGTCGGTAGAATGGATGGACGACGCATGCGTGACCGGTGGCAGATGCATCCCTTCCGATCGCGCCCCATCAGAAAGCAGTGCATTCTCTTCGTCACTGTCGAGTTCCCCCTCAACCGTTTCGGAGACTCCAGCAGCAAGTGCACCCGTCAACGGGGTTCCAGAACGTCATTCTAGCTCGTCAACCTTGCCCTCATCCATCTCCATCATTCTCGCCATTGCAATACAACTCCGGCATTGCTATACAGCTCCGTCATCGACATCGCTATCCGTTTCACCCGGGCTACTGAGTGCCGAACCGTTGCTGCTTTCAACAACTGCGCTGCCAAAAATGCCGGGGCCATCTTCGTCAGCGCGGAGTGGGAAAATCGCCAACGCGGCTAGGCACAGCTTGCCAACCATGCAACAAATTTCCACCACAGTTAGCACCAGCCGCACGTTCGTGGGTAGATCATCATGGTTGTACAAGTGGTAAATGACCACGCACACGATGAACTCCACGAGGGTCACCACCAGTCCGAGCCCAAACGCCACCGTCCCGTCCATGACGGAGTCCAAGAAGGGCATGGCAACCAGTTTTACCCGTACTCGTTCCGTAACAGATTTAAGAGGTCTGGCCCTGTCTGTTTCTCTCGTCGACTTCCTAGTCCAGGCCGCCGCCATCCTTCTCACGAAGTACCGGGTCAACCACAGATACGGCAGCACCAAGAAAAACCACTTCCGCATCACCAATGCCAACATGGCCAGGGGGACGAAGCGGCTAACAATCTCCAGGATGTGGTACAGTAAGCAGAGCCACACATGAGTGCGAGGGTGCACGTTGCCCCATCCGTTCAACCTCGAGCCACCTTCCTCCGGCACGCGGCTGAACGGTAGCCCGGTTAGCCACGAACAGCAAGCGCAAATACCGTCTCCGCGTGGATCACCGAAGCTCTCAAGCCTCTTTGCGCTGAAAATATCGGTTGCGTTATACGCTAGACTACCCGCCGAGATGCACACCGAACCCAAACGCAGAACATTTCGCTGACGAGACGACCAAAGCAGCAGCGCCGCGTACAACTGCAGCAGCAACTGGGGCACCGACTCGAAGAGTGCCTCGATGAGGCGTACAAGTTCTAGGATTGGTGTGAATCTCCGTTTTACGACGTTCCTCCAGGCTTCCCCTAGCAAGCTCAGCTGGGTCGCTACGAAGAGACGACGTATCCACGGAACCCTTACCTGAACCATGGTGGGGGTGAGAAAAAACACGGATGCGATGATGCCCGGCCCAAGGGCAAAAACAAGCACAAGCGCAAACCAAAACAAGTCGCCTGACTCGTAGTAGGAAACCGCAGCGGTGAGGTCCGAGATCAAGTCCAAATATCCGAAGAAAACCTGTAAGAGCACCGTCCCGGTAGGGAGAGGCGAGGATTCGGCATCCAGAACCCCCGTGTTGAAATTGTCAAAGTTCCTGAGGTTCACCACCTCCGTCGGAATCGGCCCTGTAAAACAGAACCGACGGGGTCACTGATTAGCACTGGCGCCTCGGGAACTTCACCCCCAACTGGTTATGACAAAATTCTTAATCCCCTGGAGGACTCTCTCGGTTTAGCGTGACAGAGCCATGACCTCAGCGGCGAGTCTACTGCGACACTTGAGATTCTCACGACATCACAACAGAAACTAATCCCGCCCATAGACGCATTTCCTATCAAAGTGAAACAGATCATGTTACGCTGGTCAACCTCCCCGACTCGCCATCTAACTTGTTCCCGATGAGGTCGAGCCTCTCCAAGCGGCGAAGGCGTCCTAGCTGCCGTGGTATGGTTCCTGCAGATACATGGGGTATCGTTGGGATTCCGACGAAAAAAAAACGCCCGGGTGAGTAGGCCATGTTCCAGAGTCCTGGAATCCATAATGACGATTCCTCGCTATTTCGGTTTTGCTCTTCCGCTTGCAGGCTCCATTCTGCCGGAGCTGGGAGCTCTCAGCAAGCTGCAGCTGCTACATCTTCCATGGACGAGCTCAAAGGTACCGTAGCTCAAACATATTTGCGCTTCTTTTAGACTACTCTCAATTCGATTCCATAGATGAATCCCGCCGATGTAGTGGTAGATACTCTAGAGTCTCAATGTTTCAGACAATTAACCAAAAGGATAATGCGGTCATTTTTTCTTCTCGTCATGTTTGATGGGTTCCAGAATTGGTTCGCCTGGCTTTGTCTGCGCGGAACGCATCCCCGGGGAATAGAGCCAGTTTCTGTGACTTCGACGGCCAACTACAGTACACGCCCCACTGACGCCGGCCGAGTTCCGCGCATGAGTGTTCATGTACCGACGACCCTCCTGCGTGCCTATGAAAAGGAAGCGCGAGAAAAAAATCGCTGGCGCGAGAGAAAGAAATGGCGAAGCATAATATTTGACCAAATCGTACACGTACATTATCATCCACAACCATCTCACAGGCACTTTTATGGTCGGCTTAGGTTGTTCTAAAACAAATTCAGTGGACGAATCCCGCCGATGACTGCGCGGGATGAACCGCACACTTTGTACAGCGTGACCCACCAGTCAGGTGGTTGCTCGTAAGGTCGAGGCTCTCCAGTGCTGCGAGCTTTCCCAGCTCTGGCGGGATGGGACCTGCACGCGGAATGGCAAATATGAGGTATACGCGATGCCGCCGTAGGCACTGCAGCACCTTTCATGATGAAACCGCGAGGTACTCGTCTGGCGCTTGGAGTGCCCTGGAACTATTCGGGGCACTCGATGTCGGTGATATCGCACCCCTGTGCCATGTCACCGATCCCCGTGCGATAATCGGAACATAGTATTTTTATCGCACGGGGGTGCGATATCAGCGATTTCACCGAACCGTGCATTCTCTCGCATCCGTACGGGATACGGTTTTGCTCGCTGCATAGGCTGCACACCGGACAACCGGTATTCAGCCCGAAATATCAATAACAGACGCGATGGCGCAAGCTTTGCAGAAGCACCGTGAGTAAAGATTCATTGTGACCAAGTTCATCTGGCGAGTTGTCGTTGGTAGCGAGAAACCTGTACGAAACATGCATGCGGGCCAATTTCCCTCTCTGTCGTTATTGACGGGTGTCAGAATTGTTTCGCCTGGCTTTGTTTGCGCGTAACGCGTCCCCGGGCTATAGAGCCACTTTGTGCGACACTGACCGTCAACTACACGCCCGACGGACGCCTGCCGAGCTCCGCGCATGAGCGTTACTGTACCGACGAGGATCCTGCGTGCCTATGCAAAGGAAGCGCGAGAACAAAAACACTGCCGCGAGAGAAAGAAGTGGCGACGCCCAATAAATGGCCAAATCGTATCAGCTACGACCATCTCACAGATACTTTTATTGGTCGTCTCAGGTTGTTCTCAAGTTGGTTCCATCGATGAATCCCGCTGATGCATGGGCGAGACACAAGTTCTAGACGATTCGGACTGAAACGATGTACTTCTTGATCGTTTTACATGCTCATTGTTCTGCTGCTTATGCAGAACACACCCCCAAGGAGCTATGTAGCAGCTCCAACAAACCCTGGAGAAATGTTGGCTGCAATGACATCAGCTCAACGGTGACGGACCGCGTCATACGAAGAGTAATTGAAATGTACCCATTGTTTCTGCTTTTCTAGACCATTGGTCCTGCCAAGACGCGCAGCCGGTGGATGTTCTAGAAAAGGCGGGAGGCACACTCAGTTGATGTGGCCCGATCTTCCGTCTTTGCCCATTTGCTGCAGGCCCGATCCCGCCGGAGCTGGGAATACTTGCAGCACTGCAGGAACTCTACGTTTCGAGCAACCAGCTACCAGGTGAGTCTGTCGGTTCTCCCCCCATCACGGTCAGCGTGAATCCCGCCCATGCGTTGGCGCGACAGCATCTACGGAGACCGTCTTGTCCTTGAAAAACAGGCGTGTTCAGTCATTCTCGCTATGTTCTCACCTGTCAGCTCATTGGTGCCCAGGTGAAGCGTTCTCAGGGCACCAAGGTTCCCTAGCTCAGGGGGAATGGGACCTGCAGCGCACGCAAACGTCAAACGTTAGAGAGTTGAGAATGTGCGTCCCGCGGCTCGTTGAACATGTACGAGATCGGTCTCGGTAGATCGGATCCTGCCCACGCGTATGCGGGATGCATCTTCTCAGAAACAGCAGCAACTTGGCGATGAACATACACCTTCGTCTCTCCACACCTGCAAGCTGGTTGAAGCTCAACCAAAGCTCCTTCAGCTCGGAAAGGTTGCCCAGCTCCTTGGGTATTGGCCCTGCACGAAGCAGCACGGCGACAAAACAAAATGAGATTATCGTGTGATTGTGGCGTCAAGAACAACGGTCCTGCCAATGTCGGAGGAAAAATCAAAATGTTGTTCCAGCAGGGTTCATCTGAATTTGATTTGGGGGAAAGCGTGGGCGTGACATATACATGTGTTGCAGAAATGAAAAAACACGATTCTGTAGCTTGTTGAGCGCGTCGAGTGGAGCGGGGATCGTACCTGCGTAGCCAGCGAAGGAGAGAAAGCTGCGGTCCCGTGTTTCCGGTTCCAGAACGTTCGTCCCGCCTACGCCCCGCCCACCCGTGGGGAGGACAAGATCTTCTATGGAAATCGATGCTCTGGAAAATAGAAAGCCGAGTCATTGCTTTTCTAATTCCTCGCTACGTTCGTATTGCTCTCCTGCTTATTCTTGCACGCCCAATCCCGTTGGAGCTGGGAAACCTCGCAGCACTACAGAACCTCCTCCTTCAGGACAACCAGCTCAGCGGTGAGTTACTCTCCATAGGTAATGTGCGCTTTTGGATTAGATTTTCGGTTAATCCTGCCGATGCGTTGGTGGGACAAGGTTACGGAGAGCGATGCTCTAGATTAAATACATGTACCACCTACGAACCAAACCCCCCGTCCCATCCCCCAAATACCAAATGCCATGAAATATCGGCGTCGCTAGGACAGTTCGGCAAGCGGGAAACCCTCTACCTCCACCGAAACAAACTCAGCGGTGAGTGTCTCCGACATATTCGGCGTGTGTGTACACGTCACATCGGATTGCATGAATCCCGCCTTGGTGTGGGCGGGACGAGATGTACGGAGATCGAACATCCAAATCTCAAATAAACCTCCTGCCCATTCCCTATCGCTATGCAGGCGAAATCCCTGCGTCTCTAGGACAGCTCAGCGAACTGTAAACGCTTAGCCTCTGGCAAAACGGCTTAAGCGGTAAGCGTCCCCGATAAGTTGGCCATGGAGAAGTGACACGATGATTTTTTAGATGTTCAATCTCCGTAGAATCTGTCCCGCCAATGCATCAACGGGATTCAATCCGGAAATCGCGTAGAATGTCTCTCACCAGTAATTTGGATGTTCCAAAGGCTGAGCCACTGCAGTGCTGCTAGCTTACCCAGCCTCGGCGGGATGAATCCTGCACGCACACAAGAGCAGACCAAGTGAGCGGGAGCGTTTTCCATTTTTCCCGGGTGTCTTTTCTCTATGTCATCGATCACCGTAGATCCTGTCCCGCCAACTCGTGGGTGAGATTCAACATTTCCACGCGGAAACGAAAGACTTCAGATCAACACATATACCTTCCAGGTTGTTGCAGCTGAGCTGCATGGTCGTCAGAGCTGTGAGGTTCCCCAGGTCCTCCGGAATTGGACCTGTTTTAGCACGCGAGAGGAACAAGGAGTGATCAACCGCACACAATGCAACTCAATTACGTTGACGCGGCCCGTTGCTAGAACATATTGTCTTGTTCTGTAGAAATAAAGAGAGTCAAATGCTGCCCTATTCGTTCTCACCTGTTAGCTCATTGATCTCTAGGTGGAGCGTTTTCAGGGCACCAAGGTTCCCCAGCTCAGGAGGAATGGGACCTGCAGCGCACGCAAAAACATACTTTAGAGAGTTCAGAACGTGTGTCCCCGGCCTCCAGAATATGTACAGGATCGATCTCCGTCGATCGTGCCCCGCCCACGCGTTACGCGTTGGCCGGACCGTTGTAAGCTTCATCTCAAGATATCCTTGTTTTTTTCGCCGCCGTGCTGCTTTGTGCAGAGCTAAAGGGCCATTTCTTATCAGACCGCTATCAGACCGCGTTTTGGGGATACTTTTCCCACCAAAGGGACAGTCCAAAAACGGATCTACAAAGGATATCACCCGCTTCTTAAGGTGCTGGTCGATCGTTTTTCTAATCCGAGTCATCCACCAAAACAAAGAGAGTCTGTGCAACGACCGCTCGTCACACATACATACGTGTACCTTCCTACCGCTCGCTTTGGGTTTTCGGTGATATCTCCGCACAGAGTGAAGCAGCAGCAGCTGTAAAGCTATCGCCCGCGAGCTGTGTGTATGGTCCGTGTTGTGTGGCGGTTGATAGAGACCACAGGGCGATAGGATTCACGGAATCTGAGGTGGCGAGAGTCAACAGCATGCTGGAAAAAAGCCCACCGCGCCAGCAACCAGTTTGTTTTGTCTTTTGTCCGTGTCGCAACATTGGATTACACCGGTGATCCGTCGCCACCCACTGAAGCAACAGCGATGACAAAGGTATCTGCCACGAGCTGTGTGAATGGTCCGTCTTGTATGGTGGTTGATACAGCCCAGGAGGCTGAAGGGCGTTCAGGATTGCGAGCGCCAGAGTCATGGACAAGGGGGAAGAATCACCCCCCGCGTCTTCAAGCAGATTTTTTTCTCTTCTTTTGCCCGTGTCTCAATTTCGTTCACCGATGATCCCTCGCCATCCACTGAAGCAACAGCGATGACAAAGATATCCGCCACGAGCTGTGTGTATGGTCCATCTTGTATGTATGGTGGTTGACACAGATCAGGAGGCTGAAGGGCGTTCGGACGTTGGGTTCGAAAAAAGTGAAAAGTTCACGAAAAATGACCCACCGCTGCTGCCTCGTCCCGGCTCTCTCGGCTCGTTAGCCGCTTGTTTCCCGTCCACATCGGGATGTCCACCTGGTCCAGCCGAATGAAAGAAGCAAAGGCTACCCATCGATGCTACCGACTCTGTACCAGCCACATGACACAACTCGTTCGACCACCGTTGGAGTTTGCGGGGATCAGCTGTCGAGAGATTCAAGTTTGTGCTTGAGAGTCATGGGATTGTGACCAAAAGTTGTCGTGTGACTTCGTTTCTTGGCAGCCCCAATCTGTCCAATAGTTGCCCGAAAAAACACAGAATGGCGTGTCCAAAAAGGCTTGTTGTTTGTGGTACTTGGATATGAGTCCGATCTGTGCATCCTATGTCGGGGATACGCGTATGGGAAGTATGAGTGTGATGGGTACTTATGCGGTTGGGGTCCAAGTGCGCCCCCCCCGCGTGAGCACACGGCGGTGTGCTCCCGGCACTTGCCTGAGGGGCTTGCGTGACGGTAATATATAATACATGGTCCTTTTTCATCTGCTGTTCCTGGGACAACATAGTCCCCAGTCTCAACACCACAGACCGCTGAGGGCGGCAGTGCACTAACACGATATCGAGTGGAGCCTAGCTAGGCCAGGTGTTGGTTCAGCGGTGAGGGATAGAGCGAGAGAGTTGGAAGAAGAAGCGAAGAAAACGGCAGCCGAGAATGCGGAGTTACGAAGGAGGGTGGGTGAAGTAGAGGAGAGGAGTTCAGCGGAGGAAGCCGCGAGAGGGAGAGTGGGCGATGCCGGATATGCGGCTGGTTTTTATGGGGGTGGCGAGAGTAGCCCGCCCCCACGACTTGTTTTTTTCGGAGAGAGAGGGAAAGACACCCGCGTGTACGGCGGATACCAGCAACATGTGACGAGCGGTGTGCAGCCGAGCAGCTGCCACGACCACGTCCTGAGAGGGCACTGCCAGTACCAGCATCAGCAGCAGCTGGTGACCAACGCACGCCCTCCCGCTGCTCCTCCTCCAGCTGCGCAGCCGTAGCAGCAGCGTATCACAGTTGCTGCAGCACGTTGCCAGTACACCCCCCATTGGCAGCAGGAGCAGTGCGTGCAGCAGAGGAACATGCCACCGCAACCGGTCCAGCAGCACCCCGTGCCCCAGCAGCGTCGCCAATAGCCTCTACCGCAGCAACCTCGTCAACAACAGCAACCTATACAGTCCTGCAATGGCGCTCCGGGTACTACAGCTCCAGCTTTCGCCCGAGGACCACTTCAGCAGCAGCGGAGGACCGACGGGGACAACGGTGATGGCGGTGGTGACAGCAGCGGTGGCGGTATCGGAGGAAGCAGCGCCGGCATCCGCAAGGCGATCTCCACGACGACGCCCTCCACGGTCTCACGACCTCTTCAGCGCCTCTTCGCCGACCTCATGGGCCCGCTTCCGCCATCCGCCTGTGGTAACACCTACTGCCTCGTCTTGGTCGATGATTACAGCAACTACGGCATCATCAAATAGGACAAGCACGCCAGCACCGTGACGAAAGCACTTCGCGAGGTACTCGTTTCGCTCCACCCTCTGCGGGCTGCCCACGGCGACTTTCAGTTCCTTCGGACGGAATGGGTGGTCAACGCGTGGTGAGCGACTTGTTTCTGGAGTTCGGCATCACTCGCGAGCTGACATCCCCGGACGGAGGGCAGACGCGTAACTGCAGGGTGGAGCGTTGGATTGGGCTCGTGAGGGAGGGCGGCAGGGCGGCGTTCACGGAGGCTTTCTTGCTCTTCCCCGACTTTCAGTTTCCTTGGCCGGCCTGCGACTACAACCGCATATGGCCGGAGGCATGGAGCTGGATGTCGGCCTGCATAAACACACAGCCGCGACTCGACAAGAAGGCCGACATGCTGTGCCCGTACGAGATGCTCCACGGGAAGCGCCTTCTATGTCATCCTCTGCCCTTCCTCATGCCGGGTATCGACTACGCGCGTGTCTCCGCCAAGATCGCGCCGAAGGGCGCTCGGTGTTTTCACCTCAACTCTGGTGACTTCCTTTCCCACGACTGCTACAAGGTCATTTTCCCCTCCGGCGCCGCGGGGTACACCACGGACGTTGTTTGGGGTTACCGCCGCCAACCGTTCGTCGGCTTCGTGCCCACGTACAACAGGGGCGCCGTTTCTGCGCCGGCAGCGGCAGCGGCGGCGGCGACGGCGGCGGCGGCGGCGACAGCGGCACCGGCGCCTTCGACCCTCGCGGCATCGGCAGAAGTCAGAGCACCGGCAGCGGCGACGACGACAGCTGCAGGAGCGCCGGCGGAAGTGCGGACGGCTTCGGCCAGAACCCCGTCGACGGCAGCAACGCCACCGGAAGCAGTGGCGGCGGCGGCGGTATCGATGACGGGGGGAACGGCAGCAGCGGCAGCAGCAGCGTCGTCCCCGGTCGCCGCGCTGGCATCGGAAGGAGCGGCGGTGGCACGGATGGTTTCGGCCAGAGCGCCGTCCCCGACAGCAGCGGCGGCGGCGTCGACATCGGTGACGGCAGTAACGGCAGCGGCGACAGCAGCAGCGGCGTCCCCGGTCGCCGCGTTGGCGTCGGGTATCCAGGCGGCCGCACGGGCGGCGGCGGCGGCACCGGTGACGGAGGTATGTGACGAAGAGTTGGAGGAAGCGGTTGGTGCGACAACCATGCCATTGCCAGTCCTAGAGGAGCTTGATAGCCAATGTGCTGCGGGGGACGTGAGCGGCGATGGGGGCGGGGACGAGGGGTTGGATGAAATCTGGAGTGGAGCCCCAACGCACCCTTTCGACCCCGGGAAGGCTAAGGGGGACGTGAGCAGCAGCGGCCGCAGCGGCGGCGGTAGCGACATCGGTGACGGGGGGAACGGCAGCGGCAGAGGCAGCAGCGGCGTCCCCGGTCGCCGCGTTGGCGTTGGGTGTCCAGACGGCCGCAAGGGCGGCGACGACGGGTTGGATGAAATCTGGAGTGGAGCCCCGACGCACTCCTTCGACCCCGGGAAGGCTGAGGGGGACGTGAGCAGCAGCAGCAGCAGCGGCAGCTGTAGCAACAGCGGCGAGGACGGTGGCGGCGATGGGGGCGGGGACGAGGGGTTGCATGAAACCTGGAGTGGAGCCCCGACGCACCCTTTTGATCCCGGGAAGACTGAGGAAGAAGTGAGCTGCAGCAGCAGCAGCAGCGAGGAAAGCGGCGGTGATGGGAGCGGGGATAAGGCGTTGGATGAAACCTGGAGTGGAGCCCCGACGCACCCCTTCGACTCCGGTAAGACATGCGCGAGGAGACGGGGGGCGGTACCAGCGGTGGCGTACCCCTTCGATAGGGGCAGGAACGGGAGTGGCAGCTCCCGCGGCGGCAACGGCGGCAGCCGCAGCAGCCACGGGATTGGCGGCTTCGGCCAGAGCTCCGGCGGTGACACCGGCGGCAGCAGGAGCAGCGACGGGAGTGGTGGCTTCGGCCAGAGCTCCGACCGCAGCAGAAGACGGCAGCGGCGGCTTTGGCCAGAGCCCCGTCGGCGCAGCGGCGACAACGGCGGCGGTGGTAGAGGCGGCAGCAGCGACGTCACCGGCAGCCGTGTTGGCGCTGGAACTTATGACGGTCGTGGCGGCGAGCGAACGGTAACGGCGGCAATGGCGGCGGCGGCAGCAGCGGTGGCGCCCTCGAGTCGACCGAGAACGGGGAGGGCACGGTGATAGCGACGACCTCACCTTGTTACAGCCAAGTGGGAGAACATGTGAAACGTTTATGACTTTGTTCGATTTTGTGAGCAGGCATGGACGTTTTGGCTTCGCCATTTGGCTTCGCGTTTATGTTTTTGTTCTGTTTTTCCCTTGCTAGCGCACCGTGCACTTTGATGCAGAAAACACGTGTGTGCCACGGCATGTGCGCAATTTGTTTATTTTTTTTACTTGGTTTCGTGATAATAATTGTACGCTGTGACCAGATAAGCATTGCCACAACCTGTGGAATAGGAAGCAGCATGTGGGTATTTTCGTTTCATTGGTTCTTCGTACAATTTCAGTCGCGTTCTACCTTGCAGCTGAATGCTTCATATTATTTCCGTATTCTTTGGAGGGAGTACGTTCAGTCGCGTTCTTTTAATACGCATGTTTTGCTGCTCTTGCATCGAAAATCATGGGGGGGGATGTCATGTATGACCATGATTCTAGAGGGCATGAGCAGCATTCGAATTGGTTCGTTTTCTGGTCTTGTCTATTTGTGTGTTACGTATACGGCAAAGCAGGGGGGACTGTTGGCATCGAGATATTAGCTCGGGGTGAATTTTGGGAGCTGACACCAGGGGGGCTGTTTGCGTGGATGCTTGATTATATTTTCTATCGTTGCTTGGACAACAGCGACGGTAGGTACCGATTAGCGGGTGCACGCTGTTTAGGATTTGGTCCTTGGACACTATATTGGAGGAAGGGTTTGACATGTTTTGACGATTTATGGCCGGGGCCATTGTGCTTTCCGAATTCTCGTTTTGATTGGTCAAGAAGTTGAGTTTTTGTTTTGTTTGAGGATGGATTTGGTGCCAACTCTTTTGAAATTGTTTTTTCCAGAAATGTCCGTTTTCGTGCTGACGCTTTTCTGATGTAGTACAAATGATTGTTCGGTACTTTTCTGAGAATAATTTTTTTTGTGTCATCAACGGTTTGAGATTATTTCCAGAGACGAACGCGTTGGATTCGTGAATAAACTGATGGAGACTCTTTGTGTTGAATGCGTAGCCAGTTTTGTTGAATAAGTTTTATTCTCAAGGGGTGTTTTTCTGTGTTGGCTGATTGCGCGTGAAGGGTTGCAAGATCGTACATCGTATCAAGTAGGGGGGCTGTTTGTGGTACTTGGATATGAGTCCGATCTGTGCATCCTCTGTGGGGGATACGCGTATGGGAAGTATGAGTGTGATGGGTACGTATGTACGCGGTTGGGGTCCAAGTGTGCCCCCCCCGCTTGAGCACACGGTGGTGTGCTCCCGGCACTAGCCTGAGGGGCTTGCGTGACGGATATATATAATACATGGTCTTTTTCATCTGCTGTTCCTGGGATAACATAGTCCCCAGTCTCAATGCCACAGACTGCTGAGGGCGGCAGTGCACGAACACTTGTCTTTGTTTCCCGGTCTTTAAAACACCTCGTGAGAAGGGCTTCTTTGGCCAGTTGTCTTTCTTTTGTGATGGAAAAAAGAAAAATATCACCGAAAAGAGGCGACAGAAAGAAATGGTCACTTGCCCCAAAGAGCTGGGAGCGCTACAATATCCAAGCTGAGCGAAAACCGGCTTACAGGTGTGTGTGTGTGAGGGAGAAGATGCTTGTGTTCATGGCCGAAGGTACTGCTGCTTCTCGAACATGTACCCCGCCGACGCCGTAGAGGGAGGACCCGTGTTCTAGAACCTAGGCATGGATCAAGTCCACGACATTCATTCGTGACTGAATTCGAAACGATGGTCGAGCACATTTATCCATCTCTAGAGAAAAGCACGTGCAAGCAGCAATTACCGAGTAACTAACCTTGGAGGTTGTTCATCGCCAGATTAAGCCTGACCACTCGGCCCCGGTCGTTGACTTCGACTCCATCCCATGTCGCTAGGGCAGCATCTGTGTCCCAGTTGCCTCTTCGCCTCCATCCAGCCCCGCCGGTCCAACGAAACAGGGCAATCAGTGCTTCGCGGTCCGTCGAAGCCATTGCTCAGGGAACCTGCACGGGGTTGATTTTGAAGACACGGCTACTCCTGTAGTTTCAACGCCGGAAGCACCCCGTCAACCTGCGTACGATTTGGAGTCAATTCACCTCCCAACCACACACACAACTGCTTGCGATTATAGGAGTCAAGTCCCCTCCCGATCACAATTGAATGCGGGAGAATCGAGAACCCCGGCAAACCCAGCTTTTATTTGCCGAACTTGCAAAATACGCCCCTGCTACAGCCGTCTGAAGGCTGTGCACTGCTGTGCACAGTGCGCAATAGACGGCGTTGTTGGGATTTCGATGAACTACTACGTGAGAGAAGCTCTCGTTCGGAATAGGAAGACCGTCCTACAGCATGCGCTTCCCGCGTTCCCGCGGACCGCGAACACACGAACACACACACGTACGTGGATGTTACACAGGATATTTTGTTCTGGTTTGCACATTTGGAAACAGCTGGACATCGACAGCGTATTTTGTAAAGGCTCACACAGAGCGCTTGTCGGTATTTGGAAGGGAGAATGCGTGGAACAGCTGACCGTGACATTCTTTCCAGATGGAATGAGCAGGAAGCGTACCACGAATACCATGTGCACGGTGCAACTGCAGGAAACCACAACTCGGGATCTCACCGACGAAAGGAATAAAACGGGTCGCAGAAGGGGGCGAGTGTGGTGTATCCTGTATCCCGCTTGCAGTATCACGCTCAAAGCCACCTCTCAAAGACTCTGGACCCAAAGCTCCGGCAACTCCTCCCCTTGTTTTGTTGTCTGGGTTAAAAACTTGGTAGTTGGCTTTGGTAGTGAGTCCACGAGACACCACATGGCAAAACAACCCCTTTGCCTTTGGAACCAACTGCAACTGGCGGGCTGGCGGGTTGCAGATGCGTGCCATCTGCGAGCCCCCTCAGAGGGGCCCTTTCAGCCCTCTTCATCAAACACGCTTTCCCAGCCGGTCTTTCCCACCCTGTCCTCGCTGCAAGGTGCGCGCGTGTGCGTGTGACGACAGGTAGAAGGGTTGGGCTGGTTTGCTCGCACCGCGTGGCTGAGTTACAGTAGTTCACTTTAGGTGCTAATCCCCCCGCATCAATCGTGGGTCAATCCACCATGGTGCGACCCTGCGATGTGCGATGTGCGACCTCTGTAACCAGCCGTGCTTGCTGTGCGATCCCAGCAGCAGTGCATCCGAAGCCATGACAGACAGCTTCGGGAACCTGGGTGGTTTCTGTGGCATGCATGGTGGGCCGAATGGCTGTGGCTGGGGGACGTGTCGATATTAGCTCAACCATGCTCTTCCGTGGGTCATGATGAATACGAGCGACAGCAGGGCGATTGGACAGAGGTGAGTACGATGTTGTAGCCCGGTGCATAAGTCATCAAACCCATTTACATATCCCTTGTCCACTACTGTACTGCAGTCGTAGGCCCTCAATAAGGCGGGTATGCGCCAGGCCGATTCACCCGCCCTATTGTACGGGGCACCCGCCAAAATGTGTAGAACAACTTGATTGTAGTACGTCTGTGCCAGCCAATTTTACCCGCCATATTTAACCCGCCTTATACTGCTGTAGGGGCCTACGGTTGCTGTACTGCTGTGTGTATATCAAGTGCTGGGGATGCTACACTGATCGCCGATGGATGATACCCCCGCTTGCACAGCTTTGCTGTATTATAGCTGCTGCCCGGGGAGGGGAGGAGCCTGGTACAACGTTGTCGCAACCCAACGAACTGCTGTCCAGGGCTGTAGACTAAAGTTCAAGTTCAAGTTCAAGCTTTAGATGGAATTTGCCACCCGCTTTGAGCTGCAATCCCAAGCAACTCGACTCGTAGAAAACGGACCGAGTATGTATGTCACGTTGCGTATGTACAGTTCAAGGGAGACGAATTGGAGTAAGGGTTCGACAAAATCTAAAAAATTTGCGATCTGCGTATGCAGGTTCCACCGTTCCACCCTAAAAGCGTATGCATATGTTAGACCACGTGTGGCTCCTGTTCGGAGAAACAACAAGAGACGTTGGAAAAACTCCACCAATCCGACCTTGAAGTGTTACGACTACATATGCATACAACAAACCGGCGGGTTGCGCTGGTTCACCACCACGCGGCTCTTTCCGAGGGACTGAAACCGTTGGAAGACCCTGGTTTTGCCGCTGCTGTTGCGGTGGAACAAGCGCGATGCTTGTCCCGCTCGCCCCACCAACCCGTCCCCTATTGTTGTTGTTCGTGTTTCGCGCTTCCACCTGCTTCGAACAGGCCTCTCCTTGTCTTCGACGAGCAATAGTAGTTGTGGTCTGCTATTGTCCACCGCGTCGTAGGGTGTTGCTGCTGCAGTGACGCCCACGTCCCACGCGTGTTTCTAGTCTTGTCAGTCAAAGTTTGGCCCCAAGAATTGGAGGATGACAGATTGGAAAGGAAACAGAACATGTTCTTGCGTCTCTTGGTGGGTTAATTCGTCAGGTTGGCACTTTGGCGCGCAAGAAGCAAGGTACAGCGGCGCACAAACGAGGACCTCCTTCAAATGATCCACAACAACACTAATTCGCGCTGCAACGAGAATTATACTCTGTTTTACCTTCAGTACAGTATTGCTTGTTCTTGAATCAGGAACTCAATAATGGAGCACCTGAGAAACACATGAAATTCATGCCAAGCACATGCATGTCACAAGTGTAATGAGTTTTTTCTCGTGCGCAAGTACAGACAGCCGATGTCGCGCCTCTCCAATACCAATGGTGCGAGATACTGTCAACTCTACATGAGTAACCCCGACCGCCATGGTGATGCCCCCCCCCCCGACCCCCCCGCGCCAATACAGGAGCAGGAGCGGATGTGGGCCTTCCATCGGAACGAGAGTGGCAAGTGCGCCTCCAAGCTCTCCGGCCCTCCACGACGCTTCCACGACACAACGACACCAGCTCCACCGGAAGCGGGGCGGGATGGGGGGGGGTGCACCCGAAGACCTTTCTTCCACGGCGGCGGGCGGCACCGGCGTTAGTCTTGGTCGTCAGGGCGGCGATGGCGGCAACAAGAGCAGCAGCAGTGGTGGCGGCGACGGTCCTGGCGTTACCACGAGGACGACGACGACGACTCTCCCGGATGACCCAGGCCTGCAGTACAGGAGCCCGGCCGTTTCCACTAACGGCGTGCTGCGTCCTACCCCTCAGGTGGGATAGGGCTATAGCCTGTGTGTTAGAGATGTCTTGTTTTGAGGAGATTGAACGATAATAGGGTACAGCCTCCACGTGATGACGGGTGTGCCTGCGAAAAGGAGGTACAACATGTACTGCTGTGTGTGTGTTTTTTTTCTTGCTTATTCAACACACAATCGCGTCTACACGCGGACCGACCGTGTTTGCCTATCCCCTCCGTCTTCCCCGGTCCACACTTCAGCGTCTGCCCTACAATGGCGTGGGTACCCCCCCTACTCGCGCGCGCTCGTGTCAACGAATAATTTCCTGTGCGCACTGCCGTCGACCAGCTGGTCATTTTGGACCGTTTCGCCACACCACCGGCGACTCAAGCTATGAGCACACTCGCTGAACGACCGCAAACCAGGAACACTTTGTCGTGGATGGAAGAGGCGGCGGCAACAGCAGCAGCAGCAGCGGGGCCACGAGAATCCGCGGGTGCAGGTCAGCCTCGAGCGCGATGGCGGGCATGACATCATCTTCACAGCAGGGCGAGGACGGGAACGGCGGGGGGCACCGGCTGGGGTCCGTCCTCCTCGACACCCCTGGCCATTCCCTGCAGCAGGGGAGCGGTGGTGGTGGTGGCGGCGTGGACGGCGGCATGGGCTTGATGGGCAACAGCAGCGGCGACGAAAAGTTGACCACCGAAGACCAATACGTGATGGCGTCCCTCAAGAGATCCATCGTCGAGCTGTCGGACACCTGCCACCGGCTTCTGTCTTTCAAGGTGGGCGAAGCCGGGGTTGCTTGTTGCTGCTTGCTCTCAAGTTGGTGCACGATCGACGGCGCGTTATACTTGTCGAGGACGTTTGAGGTTCCAAACCGTGAGAGGCCCGCCTCAAACGCCTGGGCGACGGTTATTTTTCCCCCGCGTTGGGGGGGTACTATTTTGTGTTGGAACACGCTTGTCGTACGGTACGTTTTCAAGCATATTCTTTGAGTGCGTTTCAGCTTCCCCTAAGGGTGCGTACATGAATGACGTTATCTGACGGCCCGTTCCGTTCAGATTGCCTCGAAGAGTGTTTTGGGAGGGGGGGGGGTGCTGGGCAGCTCCCCCCTGGTTTGGGAACTGGCCTGAGACTGATGTAGTACGCTGCCGTGTTGCTCCATCTACTGTAATATCTTGTGTGAAGCGCTCTGGTCGCATTGCAACACACTCCAGAGAGTATTGTTTTTCACATGCTTGTTTTGCTGATATACTGCTGCCGCATCTGCATTGCGACACTGTGTTCTTCTCTTCTTCCTCCCCCCCCCCCCCCCGCTAAAACACAAAACGACATGCCTGAAGATGCTCAACCACGACGCCTTTGTGAGGGTGATGGGAACTGGAAGTGCACTGCCGTCGTGCCGGAGCAGCGGGGATATGTAACCGGTGCTCCTCTAGAGACCGAGACCGAGACCGTCTTCGTCGGCCGCCAAGATGACGAGGGTCGGTGGTGGCGGCGGCGGCGGTGGTGTTGAGGATCATCCAGGGCGGGAAGGACGGGGGCGTTGTCGAAGGAGAAGACGATGAAGGTCTGGCCGCTGGAGCAGCCCCTGTTCTTAGCCCACGACTTCAACGTGTATGTATGTACGTCTGTTTTCTATATAGGGCAAGCATGATATTTTCCGCGGTTTTCCAGTTCGGCCGGCCTTACAGTAGTCGGTGGTTTTTTTTGTATCGCATTCTAAAACCCAGTTACAATACATGGGTATATAGGGTCAAGTATGGCCATACTATATCCTATAGGGCATAGTGTCCCATTCTAACACCCATATAATACGTGGGTGTATTGGGTTGAGAATAGGCCATGCTAAATCCTATACAACAAAATGTGCTCCGATTCTAAGGTTTAGGATACCCATACAATAGACCCCGCCCCCCCCCCCTCTCGCGACCAAGATTGACGCCCATCTGGGGGAGCGTTCCACTGGAATGGCCCGTTGTGCTCTCACAGCACGCCGCTTGTCCCCCACAAAGCCACCGGGGGCGGGAAACCGGTGTGGTGTAACCGCTTTTGCAGCGTCTAATGATCCCCATCCGTGCGCCCACCTACCCTCTACCCAGCTACGATTGCGTGACACCCGTCATCTCAACCGCCTTTCTCATTCCCTCGTGTGCGAATATGCGGCTCCATGATGACACGCCACCCAGCACCCTAGCGATCGCGCAGCTCCTGTACGCGTCGCTGTTCTGCAACGGCGACGTAGACGTGGACACGGACGGCCCTGACCTTGAAAGCGTCCAGCTCTCTCTCCGGGGAAACGGGCGCTTGGACTTGGGTTTCCGCGTCGGTGCTGCCACGGTGATCCTGGCAAGTAAGTACACTAGACACGTGCCGGTTGGTGATTTGGTGCAGCGTCACCTGCGGCGGCCTCCGGCCGACCGTTGTATAGAGACGCCGGTATTTTGTGCTCACGGTGTGTTCTTTGGCGTGTGACAAGTCAATAAGTCGTTTCCGTTTGCCGAGCCAGCCTGCGGTCCCCCTGCTCCTTGAGGGCGGTTTGTTTCATAACGAAATAATCGCGCCAGCAGATCGACTGCCTGGTTCGGTCTTGCGGACGATTTGAATTTGAGGGGGGTACTCGTCTCTACCGCGTTTTTGGAGGGCGGACACAGCGGAGAGGTTTTGCAATACGGCGATGGTTTTCCGCGGTAAACGGTTTTTCGGTTTTCAGCGGTACCGCCTTCGGCGGTCCCGGAAAAATCAAGAATACGCGGGGAAAGATTTCGGTGGTACAACGGAATATGGCGGTACCGCGTTCAGCGATCCCGGTAAACACCAAAATCTAGCGGTAAACCGCCTTCGGTATTGGATTCATGGCGGTACCGCGTTCGGCGGTCCCGGCAACATATGAACTTTTGGCGGTAAACCGCCGGCGGTATTGCAATATGGCGGTAATGTTCTGGTGGTGAGCGGTTCTTGTTTTCCTGGCGGTAACGTAAGGCAACATGTTTTCCGACCGTGTGAACCTTGCACATACAGTGATGCATGCACTGCTGTACCTCTCAGAATGCAATGTTCGTGATTTCACCCACAAATTAGTACTGAAAAGACCACCAGCATTCAAAACGTGAACCTGTGGTCACCATGCACTTCATGGATGGACCAAGATACTCCATTCAAAATGCTCAGACCAATACACTAGGCAATCCATTCTATTACGTTTATCGAAAAAATAGTGTAGAACGGCAATCCACAGACCAGACCATACCATGCCGATTTGTGATGGCGTCAAGAAGTAAAAAGATCTTCGACTTTTTCGACCTCTCCTCCTGCGTAGCCCGGATTGCTGTGTACTCTGACTACCCTAGTCTACTGGCGAACGCCAACCGACAGGTTCGACCGCTTTTCCTGTGCAGCCACGGGTTGCTGTTCGCTCTTGGCGGCCATAGCTCGTGCCCGAACAGGAACTCAATGGAACCACGCAACAAAGAGTAAAAATACAACAGAACAGGGGAAAAATGGGTCTGGCGGTACTCTTTCGGTGGTGTGGCAATTGTGGCGGTACTGACTTTCGGCGGATTTGCAATGTGGCGGTATTGTTTCGGCGTTAAGGGGTTTTTCGTTTTTCGGCAGTACCGCCTTCGTCGGTCCCGGTAAATATACGGCAAAATACGGCGGTAATTTCCGCCAATGCCCGGACTGCCCACCAAGGTGGGGAAAAAACGTCGGGAAAATTCCATCGAGCACCCCTACTTTGAGGCCACCTTTCTTTCTATTTGTTGAGCACACGCACACCACACTGCAATTGACGAACGGAGCAAACATCATGCCAATCGTTTCAGACGGTGAGACATCGATGTTCCTGGATGAGCAGGCGAACAGACGCGATTTCTAGAGCACCTTTGCTTGGGAAATGTTGGTGTCCGGCTCTTGCTTTGCTGGGTGCACTCAAAGCACTGGACGTCAACAACAAAAGGAGAACTCACATGATATACATTTTTTGTTTCGAGCATGAACAAATTGACAAACCATGGCAAGCGTGGGCGATGATGGACTGCATCACGGACGACTCTTTGGCTCAGTGTTCCAGACACGCTTATATCTCTCTTTCAACGGGGATAGTTACCTCTCACCTGTAACAGGTAATATTGGGGGGCCGTCAAATCGTACTTTCACCCCCCGCACACCGTACCTGTGGGAGATCGATCATGCCGAACAATGAAGCAGTGGTACGACTTCAAGCGGGCGGTCGGCGACGCCCAACAGCAGTCATATGGTTCCTAACAAGCTCAATAGTCAGCGTATCAGGTTCAGCACTCACAAGGGGCTGGCGCTTGGTCAGGCACAAAGGCAAGGTTATGGTTCAGTTCTCTCGCGTGATCGGCGGTGGTAACTAACCACCTGGTGTTTTGGGAAGGAAAGCACGCCGAGGGAGGTGGTACAATCATGGGATTCAGGGGACATCTGTCCTGAACCCTCCGAACAGGCTGGACCGGGGGAACATTATAGGTTGTTCGATTCCCCGGTGATGACAGCCCACGCCCTCCGGATGCGTCGCGACCATGCCGAAGTTTCCATCATCGTATTAAGAACCGGTTGGGACGTCCGGCCGGAACACCCCCCCCAGCATCGACCGTGATAAACGGCTACGCTACAAAAGAGGACGGGCGACCCAGTTCCCAAACACCGTTCGACTCTCCACTTCCTAGTTAGTCAGCAAAGAAGTCCCGATGTTGGACCACGAAACGATGATGTTAGATCTCTTCATCCCATTCTCCACCAATCGGTACGATGAGCGGTGCATTAAATTCGCGTATAAACCTTCAGGCTTTGCTCCACTGCCGTCACACACACCCAGACTGTCAGACAGACAGTCGGTAGGCTCAAGGCAGTGGTATACACAAGGTCAAACCTCAAGCAGAAAATAAAGGACGGGCAGCAATGCCGACGCCTGCATCCACTTCGCGCTTGGTAGTTGGCAGTTATTTCCTCCCAGTCGGACGCCCCGTTGTTCTTGTCGGAGGTCACCTTAATGTCTCGGATGTCCATCTCGAGGAACTCCCACGGCTGAAGTAGTCGGGTCGGCATCATGAACAATTGTTTGCTCCACGCGCGCTTCCGCCGACGGCACTTGCAGGATAGGACGCAGGCGCGGACATCTTTCTTGAGCGCTCCTCATCTCCAAACGCGTGTGATATTCTTAGTCGACACGCTGAAGGAATTGTTGATGTTGTCTTCGCATTACCAACCGTTCCGATATCTCTACCCAGTACCTCTATCTGTCCGTGCTGATCAAACACTTGACAGAACGAACATAGTACCGATTTTTTGTCTGACTTCGTTTTCCAATCGTTTCGTCGTTTTCCCAGCTTTGGAGGCGTTTCGGCATCGATCATGAGAGGTGTCTTCTCTGGATCCTGAGGGTCCGCTGGTTGACCCTTGCGAGCAGGTGACAAAAAAGTGTCTGAAACTGTTGTTGTGGTACGCGACGGACGTATCCAAACACACGAAGAAGAATATACCAGCCGTGCATCACGCTGCCCCTCCGATCGTGGAACTGAAAGAGACAGACAGATGGACATATGACAGCTAGAGAGGGGGAGAGAGAGAAAGACGTTACAGACAGGAAGACATGAGAGAGGGTTTTCTTAAGGCAACGTAGTAGTACTATGGTAGTAGTAGAGTGCCATGCCATGTCTCTGCGGTATCTAGGCGATCCCAACTCCTACCGCTTTTGTCTGTCGTCTTCTTCCCATGCGGTGAAAGCTTGTATGTGCCGCAGTAGACTCAGAGATTCAGACAGTGATACTCGAGGTGGTTTGACAGAGACTCGTGCCTCCGTCCTTCCGTTATATCGGAGAGATGTGGACGGGCTCTTGAACTCTCGCGATTTTTCTGTCTGCTTCTACTAGAGCCTAAAGGGTGAATGGATGCCTAAACGCACTTTGCGCAGTACCCCCCTCTCCCCAATTCCCATCATCTGATAACCCCCCTTTCCCCCCGTTGCCTCTTGCACTTTGTTTTGTGCCAAACAAGGTGTTGAACACCGGGTGCAACCTGACCATCGCCTCCCTTGTGCCGTTCATCTCCTTCTGCAAGTTCCTCAGGGGGGCCCTACTCAACCCCACTTGGGTGCCGATACAGTTCGAGCACACCTTCCCGCTGCTGCTGCTGCTGCTGCTCTACATGCTGTTTTGCTTCTTGGTGAGCGTGAGAGAGCGCGACAAGCCTCAGCCTACCCGTCACCGCTCCCTTTCTACTACCCCCCCCTCACTCTTTCTCCCCTCGCTATTGCGACACGCGTTCAAGAGGATGCCACGAAAGTATGTACTGTATACGACGAGATAAAGAACCCCCCCTGGATCAATTCCGAAGCTCGATTTATCAACAGCACGAAGAGTCGCAGCGCCGAAAGCAGCGGCATTGAAGCCGTCTGGTGGAGAGCTCTCCGAAAACACATCGTTTCGTTTATGCATCCTCTTCGTGGAGTAATCGAGCTTTGAAAATCGGTCCAGGGGGTGTGCAATCTTGGGAGTATACAGTAGTAGATAAGCGCGTTGTTTGTGTCCCACGAACGGGCATGTCAAGGATCCGTCGCCTTCTCGAGGGGCCTCTCTCCCCCGCACAAGTCTTGTGCAGAACGTGGCGTGAAAAACACCCGGGCGTTAGCGGCATCCCTGTAAGGGGCAGAAACGACACGTGGGGTCGATTCTGAAAGTGATGCGTAGTGGCCTGTAGAGTCAGTTGGACATTGGACAGAAAGAGTTTGTGGAGGACGCTTCCCTCCCCCTCCAACCAACTACGTAACGCCTGTTTTGTCGCACGTGAACCTTTGCCTTTCATCAGACGCCTCGGCGTGATCGGGAGGGGCTGCTGCGAGTCCTGTGGACGACGATAACCTCGCCGTTCGGAAAGGTCCGATTCCTTGAGGGCTACGCATACGTCGGCGATATCCTCACCAGGTACGGCGGAAGATGGAGTTTGTTTGCCACGGTGGTGTACTGCTCGTATCATACCGAAACGTAGACGATAGTGGCGATATGGACTGCACGCTATGTAGCGAGAAGAATCGAAGACGCTCTAGGTGTGTCCACGATCGTTATCTCAAGGACGAGTGCTTGCTAATGGCGTGATGTTTTATTCTTCGAAGTATTGAATACAAGGCCTCCCTTCGGGGCGTCGGTGTGACGCCTCCCGTGGGTGCCGCAAGACCACACGGTCGAAAATTGTGCATGCGGACCGTTTTTCCTTTCTGTCGTTTACATGGGTTTTGGTATTGGTTCGCCATGCTTTCCCGTCGCGGAACGCATCCATGGGGTATTTGGCGACAAGAAGGACGAGGACGCTCCCCTTCCTTCCCCGCCCACCCCTCCCGTCTTGCTGCCACAGCAGCAGAGGGCGACGAAAGCGAGGAGGATGCTCCCGTGCTGCTTGGCCCCCCAAATCAAGAGGGGGAGGTGGTGGCGAAAGGACGTTCTCCGGAGCATTCTTCCTTGTCCGCCGAGAAGGCAACATAAGTGGACCGACTGTTCCGAGCGCAGCTTTCGTCCTCAGCACGGTTGGATTCACTCGTAACGGAGAGGCCTGGAGCTCTGGAGGGCATCAAACGGGTCGTTGAAGCGCTAGTCCCTGGAAGCGGTTCTCCCGACAATGACCTCAGTGACACGTAGAGTCGCCGGCAGCTTGGCACGTTGGTTTCAATGGCAAAGGCTCTAGGCGAGGTTGTGGCAAGTCCTGTGCAATAAAATTGTACGATTCCCGCGTTATGCAGTAGCAACGATGAAGAGAGCGCTGCGATAACCAATTGATGTCCAACTTGGAACGTGGTAAGTCGGCTGATCTCCAATCATGCAATGCTGCCCGCGCGCTGGCAGCGAGGTACGCATGGCATAGGCCGGTTCTGACGGCGGTGTAGTATTCTTTGGAGAACGGCGGCAAGGCTAGCTCCCTCCGCTGTACACCCATGTCCTCGCAAACACCGATGACATGGATGTACAGCGAAGGAGCCAGCCTTACCCCCCTCTCGAAAGCATACTACGCCGCCGTCAGAACCGATCTATGCCACGAGTACCTCGCTACTAGCGTCACCGGCAGTGATGCGATGGCATGGATGTACAGCAGAAGCAGCTAGCCTTGTCCCCCTTTTAGAAGGCATACTACGCCGCCGTCAGAACCGATCTATGCCACGCGTAGCGTCATCGACAGTGATGCGATGACATGGATGTACAGCAGATGGAGCTAGCCTTACCCCCCTTTCCGAAAGGACACTGCACGGCCATCAGGACCTGTTATGCAATGCGAACCTCGCTGCCATCGTCATCGACAGTGACTGGGTGTCCACGAGGACGACCGGTGGCATGGACAAGGTAGGTTCCACGTTATGACGGGAGTGTGGCTTGCGGGATCTGCGCTGTCTGTATGTTCAGTCGACATGCGTGCTTGCTCTCTCCCAGCCAATCGAAGCCCCGATGTTTTCTTTGCTATATTTCAGGCCGGAGCGGCCTTCTTTGTGTATAGCGCCGTTCCTGTCTGGAGAGCAACCATGCTTTGAACGTCCACCGCGCATCTGTGCGATCGCCCACGAGCTTCGCACTACTATTTTACCGTACTGGTGAAGAAATGTTTGATGAGGCTAACAGTTCAAGTGCATCAGTACGTTCAACTTCCTGCCGTGCGATACGGCGAGTCACGTGTTCCGAAAATCACCCGCAAATTCGTAGCAGCTTCCGCATGCACCATGCCCCCTTGCCGTGTCCTTCGCTATTGTAGACGGCAACCGTGGAGAAGCGAGTGCCAGAGGTGACTCCGAGCCAGGCGAAAGATCGAATTCTCCGAGCCAGGCGAAAGATCGAATTCCGGTGAGCGCAGTCGTCTCGTGGACCAAAACCTGTTTCTTGCGAATGAACGTGGCTAGAATATCTACTTTTTCCCGCTGGCCCGGTCATGGGGTAGTTTTCGCAGCGCGTTCTCATGTGATTTCGTCCGAGGGGTTGCTTGAGATTTCGTTCTATTCGGGCCCACAACCTTGTTTAATCGAACGCAAGGGGTCGAGAAGCCTGGCCTTGGGCGATTACGAAACATTTATGATACCTCCCTTGCCATGCAGCTGCTGTCGGATTTCGGCCAACTCGACCGACTGCGACGAAGAGTTGGTGTTTGCGGGCTAACTTTGTGCAAGAAGGCCACACCGGGCGCTTAAGACTCCGGCCACACACCCCTGTCCCCTCGCCTTCACAACCGCCTCTTTGTCCCCGCCGGTGGGTACGTTCGCTCTGCAGCTATGTCCGCTGTTTCCTCACGAACAGGACATGCCCGACTGCCTTCTCTCGCCCGCGGCTGTGATGTCCTTCAAGGTCAAGGACAGCATGAAGAACGTGGAGGTGAACAGGCACAACATCAGGCCTCCTGAGGCGCCCAGCATCGCCGGCATCTGTGTGTATGTCGCGCAAACGGGAGGAACTGAATGGTGCTATTGGAGGAGATGAAGGGACGCAATTTTTTGGAAGAAACGTGGCCTGTAGCAATTTTCTGCTTTCACCATCTGCGTTGTGTGGAGGTGGACGGGTTTGGCTGTACCTCATAAGATTGCCTGAGAAACTCGCGTTTGACTGGGTGTTGGTTCTTTCGTGAAGCATGCCGATGCTATTGTGGAAAGTGCTTTGCAGATATTTCAACGGACATTACAGTAACAAAAATATGACGTCCTTGTCGCGTGGCCGGGCAGGTTTTGAACCCCACGTACGCCTACATCCCACCGAAACTCGTCGATCTCTACATCACCAACATTGGGGGCTTGCAGCCGTCGTACATCCACCGGATTTTGTAGGAGTTCTACCACATGGACGACCTCATAACCCCCATTTCAGACGAGCAGGCCAGCTGAAGGTTATGGTACCAATTCCTGGGTCGTCGGTGTGAGTTGAGTAGTTTGTTGGGGGTTTGGGGATTCGTTCACTGCTGTAGCAGCGGAAGGGGCTAGACAATGTGGTGTCGTGTGATGATCACGCCGGCCTGCAGCATTCCGACTTCCGTTTGAACGTGTTCCGGTATGTGGCTGCGCACGTACACGTCATGGAATTCCATTAACCTGGTTGGAGACGTAGGGGTTGCGAAGTGCCGGTCTTGAGGTGTACATGTACCCGCTCCCTTGTCGTAGGCTGTGTTGCGTTGGAACCCAGTTGTGACGGATTCTATGTGGTAGACTATACACCAGCAATGGTATTTGACTGTGGCGAATGAACCGTGCGACTATGTTCGTTCGATTGTTGGGCGGGCGCACGACAGCAGTGGCCTCGCAGGATTTGTGCAGAGAGAAACCGTGAACGTTCCCTGCGCAAGAATATTTGGAACTGAGTTTTTGCAGAGATGGAAGCGTAGAGTTCAAGCTTGACGGCCTGAGTGAAGTTGCCATGGCGACAACAGCCTTTAACGACAAGATAGGAATGAAGGTCCTGTTGACCGGCTTCTCGCAACGTACCGAGCAGAGAGTGACGTGCTTCGATTGCGACAAACTCGAGTGCCACATGCCGACATGGCCTAGGTTTGACGTCCAACGATATCGCTTTCCATGTCCGTGTAGATGTGTGTGAAAATTGAGCTCAACGGAACGTCCGCTTAGCATGGTACCCCCGACGGAAGTGGGTACTGCGACGTCCAAGTATTCACTTCCGACGTTTCGTTTTGTATTCTTTCCGGGTGGAGAAATCATCGTTCAACGACTAATTGATGGGATTGAGCGATACACGGCCTTGTGATGAAAACGGGGCAGAACGTGATGCGGGGTTTGCGAGAGGAAGGGGGCTGAAAACCCAGACCCCCGGTAAATTATTGGTGACGGCATAACCAAATGTGGTCACGTTGGCGCCAATGAAACGGTCCTAACATCGCCTCCTCTCTAGCCACAAACGCACCACAGACACGAAAGCACCCTCCAATAGACGGCGAGTTCACTCTTCCACGAGCCCAAGCTTATGTACCCCACATCAATGTACTGCATTAATACAAATATATGGCCTCCCTCTCAACGTTCGAGTGCAAGGGATGCTGACGTGACGATATTGCCATCGTCTAGGATCCAAAGACAGAGTGAATGTCGAGTCTTTGCTCGGAACTCGTTTTCGTTTGCTTTGAGGTAACTTGACGTCTCAGGCCGAATCGAGAACATTCAGCAAAAACGTACGCACCAATCGAAATATTGGATAATTTCCCCATTCACGCAATAGTCGGTCTTGGCTTGATTGGCAAACGCAGAGCCCAACATTAATTTGACCGGGGTGCAATGCAAGCGCCTCGCCACTCGCGATCTCTCCAACAGTCCCGAGGGGGGGTGATGCGTGGTACTGCTGCAGATGCATTCAACGGATAAGAGAAAAACGATGCCGACGTTACGCTACCTTCTCATACGCCTACAGAAGGCGCCACCGTTGCAGAACCTCTAATTCACCCCAAGGGTCGCATCTCACTGACTTTCTAGGGAAACTATGCATTAGGTTCCAGAACAGGATGCTTCCCTTACCACATGTTCTTACGATCAAGCCATGGGCCGGAATCACCTAACTCCTAGGTTCATAAACAAGGTGTTCTGTAGCATTCGCGAAATGCTTCTTTGATGAGGCCATCTACCTTCATTCCGTTGATCGCGTTACGTTCACCCGGTATTGCACGTCGAGGTTGGTATCGCATTGGAATATCATAAGGGAAGGCCTTGGACCACCGTATTTCACAATGCCATGCCCTCGACCGACCCTTCCATCCACATTATCGAGAGGTATAAACAATCATACAGACCTACTCCATGCGCGCGTGACACAAGACCCCTAAGTGAAGTGTCTCTCCTCCTCTGTGTCTGTGAAACCGACTCATTACAGGGGGTGACCAACGTCGAAGGGCCCCGTTCGCCGCAACTCTTCGTCAGGCCAAGCTTCCGTAGTTGTCGAATCACGTCAGCGATGGTGGCACCCGCGTAGTGCGATTTTTTCCCTGCGAACGGCCGATAACGAAGACAGTTTTAGGGCATATCGAGCTTGACGATAGTGTCATTGTGTGGTGTGCAGTTGCGAAAGAGCGTGCGGCTGGTGCTCTCAGCGCAAACATCGTGTTGTGGTGACGACCTGCGCACGCGTGCCGGCTTACCGTTGAGTAAGGGAAGCAAGTCGTGCCTCGATAACGTCCACCCGATTGTCGACACCGTCCACACGATTTACCTGACCACTAGCGGAGGCTGAGGAAAACGGGCAATATGAGAGGGGTGTACTCAAAGTCGTGTGTGCCGTAGTCGGTTGACCGTTGACCTCGCATAGCACGATCAGAGGCGGCAGGAGAAATCAGCGCCATTCTCATGAACGTCTAGCATTCCATGCGGTGCACCGACGGGCAGTGACATAAAATCATGTGGCCATGCCTGTTCGATAGGCCCGAACCCGAGCACGAGGCACGATGAGGTGCTGCATGACAAAATAAACCGCATGCGATGTGCTCGCAAACGACCCTGTTCCAGAGGACCCCATTGGGGGGAACCCTGCTTGTTTGATGACCTTCTCCTGACCTACACTGAGCATTCGTGTGTTGCAAGAAATAACAACAAAATTGGGTATCCTTCGAGATAAAGACAACCGCCAAGACCGAATGGGTACCAAGACCCATCCACAGCTCCTCTCTCGCTGTGGTTCAGGTAGTTCTACACGCGGTTCAACGAAGCACCCAGCTACAATAGCAGGTACGGACCTGCGTCCCTCTCGCTGCCAAAACATCTCCAGGTTCCCCTTCATCTCGAGTTTCTGCTGGAGAAACTGTCCTCCTCCTTCAAACCGTGGTTATCCACCAAGTACGGCGCGGGAAAAACAATGTTCGAAGGACGTGTCGAATGATTCCCAGGAAGAAAGGACCTCATACCACATCTGGCTTCTCCAACACTCCTTCGAAATATTGGAATTACACACGCGGTTTGGAAGCAAACTGAGCTGACCAATAACCAGACAAACAAGCCGATTGTTTGGTGAGCCCGACAACCTGGTTGCCGCTTTTTTGTTTGGCCTTTGCTTTTTTTTGCGGTTAACATGGTGGTGGTCAAGTCGACAATGTTGTGCGGGGTCGAGAACCCTCACCCCGCGCAAAAGCGATGATCGCACCACGTTGTGTTAAATTGGCCAACCACCCTCGCGGCAGTGACACCGTGTTAGTAACTGTCTCTGGACGTGAAAGCACCAGAAAAAAAATAAAATCACCGCACCTGTCATCCGTATGCGAGGAACTAAAGCACAAAAATGCCAAACACCCTCAGCAGGATGCACCGCACCCTCCGCGAGACTCGTCGAATACCTCACAGAGCTTCGCGCTTGGCGAGTGAAAGCTAACCCCGCTGTGTCCCGGCTTTGTAGGGATCTGAAGTCAATGAAATAAGGACTACGACTATAGGTACGGCATGCACGACTATGAGTACACCCCCCCCTGCTTCTCGGAAAATTCGTGGGGTTCGTCGTGTGAAACTGGCACCATGTCACAACCGCGCTTACCGGCATTCACTATTTTCCTGGCTCCGAGCCACCTCTGGCACTTGCTTCTCCAGGGTTGCCATCTACAATAGCGAAGGACACGGCAAGGGAGCATGGTGCATGCGGAAGTTGCTACGAAGTTGGGGGTGATTTTCGAGACACGTGACTCGTCAAATCGCACGGTAAGAAGTTTGCAACGTGCTGATGCACTTGAACTGTTAGCCTCAGAACGTAGTTTTTCACGAGCGGTAACTAGACTGCAAAATTCGTGGGCGAAGGCATAGATAAACGTGGAGTTTCAAAGCGTGGTTGCTCTTCACGAGATCTTAACACAGGAACGGCGCAAAATAGAACCTTCAAGGCCGCTCCGGCCTGAGATATAGCAAAGAACACGTTGGGGCTTCGATTGGCTGGCAGAGAGCAAGCACGCATGTCGACTGAACATACCGACAGCGCAGGTCCCGCAGCCAAGACCCTAGTCAAAACTTGGCACTTGCCTTGTCCATGCCACCCGTCTTCCTCGTGGACACCCAGTCACTGTCGATGACGCTGGCAGCGAGGTACGCATGCATAACAGGTCCTGATGGCCGTGCAGTGTCCTTTCGAAAAGGGGGGTAAGGCTAGCTCCATCTGCTGTACATCCATGTCATCGCATCACTGTCGACGACGCTACGCGTGGCATAGATCGGTTCTGACGGCGGTGTAGTATGCCTTCCAAAAGGGGGACAAGGCTAGCTGCTTCTGCTGTACATCCATGTCATCGCATCACTGCCGGTGACGCTGGTAGCGAGGTACTCGTGGCATAGATCGGTTCTGACGGCGGCGTAGTATGCTTTCGAGAGGGGGGTAAAGCTAGCTCCTTCGCTGTACATCCATGCATCGGTGTTTGCGAGGGCATGGGTGTACAGCGGAGGGAGCTAGCCTTGCCGCCGTTCTCCAAAGAATACCACACCTCCGTCAGAACCGGCCTATGCCATGCGTACCTCGCTGCCAGCGCGCGGGCAGCAGTGCATGATTGGAGATCAGCCGACCTACCACATTCCATATTCGACATCAATTTGTTATCGCAGCGCTCTCTTCATCGTTGCTACTGCATAACGCGGGAATCGTACAATTTTATGTTGCACAGGACTTGCCACAACCTCGCCTAGAGCCTTTGCCATTGAAACCAACGTGCCAAGCTTCCGGCGACTGTACATGTCACTGAGCTCATCATCGGGAGAACCGCTTCCCGCGACTGGCGCTGCAATGACCCGTTGGATGTCCTCCAGAGCTCCAGGGCTCTCCGTTATGAGTGAATCCAACCGTGCTGAGGACAAAAGCTGCGCTCGGCACGGTCGGTCCACTTCTGCAATCGATACAAGTACAACCTATATACTCACGTGTGGTATTGAGTATGGGTTGTAGAAGGCGATACAGAAACACCACCGACTACTGTAAGGCCCGCCAAACTGAAAAACCGTTGAAACTATCATGCCTGCCCATACGAAACAGGCGTACGTACATATCCGTTGAGGCCGCGGGCCGAGAAAAGAGGCTCCTCGAGCAGCCGGGCCGAGAAAAGAGGCTCCTCGAGCAGCCAGACCTTCATCGCCTTCTCCTTCGACAGCGCCCCCGGCCTTCCCTCCGTGACGGTCTCCAGCACCACCGCCGTCGCGGCCGCCACACCCACCGACCCCCGGTCATCTTGGCGGCCGACCATGGCGGTCTCGGTCTCGGTCTCTGGAGGAGCGCCGACTATCCCGGCTGCCCCGACACAACGGAGGTGCAGTTCCAGTTCCATCATCCGCACAAAGGCGTCGTAGTTGAGCATCTGCAAGAATATTGTTATTCGTTTTTGCCGGGGGGGGGATGGGGGGGGGAGAAGAGAAGGACACCGTGTTGAAATACAGATGCAGCAGCAGGGTATCAGCAAAGCAAACATACTGGACTACGCAAAACAATATTCTCTGGTGTGTGTTGCAGCGTGACACGAGCGCTGCACACAAGAGATGGTACAGTAGATGGAGCAACATGGCATCGTATTGTGTCAGTGTGAGGCATGTTCCCAACCCCGGGGAGTCTGCCCAGCACCACCACCCCCCAGAACTTTTGTCGGGGCAATGTGAATGGAACTGCCCGTAACACAACGTCATTCATTTACGCGCCCCAGGGGGAGCTAAAACGCACTCACACAAAATCCTGGAAGACGTACCGTACGACAGGGATGTTCCAACACTACCTACCCCCTCAATGAGCGGGAAAAATAACCAACACCCAGGCGTTTGAGGCGGGCCTCTCACGGTTTGGAGCCTCATACCGCCTCGACAAGTATAACGCGCCGTCGATCGTGCAGCAACGAAAAAAGCAGCAACAACCAAACCCGGCTTCGCCCACCTCAAACGACAGAAGCCGGTGGCAGGTGTCGTACAGCTCGACGATGGCCCTCTTGAGGGACGCCAGCACGTACGGGTCTTCGGTGGTCAGGCTTTCGTCGCCGCTAGTCTTGCCCATCAAGCCCATGCCGCCGTCAACGTCGCCATCACCACCACCGCTCCGCTGTTGCAGAGATGGGCCAGGGGTGTCGAGGAGGACGGACCCCAGTTGGAGCCCACCTCCCCATTCCTGTTCCCCGCTGTGAAAATGACGTCATGCCCGCCATCGCGCTCGAGGCTGACCTGCGCACGCGGATTCTCGTGGCCCCGCTGCTGCTGCTGCTGTTGCCGCCGCCGCTGCCGCCGCCACTTCAACCCACGACAAATTGTTCCTGATATGCGGTCGTTCAACACCTTGAGTCGACGGTGGTGTGGCGAAACGGTCCAAAATGACCAGCTGGTTGACAGCAGTGCGCACAGGAAATTATTCGTTGACAGGATCGCGCGAGAGGATGGGCGGGGGGGGTACCCACGCCAATGTAGATGCTGACGTCGGGGCCGGGGAGGGCGGAGGGACTAGGCAATTACGGTCGGTCCGCGTGTAGACGCGATTGTGTGTGGAACAAGCAATAAAACACGCACGCACCATGACAATCGACGGTCTGCTTTGTATAGTACTGCAGAGTCGTGTCGGTGCCGATTGCATACCTCCTTTCGCAGGCTGTACCCTATTACCGTCCAAATCTTCTCAAAAGAAGACATCCAACTCAAAACCCAACCCAATCCCACCTGAGGGGTCGGACGCAGCACCCCGACAGTGGAAACGACCGGACTGCTACACTGCAGGTCTGGGTCATCCAGGAGAGTCGTCGTCGTCGTCCTCGTGGAAACGCCAGGGCCGTCAACGCCACCACCACTGCTGCTGTTCTTGTTGCCGCCACCGCCGCCCTGATGACCACCGCCGGTTCCGTCCGCCGCGGTGGAAGAAATGTCTTCAGGTGCGCCCCTCGCCCCGTCCAGCTTCCGGTGGAGCCGCCGTCAAAGTGTCGTGGAGAGCCGGAAAGCTTGGAGGCGCACTTGCCACTCTCGTTCCGATAGAAGGCCCACATCCTATCCTGCTCCTGCATTGGCGCGGGGGGGGGCAGGGGGGGGGGACATCATTATGGCGGTCGGGGTTACTAACGTGGAGGTCACAGTATATCGCATCATTGCTGTTGGAGAGGCGCGACGCCGGCTGTCTGCACTTCCGCAGGAGAAAAGAATAAACGTTTGTGACATGCGTGTGCTTGGCATGAGCTCACGTGTTCTCAGGTGCTCTATTGAGGTCCTGTCAAGAACAAGCAACACTAATACTGCTGTACTGAAGCATGTCATTTTCGTTGTCACCGCCAACTTTGCTGCGGATCAATCGAAGGAGGTTATGTTTAGTGCGCCGTTGTGCCTTGCTTGTTGTACGCCACAGTGCCAACCTGACGAATTCACCCATGAAGGGACGCAAGAACATGTTATGTTTCCTTTCCATCCGCCATCCTCCCTTGGGACCAACTTTGACTGACAAGACTAGATGCATACGTAGGAGCAGACGTGGGTGTCGCTACAGCAGCAACACGTTACGATGTGGCATAGGAAGCGTTTGAAGCGTTTCGGCGTCGACAATAAATAATAGAGCATGCCAACTGTCGTTGGTCAAATATAAGGAGACGCCGGTTCGAAGCAGGCGGAAGCGCGAAACGCGAACATCTACATACAATAGGTGACAGGCTCGTGGGGCGGGCTCGTTTCACCGCAACAGCAGCTGCAAAAGCAACGTCCTCAAAAGGTTTTAGTCCCACGGAAAGAGCCGCCTGGTGGTGAACCCGCAAAACTCGCCCGTTTGTTCCGGCTATACCCATGTAACTCAACGTCAAGTGTGCGAACCCTTGCACATGGTTGGATTGGGGGAGTTTTCCAACGTCTCGTTGTTTTTCCGAACGGCAGCTACACGTAGGCTAACGTACATGTGCTGTAATGCATACCGTACGCTTTTGGGGGTGGGACCATGCGGAGGACAGGAGTAGTTTCATTCTTTCGTCGAGCCCTTAGACTACCCTTTCCACTTCCACAAATCCTTGTCCCTCAAACTGTACGCAACGTGACATATTCTTAAACTTGAAGCCCTGCACAACAGCTCGTTGGGTTACGACAACGTTGACCCAGGTTCCTCCTCTCTCCGGGCGGTAGCTACAGCAGTAGCGAGCGGGTGTATCATGCGGGTATCCATCTGCAGTACTTACTACTGTAGCATCCTCTACAATCAGGCGGGTAAAATTGGCTGGCACAGACGGAATAATCGAGTTGTTTTACACATTGAATGCGGCGGGTGCCGTGTTAGGGCGGGTGAATCGGTCTGGGCACATACCCGCCTTGGAGGGCCTACGACTGCTGCAGTGGGAAGCGGTAAATCGACGGTGCGATAATCATGCACCTACAGTACTCTATCATGTACAGCAGTCAATACTCACCTCTGTCGCCCTGCTGTCGCTCATCATCATCGCCACAATTGACACGTCCCCCAGGTAGTATACACTATCCGGCCCACCATGCATGCCACAGAGACCACCGAGGCTCCCGAAGCTCTCTGTCTATGGCTTCGGATGCACTGCTGTTGCGATCATGACAGCAAGCACGGCTACGTACAGGAAGTCGCACATCGCACATCGCAGGTGGTGGATCGACTCCGAGAGATGCGGGGGGATTCAGCATCCAGCACCTATAAAGTGAACTCCTTAACCTCAACCACGCGGCATGAGGGACCAGCCCACCCTACTGCCTGCCGCCACAGGCACACGTGCACAGCGCACACCTTGAAGCGAGCACAGCAGGCGGGAAAGAGGCCTGGTGTGATAGGTGCATATTCTATGACACTGCTGCAAGTCAACAAGTCTCTGAGGGGGCTCGCAGATGGCATCCTGCATCCCGCCAGTGGGTACGGCGGTGGGTGTCTCATTTCTCCGCACACCAGTAGCGGTCACCCACGTCTCAGCTCTGCCCCAAGCTCCTTCACATAACCCACACAACAAACAAAGGGGAGGACTTACCGGAGCTCTGGTCCACAGACTTTGAGTGGTGGCATCGAAAACGAGAGGAGCTTGGTACTGCAAGCGGGATACCACACTCGCCCGACCCCGCTTTTATTCCCTTCGTCGGTGAGTCCCGATTTTGTACTTCTGGGCCCGCTCTTGTTCTGTGCACACTTCGGGGCTTCCATGCGTTGCGTTCAAAATGTTACAAGTCCTTTTTTGGACGAGGCGTGGTCAGGTGTTCATTCCATCTGGAAAGAATGCCGCGGCCAGCTGTACTACGTATTTCCCCTTCCAATTACCGACAAGCGCTCAATGCGTTAGCGTTCACAAACTCGCTGTCCGTGTCCCCGCTGCTGTCTATTCCAATCAAGTTTGCGAGCAGAACAAAACCAAACAAACAGCATAAATACATGCATCATCCACGTGCGTACGTATCCGCGGGAACGCGGGAAGCGCATTCTAAAAAGACGCATGGACGGTCTACCACGGGAAGCGCGTGCTACTACTCCGAACGAGAGCTTATTCTCACGCAGTTCATCGAAATCCCAGCAACGCCGTCTACCGCACCGTGCGCAGCAGCGCACAGCCCGTTGTAGCAGGCATCCTTTTGCACGTTCGGTACATCTCTGGTTGGCACCGGTTTCTCAATTCTCCCGCATCCCTCTTGATGTAGTCCTGGTAATCGGGAGATGACTTGTACTTGACTCCACATCGCAGGCAAGTTGGCGGGGGTGTTTTCGGGGTTGAAACTTCTGTAGCGGTGTCGCCAAATCAACTCCGTGCAGGTCCCCTGAGCAATGGCTTCCACGGACCGTGAAGCACTGAGTGCCGTGTTTCGTTTGACTGGCGGGGCTGGATGGAGGCGAAGACGCAACTGGGACACAGATGCTGCCCTAGAGACGTGGGAAGGAGTCAAAGTCAACAACCAGGGCCGAGTGGTCACGCTTGACCTGCCCGGTAACAACCTCCAAGGTTAGTCCTTCGGCATTTGCTGCTTGTGCTTTCCTCTAGAGATGGACAAACGTGCTTGACCGTACTTACGAATTCGTGGAGTAACATGCTTGATCCAGCTTGCAGCTTCTAGAACGTGTCCTCCCTACGGCGTGGGCGTCCATATGGGAATCTATGGAAGTCGAAAGGGATTCATGATCAATTTTTCAAGGCTTCTAAACTTGAGAGGGGTAGTACCAGATATTTCTGGGCCCAAATATTGCCTCACCGCTGAGCTGGTTACTCCAAAGGGATTCATCCACGGAACCAGTTTGGTAAACATTGAACAACCCCCAAAAAAGTTTCGAAAGTTGGTACCTGTCAGCTTGTTGTTGTTCAGGGCCAGCGCCCGCAGCTCGCTGAGAGCTCCCAGCTCCGGCGGGACGCGCCCTCCAAGCCAAACGGGGGGATAGCGGAGTTAGTAAGCGGGGGGAAACACAAATCCCCCGACTTGTAGAACACCTACTCACCCAAGCCGGGCGATTTATTTTTTTATTGCCCGTTAAATTCGTGTGGCATGCATTGTGCGCCATGCCACAGGAACGATACCGGTGGAGCTAGGGAAGCTGACTGCGCTGGAGGCGCTTATTCTGGGCAGAAACAACCTCTCAGGTGACATTACCCGAAAGTTCGTTTTGCATGTTACTAGATGTGTCGCCCCCCCGCATCGGCGGGATTCATCCTGGACACTGGAACAAAATTACGTACCAGTTAGCTCGTTCCCCCCAAGGCTGAGGTACTCCAGTACGGCGAGCCGTCCAAGCTCCACAGGGATGGGACCTGCAATCGAAGGAGAAAAAGCGACAACACAGTACCCATAATGTAGCGGGAAGAACCAAAGCTAAATGCCCCGGCTTCTAGAAACACCTACTCTAACGCAACTCGTAGCAAACGATGTCCTGCGAGTTCCGAAATTGCGGAATTTCGTACTCACCCACGCGTTGGCGTCCACTCACTGGTCTAGAAGCCGGGGCATTATTTTTGTTTTGACCCGCAACCATCACTCCGTTTTCCTTCTTTCACTTACAGGTCCCATTCCGCCGGCTCTGGGAAAGCTCGCAGCGCTTCAAACTCTGTACCTCGAAGGGAACCAGCTAAGCGGTGAGACACTGTTTAGAGTTGTTGAAAAAGTATCCCATGAATTTTCAACATGAATCCCGTGTATGCATGGGTGAGTAGGTGTTCTAGAAGTCGGGGGATTTTTGTGTTTTCCCCCGCTTACTATCTCCGCTATCCCCCCTTTGGCTTGCAGGGCGCATCCCGCCGGAGCTGGGAGCTCTCAGCGAGCTGCAGGTGCTGGCCCTCCACAACAACAAGCTGACAGGTACCAACTTTTGCAACTTTTTTGGGGTTGTTGAATGTTTACCAAACTTGTTCCGTGCATGAATCCCGTGTATGCGTGGGCGGGACCGATGTTCTGGAAGTTCAGAAGTCGAAAGAACAAATGTTTTTTATCATCTACTCAACTCACCCTCTAGCTTGTTGTAGCTGAGGTCGAGGGTCTTGAGGGCGCCAAGATCTCCTAGCTGCCGCGGGATGTGGCCTGTAGATGAACGAGTCAAAGCAGGGCAGTTTAACGGGATAAAAGCAAAAGATACCTCCCGCTTTCTAGAAGATCCGTCCCGCCAACTAAAGAAAAATCCCCGCGCTTTCCGTACAAAAGTTTCGTGGACGCCAACGCATGGGTGAGTAGGTGTTCTAGAAGTCGGGGGATTTTTGTGTTTTCCCCCGCTTACTATCTCCGCTATCCCCCCTTTGGCTTGCAGGGCGCATCCCGCCGGAGCTGGGAGCTCTCAGCGAGCTGCAGGTGCTGGCCCTCATCAACAACAAGCTGACAGGTACCAACTTTTGCAACTTTTTTGGGGTTGTTGAATGTTTGCCAAACTTGTTCCGTGCATGAATCCCGTGTATGCGTCGGCGTCCATGCACGTTTCTCTAGAAGAAGTGAGAATTGGCCTTTGCTATTCGCCCCTTAAAATTGTTTTTGAACGTTCGACTGACTGCAGGCCCCATCCCGCCGGAGTTGGGGAAGCTTGCAGCACTGGCGACGCTCAACCTTCAAAATAACCAACTAACTGGTGAGTATTTTGCACGGGTTTCACAATGAATCCCGCCGATGCGTACGCGTCCATGGATCTACGGAGATTGAACATAAAATAATGAGGATCAATCTAGTTTGCTTGTCTGCTTACAGGGCCTATCCCGCCGGAGCTGGGCAAGCTAACAGCGCTGGTGCAGCTCCGACTGTGGAACAACCAGCTATCCGGTGAGGCTGAAGTTGAGCATGAATGCGTATGCGTGGGTGAGTACGAAATTTCGCAATTTCGGAACTCGCGGGACATCTTTTGCTACGCATTGGGGATTGATTTTTTTTCCCGCTAAGTTTGTTTTTGCTCATCTGCTTGCAGGCCGTATCCCACCGGAGCTCGGAAACCTTGGAGCACTGACGGCGCTCGACCTAGACGCCAACAAGCTAAGCGGTGAGAAGCAAAACATCGAAAATTGCTTTCCACTAATGATTTTGCACAAGAATATCATGAGTCCTGTGCACGCATCGGCGAGATTTAGTTGGCGTCCACTCACTGGTCTAGAAGCCGGGGCATTATTTTTGTTGCGACCCGCAACCATCTCTCCGTTTTTCTTCTTCCACTTACAGGTCCCATTCCGCCGGCGCTGGGAAAGCTCGCAGCGCTTCAAGATCTGTCCCTCTACAGAAACCAGCTAAGCGGTGAGACACTGTTTTAATGTGTTGAAAAAATTTCCCATGAATTTTCAAGATGAATCCCGTGTATGCATCGGCGGGATTCATTCATTTTTTCCGTGGGGTGAAAAGGATTCATGCCGATGCTTGCAGGAATGACTCACCGCTCAGCTGGTTGCTGTAAAGGTAGAGCTGCTTCAGTGCTGAAAGGTGCCCAAGCTCCGATGGGATGGGGCCTGCAAGCGGACGGACGGAAGGGAGTAGCTCAGCGGGACAAAATAAAACAACCCCCCGCTTTCTAGAACATTGGCCCCGTACAAAAGTTTCGTGGACACCTACGCGTACGCGTCCACGAAACTTCAGAACTAGCGGGATAACAATTATGACGCCAAGTGCGTGGGTGAGCACGGAACTCGCAGGACATCGTTTGCTACGAGTTGCGTTATTGAGTAGGTGTTTCTAGAAGCCGGGGCATTTAGCTTTGATTCTTCCGCTACATTATGGGTACTGTGTTCTCGTTTTTTCTCCTTCGATTGCAGGTCCCATCCCTGTGGAGCTTGGACGGCTCGCCGTACTGGAGTACCTCAGCCTTGGGGGGAACGAGCTAACTGGTAAGTAATTTTGTTCCAGTGTCCAAGATGAATCCCGCCGATGCAGTACGCGTCCACGAAACTTCAGAACTAGCGGGATAACTTTTATGCCGCCAATACGCGGCATTCATGCTCAATTTCATGACTCACCGGACAGCTGGTTGTTCGACAGGTCGAGAATGACGAGCGCTGTGAGCTTGCCCAGCTCCGACGAGATAGGCCCTGCAAACAGAGAAGCAAAACAAATACTCCATTATTTGGGGGGGGACTACCAAAAAGTTTATGTTCGATCTCCGTAGATCTATGGACGCGGACGCATACGCGGCATTCATGCTCAACTTCAGCCTCACCGGATAGCTGGTTGTTCCACAGTCGGAGCTGCACCAGCGCTGTTAGCTTGCCCAGCTCCGGCGGGATAGGCCCTGTAAGCAGACAAGCAAACTATATACATTGATCCTCAATATTTTATGTTCGATCTCCGTAGATCCATGGACGCGTACGTAATTGGCGTCACAAAAGTTACCCCGCTAGTTCTGAAGTTTCGTGGACGCGTACGCGTGCGCGGGACTCATGCGTTCAGAAGTCGAAAGAAAAAATATAATTTTTTACTACTCAACTCACCATCTAGCTTGTTGTAGCCGAGGTTGAGGGTCTCGAGGGCGCCAAGATCTCCTAGCTGCCGCGGGATGTGGCCTGTAGACAAACGAGTCAAAGCCGGGCAATTCAGCGGGGTAAAGTAAAATATATCACCCGCTTTCTAGAACATCGGTCCCGCCGCGTTGGCGTCCACGAAACTTCAGAAATAGCGGGTACGAAATTTCACAATTTCGGAACTCGCGGGACATCTTTTCCTACGCATTTTTTTCTACAACTGTCCTTGCTGATATTTTCTCCCTGCTGCATTCTTGTGCAGGACCCATCCCCAAGGAGCTGGGAGCACTTAGTAGGCTGGAGACGCTTTGGCTCCACCACAACAACCTCACAGGTGAGAGAATCGAAGAAGAGTTGAAAGTTTTCTTGTTCACGAAATAAGAATCCTGCCGACGCATACGCGGGATTCATTCATTTTCAGAAATCGAAAGAAAACAAAACTCTTTTTGGTCTTTTTAACTCACCATCTAACTTGTTCATGGAGAGGTTGAGGACCTTCAGGGCGCCAAGCTGTCCGAGCTGAGGCGGGATATGGCCTGTAGATGAACGAGTCAACGCAGGGCAGTTTGGCAAGGTACAGAAAAGTTTATCCCGCGAGTTTTGAAATTTCGTACCCGCCCACTACATCGGCGAGATTCATCCATGGATTAATGCTAGAAAAAAACTAAACCGACCATCAAAATAAAATACGTACCTGTGAGGTGGTTGTTGCTGAGCCACAGCCTCTGCAGCTGTCGGAGATCTCTTAGCTCTGGCGGGATGTTGCCTGCCAGAGGAACGGAAAATAAGAAGTTGGCGGGAGAAAACAAACTTAATCCCCCGGCGTCTAGAAAAACGGTCCTGCCAACGCAGTGGGCGGTACAAGCTCTACGGAAATCGATGATATTAAAAAAAATCCCGTTGTAACTGCCTCCGCTGTATCTTTTGTGCAGGCCCCGACAAGTTTTCACGTAGTTCGAAGTAGAATAATTTGGTACCTGTAAGGTTGTTGGCGTTGAGGTAGAGAACCTTCAGCTCCCTGAGAGCTCCCAGCTCCGGCGGGATGTGGCCTGCGATGGGCAGAGGGAACACGGAGTTTGGGTCACGGGACGAAACAAATATATTCCCCCGGCTTCTAGAAAACACCTCCTCACCTACTGCCCAGCTCCGGCGGGATGTGGCCTGCGACCGCCAGAGAGAATACGGAGTTCGGGTTGCGAGACAAAATAAACATATTCCCCCGGCTTCTAGAACACACTACTCACCTACTACAACGGCAGGATTCACCCTGCAGGTAGCTCGTTTTGACCAAGTTTGGGATCCTTTCATGCTCGAGCTCCGACGGGATGGGACCTGCGCACGGAAGAACTCAGACAATATGGGAAATAGGCAGAAGTGGGTGTGTCCCTACCCAATTCATTTATCGCAACATGAAACATAAACTCGTGGCATGTGCCTCCCCCTCTCACATTGTTGTTGACGAGACAGCAAGTCCAAAACGACGTCATGTGACTGTGATGCGTGAGATGATTCCACCATGCGTGACTCCATATGATGCGAATCATCTGTACGCGCAGGGGCCGTGCCAGCATGCCTCGTCAAGCTCGGCGAACTTTTCTCTTTGGGCCTCGGCGACAACCAGCTCAGTGGTGAGGGTTTCGGAGATTTGTCTCTTGCAAGTGGTCGTACCATCTACCATCTAGATTACGGGGCATTAAATGGGCTAAATTAGCTGCAACGGCAAAAAAAAATCAATGCATTCTTTTCAAAAACATTATTTTGACGTACAGTCCAAAAAGATTTAATTCTTAGTGAAAATCTTTCAACAGTTTCTCAGTTATGTGCCCCCAACAATTTGGTGTTGAACGTAGCCACATCCGCAACTCTTTTTGCTTGCCCCATGTGCGTGAGCCACAGGTCCGGTGCCCTCACTTCAGCAGCTCAAAGATCTTCGCGACGCTCTGGTCTCCCCAGGCTACAGACACAGAGGTGTGTGGTGTCAATTTCTCGAGTACTCGGAAAATTATGCTAGTCTTGCCTGGCGCCGTGAGAACGTCGCGGACGTGGAAAATGGTAGACAGTCGAGAAAACCATCCCTGAAATCTGCGCGACCTTGCTCCGTCACAGCAGAGGACGCGCGAATCGGCATGGCGAAGCTGACTCTCGATGGGGAGATGAGGGGGACACCGATGAAGGCGTTCCAAAGGGGGAAGATCGACACGGACAAAATCTTCTCGGATGAGGATGTCGAAGGCGGAACGAGCACCACCATAAGCGGCACGTCTTTTCCTGGCAAAGGTATTTGAAACGTTCTGCGAGTTTGTGGTCGCTTGGTTCTTGGGGTGGCGATGTGTACGTTCAACACTTCCGTCTTGCCCTCGAACCGAGGAAGGTTCACGCACCCTACAGCAGTGATTGTGACACCCTGCCTTCGGGAACTAAATGGGTGGCAGCGGGCGTAGCAGCTGGCGTGTACAATTGATGTATTGCTCCAAGACTTGGGGGAGCTTTCCAACGCAATGTGCACCCCGGCCGATCACCGCAATAGCAGGAGAGGCTGAAAAATTCAGCATGGTCAAGCCACGCAACGCAAGACCCGTAGCAACGAAGACGAGAGACGTTCGGGATACTACCGTCGACGGAGGCATGGCAGAAATCTCAGGTATGTCGTGCGCGATACGCGACAGGCGCCATCGCCGAGTTTCATAGGAAGTGTATGTGGACGTGGCCTATTTCTGCTCCGAGCTGACATTCCCTTGTGCTATGGACAGGCTTCGACGGGTACGTCATGGCATGGTCTTTTGGACAACATCCGGCGGTGCTCCGTAGCAATGGTTTTGAGTTTGAACTCGAGGTACCCCGCCTGGGAAGAAACGTACCGGCCCTGATCGGCCTGCGATCCAGCTCAGCTGAAGTAGTAGACGGAGAAAAATGTCTGCTGCATCCCGTAGTGACGTGTCTCGCACGCAGTGGCGAGGTGTTCGACCCCCCTCTCTGTCTGCGGTTTCCCGTGGGAGATGTAAACTCTATGGAATCGGGTTCTGATTGCGGCAGTGATGACGCCGAGGTGACGTACCGTGCTTACCTTGAGTCCACTTTTTCGACGTTGACTCGAAAGCACGCTAGTTCAGAGTGGGTTCCTGTGGATGGGACTATCGAGCAAACGGACGAGGGCATTTTCGTTTTGGAGGTGCAAGTGTCTCACTTCTGCGATTTCGCCCTCAAGCAAGCCATCAAGGTGGATTCCGGTGGTGTGGAGCTCGTCAAACTACCACAGCTAAAGCACAAAAGTAGGCGGTCGCACTACCACTTTGTGAATCTAGGCACGGAGAACCTCGTGGTCCACTGCTGGGGTGTTACTCGGAAGCGGGGTTTCCTTGAGAGTTTCAGGCTGAAGCTAGGATTTGGACTCAATGGTGGGGACGCTGAGGTGGAAGCAACGCGAACGCTCGTAGATGCGCCTGGCACGGGGGTATATAAGGTGGACGTACCTGGTGGGCCCGTCGACGACCCTAGGAATGAGGCTTGCCTGGTGGTCAATGGCTTCGAATCGCTGACAGTGGCGTATACAACGCAGAAAACTGTTCGTGCTGGTACTCTGTTCGGTAGCACTCACGAGCTGGTTCAAGTATGGGGTACGAGGCACATGCAGCACAAACACGCAATGATATTCGGCATCTTGCCGGAATCGGCTTTGGTGCCTAATTTGAAAGTAGAAGATGGTGTCAACGTGGGTGAACTCGTGAGATCAAAAGTTTGATGAACGAGGGCTTGTTTTGTCGGCAATGATTCGTTTGTGTCATGGTGCGAGGGGCATTGTGTGTTGTGACTCTTAGGATAAGAAGTTCTTTGCCGTACGCCTTCCGGAGACGAATTTATTTTGTAAATAGTTGGAATGTTCTGATAATTATGTGCTTTGCAGTAGCCACGCTCCCGAAGAACTTGATTCTTTGATTCGACGAAAAATGGGGAGGCGGAGAGATTGTGTCCGTTGCGGGTGTCTGCTGTGTTACCAAGACTACGGCAACTGAACAGGGTGTTGTCATCGTAGCTCATGGATCCTCGCACTTCAGGTTCTTTGGGTTGCGCACGTCCTCCCTCCCAGTCGAAACCAGATCCTCTCGCAAAACGTTTTGTCCGAGGCTTTTTGACCCGGAGTGACTTCATAGGCGTCAGTACGTTCTTTTTTTTTTTTTTTTTCGTCCCATCTATTTTGGCGACAGTGCCTCCGATCAAGACACGAGCAACACAACGCGTATAAATATTTACTGCGAGTGAAGGCAGTCATGAACTGTTGAAGGCAGTCGTTACCTACGAGTATAGGCAGCCATTTCCTGGGGGTGAAGGCAGTCGTAAACTGCGGGTGAAGGCATTCATTACCTGCGAGCGAAGGCAGAATAGGGGAGGGATACACCCTCAACGCACCGGCTTGGTGCAGACAAGCGGCCCCGAACGTTTGGTGGCTGTTTGGCCACAGCGATGGCTTTGGTGGGCCTTGCCGACTTCATGCTGAGCCTAATCCTGTATGAAACGCAAATCTCCATTCATTTCGCGCTACAAATACGCATATCTTGATGGAACCAGGCGCTGCCTTCCAGTACGCCATTTTCGTGGAGGAACGGTCCCGTGCAATACATTCCTCTAGGAGACCGTTACGGTCTCGAGAGGTGTAAAATATATGTGGATGAATGAATGACCACGTTCACCCCGAAGCTCCGAACCACGCAGTTTTCTGACCTGAAAACCCGAGGCGCGAGGAATCAGACCATCGGCCGTCCTACGCTACTTTGGAAGCCCTCAGCAAGTTTCAGCTTGATTGGCGCCTCCTGTGTAAATGTTTGGCTGTGTCGGTGATCGGCCTTCTCGAGCACGAAACACGAGCATGCAGCAGGTGCTTCCAGCACCAACACCGGTGGCCACTCGGCTAACCTTGGGGACCCCTTGGCAAGGTGGTCAACCCTGTAGGCACCCTGTGGAGGGGTTGCACAGGGTGCATAGCGACTACAAGGTACCGGAAAGGACCTTGGTAAGGTCTTCGAGGTTGTGGGGGGTCGAGGTCCATCATCCCATTCTACCTTGCACCTTACGACACCCTGGGGTAGGTTCTCGTCCATACCCTGTTAGGGTCGGGGTGTTAGCAAGGTGGGGGGCTCGGGTCTCGGCAAGGTGCTGCGCCGTGCTAGGGTTGCCAGTCATGAACCTGCTACACATCACCACCCCCTGTACGGGTTGGGTCATGGGGCCTTGTCAGGGTTGCGCCTCCTACAAGGTAGTATGGGTTACACAGGGTTGACAATCAAGACCTTGGCCTACCCCCCCCCCCCTCTCCCCCCGGGGCTCCCCCCCCTGTACGGTGATTTTGAGGGTTAGGGGTTCGATAACGACCGATCGATGAAGTTGGGGCCCTCTCTACCTAGTATGTATGCGTAGATGCGGGGAGAGGCGAGGAGGCAGCACGTCACACAGAGGCGAAATTGCTGCCCCACTCGTAGTAACTGGTGCATGATGTAAGTGTGCTCTCGAACGAGAGTATATATATATATATTATAGCGCGCGGCCCCGGTGCTATCATCAGCATCATCGTTGCTTCATATATATATATAATACATCCATCCATAGGATAGATCTTTCCAACATTGTAGTTCCACGAACTGTGTTAAGTTCGACAAAGAAGGTAACGCAAACAATACAAATCCAGCTATGCACTGAGCGTTCTCCAAGCCCTACAATAGGCTTTTTTTATGATCCCTTAGATTTTTGGGTCACTCAGACACCTACGATAACACGACAAGGAGCTTTCTCGCATAGGGACGAAAAATAACGAAATAGGTGTGCACGCAACGCCAACAACGATGATGATGATGGTGCTTAGCTACTCGTGCAAATACGGCCTCTCTCACAATATTCCTCTGGTAACATTATTGGACCAATCTGCAACTGCTGAGCTGTAGCTGCCCAACAAACATCGTCACCGGGATCATCTCATGTTGGTCACTCCCAAACTGGCCAAACCTGTCCCCTCTTTCCCACAGCAAATCAATGATCTCTATGACGGGCGGATCCTCAGTAGACACGCGCATGGATCTGCCAACCATTGCAACAATCCTAAACCACTTCTTCGTCAGTTGTGCAAGCTATGCCCGTACCACCTGCGTCACACTACAGCAACGTCACACTAAGACACCTTCGACATTCCACATCCACACCGCTGGACACGCACAATATCGTCCTCACGAAGATCAAACAGCACCAAAAGCCTGGTTATCTGCATGCCCCTCACCCGACCATGGAGCGCGGTGTTCCTATAGAACCAAGCATCTATTTCCTACACACCGAATCCTATCACGCCGCAATCTTGTCCATCGTACTACGGTAGGTGACGAGTATGCATATTTCCACGCAACACATCACCCTCTTCTCTCTGTGGGGTGTCCAACATTGTCTGACATCATGCGCGCCGGCAGGAAACCAACCCTAACTGCATGCTGCTGGTTGGTCATCACAAATGCCCCGCTCCACATTAAACTCTCGAATCCTCGTGAAACATTTCTGAACAAACGAAGGGAGGAAATAATTGAATTTCGAGTGGCAACCCAACACTGGCAGGAGTGAAAAAACGGATGGTGCTTTCAACATTCTGACTACCCGAGCTCCCCGACCGCTTCCAACGAAAGTAATCGATTTGTGGACAACCCATACCGGTGCGAACCACCGAACAGTTGATATGTGGTAGCATGTTGAAGGTTTTTGATCAAGCACACCTTCAACGACCAGGACAGCGGCAGTAGGGGGCAAGATGCGATGCACACGGTCAAAGCACGAACCACAGACACTGACCGCCATGTACCTCCAAATACCCTCTTGAGGAACCCAACTCCAATATCCCTACCCCAAAAAAACCTTTCGCCGCGGCCACCGTGGGTACGATGTCTCCTGAAAAGATCGGCACTGTGCAAGCAATGTTCTTTGTTGCTTTGGTCTTGTTTGTTGTCTATCTCGTGCCCTATTGAGTTCGCGAACCACGTCAACAAGCTATGTGTCCTAGACGCCCTCCGCACAACCCTGCCTGGAACCTGGAAGCTGGAATTCTCGTCCCTTTAGCAATTCTCGGCGATGCATACAGACGTGTAGTCCACCCTCTCTTGATCCGGCTCCAGATCAGTTGGCAGACCTGCCTTTTTGGGGAAAGGACTCTTGTCGTTTTGTTTGCGAAGATGACGTATATGCGGACACTAGTCTACTGAACAACGAACGGGCCGACATTCACGATGGAAACGACACATATCATGGCCGACTTGCACCGGAACCCCTTCCCACTAACAACTGTGATTTCCACGTCGATTGGGCTTTCTATAGCAGCACCCGCGTCAATGCAAAAATCACTGATCGTGTTGGTCAACACGTCGCCAACGGACGATATCCTGAATCAGAGGCAGCAGGGGAGCCCAAACCTGAACCTCAGCAGGGCGACAAACGCCGGCTGCTCGGTGATGGTGCTGTACGACACCATCGCTGGATAGGCTGCCGCCGGATCGCACGTGTCATGGAACGTCATCAATGCGCTTCACATGGGGACCACAAGGTGTCCGTCAAAGAGCCGGATGGACAGAGCAGTGACGGCGGTAGGGCGGGGAGAACAGGCGGCGTAAAGGGTCCAGCAAGGACGGCATACAAGGCGGGAGGTCGCAGTGATCGTCACGGCTCTACGCGGTATAGTAGTGCAATGAGCAGAGCCGAACGAATCAAATACTGCTGCTGCGGTAGCACCGTTTTACCACGGAAAAAACATGGGATGGGCGGTTACGTGACAATCTTGGTTGGGTTACCCTCGACCTCGCTACGGCATTCAGTGACGATTTTCTCAAACTTTCCCCCTACAACGAGGCGGTTCAACATGTTCGGGTGGTCTCCCTTCTCGTCTCTTGGAAACCTCTGAGGTATGTAGCTGTTCACCCTGTGTCGTGCATGACAAAAAATGTCGGATATCGGGGGTGCCCGCGCCGCGACGTCGGTGTTGGCGGGCTGCGACTACGCTGACCTGCCTGCGAAGGCGCCACAGCCTGAAACTTGTCATATCGCCGCACGTATGTGCTTGATGCCTGTGGCCCTCTACACCTCATGACGAATCACCAGCGGAGCCCCCTCCGCTGTGGGAGAATCGCCATTCGAATCTCCCCAAACAGATCAGCACATCATGCATGTAGCCAGCGCCCACGCTTACCTGGCGATGACAAAGATTGTCAAGGCGTGGCGCATCGCCACCTCCGCGTTGATGGACGTCTTGAAACTCTGCTCGAACATGTGCAGGCAGATGATCGCCGAACTGACCGTGGCCGGCACAAGCCTGGGGGTGTCGACACAGCGAGCAGGCGGCCAACGGGTCGATGAGCGACGTACAATTACTGGTATCGGTCGTGGCAGGGTGTCTGTATGAAGGACGGAAGCTTCTGGCTGTTGTGTATGGACTCGATGCGCGACGAGTATATGCCTGCCCGGCGACAATGTCAATGAACGACCTTTTCATAGTTTTGGGTGAGATGGAGAAAAATTCATGCAATAATCTAAATTCGAATATCATCGTTGCACAAATGCGTTTGGGGACAAGCTTCGTTCCGGAAAGGTTTGTCGTTCAGCAAGCCAAGTCTATCAGCTTGGTATCATCGTCGTGAGGAGTCTTTCGTAGGTGGTCGCATCAGGTTCGAGGCAGACCTCTTGGCAACACTCCTGTCGAACAGGTCTTGCGCCCTGGTGACGGTGATGATGCGAGGAAGAATCGCGAGGGTGAGGAGAGAGCGATTGTGGTCGAGACGAGCTGCAGGACTTAGGTTACAACGTTCCTCCTGTGTCGGATGTCCATGTGGCGGAACCTTCTGCTCCGAGCCTCGAGAACTCGCGCCAAGACAACATTAGCTAAGGAGAAACGCCAGGGATGACACGCGGGCCACCACTGCGAAATCGTATTGTGTCGCCTCTTGGAAGAGAGGCAACATCTTCCGATAGACGACGCTGTGTACCTGTCTGGATGGGTGTAGCAGCACACCAGTGTCACAGGCAGAGGGAACCAACGATATTGTAGGTATACCACGGCTCTCACCACTCCCGGCAAAGGCGTAGAGAAACTGCAGCGATCACAAGTGCCGATATTCGTGTCGAGAGTACGTTGAGGCTCTCTGCTAGGCTGGGGTTGCCCAAGAACAACGGGTCGAATGCTTTGGTATGTACGGCCTCCATCGCAGTCGTTGCGGCCGAAATAATTATAGCGCTGGAAGAGATGGATTGGCTGTGTCGCTGAAACAATAAACTATGAACGCAGAAAGTTGAAGACTATGTCGCGTAAAGTACCAGGTAGTATATCAAATATTACACACTTCTTCAAAAACTGAAGAATCTGAAGACTTTGGGCAAAAACTGTATTTGTTTACACCGAGACTAAAATTCCACAGGAGGATAGGTGGCAGAAAGCCACAAAGTCCTGACCCTATAGTCTAGTTCGCCAGTATCTCCCCGGCGCCAGACATGCCACGACGAGGCAAGGAACTGATCCTGACGATGATGAGTTCACCTCCTTTCCGCAATGAGATAAAAGAACCGCAGAGGGGGAGGGGACGGACGGTTGAAACTATTGTATTATGGTGCGTCACACGTACGGAGAGGTCTAGACTGGTGCCCAGCATTGATGTCGCCGGATCAACAGAGCTCTGTGTGTATACGGTGGAAATTGATCACGCTAGTGTATCCGATTGACATTAGTATCGCAACCGCAGCAGCGCGGCACGTCCGCTACGCACCAACTAAAGAACGAGATACGGTTTGGTATCAGCGATGGGTTGTTGTTGGTGGTAGTGGTGGTGATGGTGGTGGTGTTGTTTTTGTAATGGGGGTGTCTGTTGTTGCTGCTGTGGTTTTTGTAGTCGGTGCTGCCGGTGGCGGAAGTGCAAATAATTAATACAGGCACTACTGGTTATGGTGGCGTTGGTTGTGAAGGTGACGTAAACTCTCTGGTGACCGTCAAATCGTCAGATGACAATATGGTTTCACCACCTGACGCGGGAGTGAGAATGCGACAGGAGCATTCTAGTGCGGGTACTCGCCGAGTATTGCTCTCACTATACACTGCTCAACAGCTGTACCAAAGTCAGAAGAAAGAAGGCCGGAAACGAACGATTGCAAGATTGGCATCAGAGGCAAGGGACTACCGCGGCAGCTGCGGAGAAAAACACCGGTCAACGTAGGGTGGCGAGGTTTGGACCCGGCTGTTCTGGCGAATCCAAGGAAAACCAGCATTCTGCATGAGAGAGCTCTACTGTACCTCTAGTCAACATGCATACCAGCCATGAATCGGAATCAATTGTATCCGAACGGACGGCCGAGAGGTGTTGGGGGTGACGGAGTAGGTCGACGACCCCGGCAAACAACAGTGGTCCAACACGGTGATGTAAGGTTTCAACACGGTCGTTTTAAGCAATGACTACAATAAACCCAGTTTGAGCCGCCCCGCAACCCAGCTTGTCCTGGCTTACCACCGGCGGTGGATACTCCTCTGCTGTTAGTCCTTCCGTATCCCTCTCCTCCTCCTCCCCTCCTTATCCTCCTCCTCACGGTGCAGATGGCGACCAAGTCATAGTCGGTGTAGTTGCGGCCGTAACAAAGGGCAAGGGACAACAACCAAGTACACACCACTAACGACGAGGGCAAGGAAAAGAGACACGGGTGTCCGTGAATAGCAACGAGGGTCATCCGATATGATGAAGTATACATACGTGGTTAGAGGAAGACGTGTTTCGAGTTGCGGGTGCTCGATGATGGGTAACAGCAAGTAACAGATAAATTATCCAACAGCTCCGGGGACAGTGAAGCCAGGCTTTGACATTGTAGTCAACAGCGACAGAACATGAAGAATCACAACACCAAAGTCTGGTGAAAAATCCGTTGCTTTTTGATTCGCACACAAAAGATGCGTGAACCTCGGGTGAAAAGGCAGCGGGCGTCTGGTGTTGTTCAGGCAATTGCCATATATATCTTGCGCAACAAGAAATAACATGTGCAAGCTCCGCGGCAGGAGGTCGGAGAAAAAGCCTCGGGTGACCCCAGTTGTTGCGTCAAGGTGTTGTACCGAAAGCTGTATCGAACGACGTCCAGAAAAAACCTTGGCGGAGAAAAAAACACCAACAGATACTGCTGTAGAGTCGTGGCACAGTGTAGGCAATTAGTTGCTACCCATCTCTATGAAAGCAAATAGACATGATCTCCCGTGAATCAACCTTCTACCTGAACGATGTTGACGTCCTGCACTGCGTGAAAGACTGTTCCAAGATAGGAAACAGACATTTCCTCCAAAAAAGCACCTACCTGTATGTGGAAACAACTTGGGTATCCTCACCTGGCTTCATCGACCCTCGGCATTGATATTCCGTAGGTGACGTAAGATATCATACCCCCTGGACCGATCTTCAAAGCTCGATTATTCCACGACGTAGAGCATGTACAGATCATACGGCATGTCTTCGGCAAGCTCTCGGCGAGACGGTTCAGACCACCGCCTTTTAGCACCGCCACTAATATTTTTGTCGTAGAGTACATAATCGAGCTTGGAGATCGGTCCAGGGGGTATTGTATCTTACGTCACCCGCGGTATTCGTGTACCGTCATCTCCGATGGACCCCCCCCTCACGATATAGAGAGGCAGGCCACCAGGACGACACACCCCAGCGCTTCTCGCCATTCCTCCTTGCACCCTTGTAGCGAGACTGCCCAGCAGCACCAGCAGTTGGAGTGCGCACACAAGAGAGAGAGAGGTGTGGATACACCGCCTCCTTTTCGCCAGTAACACTCGACCTCCACATGTGTTGAGAGCCGAAACGCTTCCACCCGCCCGGTCTGTCTACCCTCACCCTCGCCATACCTGCAGATATCGCAGAGACCTGGAATGCAACTCCCATTCCTTGTTGTGCCTCGTAGACCTCTGGACCTCTGTCACTGAGGGTGGCCGGTACCACTGGCCACCGAAAAGCTGCACGCCTGCTGCAGGGGACCGGGGTCACGAACCCAGCGTCCCCGAAAAAAACGGTCGTGACCGAGGTTGGGTTGAGAGGAACCGATAGAACAGCACGGTCAGTGACACGAAGATATTGAAATAAGAAACCTAGAGGGAGGGAGAGGGGGAGAGAGGGGGGTGGCGATCGACATGTGGTGACCTTGTCTGGGGAAGAAGTTACCTGCCTTCGTGCCTCGCCCCAAACCGCGCAACCGAATATTGCATCCTCGTCTGTGGTCGAACCACCGTCCACCTCTCTAACAGAGTCTCCAGTCACTGAAGCAGTCTAGAAATTCAGTCCAATCATGAATCCCGCTCATCGTCACACTGCACCATCTGGGCACTGCCGGCCTGCGATAGCGCAGGCGGGCGGGGTGGGCGGGAGGGCGGCGATGTACCCATAAATTTCTGTAGACCCGACCACGATTATCCAGACCCAGCCACGATTGATTGCGACCCCGTAGTCCACATGTACCTCCGATATGCTGCAGATGGTCCAATTTCTATTGATACGTTGTTCCAACATGGTCTACTTGGTGAACCATAGGTTGTGACAGTCATGTCCTTATTGAAATGCATTGACCGGGGAGCATCAATATTCATTCGCCAAACGTCGGGGTGTTTGAACTGTGCGAGTCCCACTCTTCGCGTTGCTGTGTCTGAGAGCTCCCGGGTTGGTTGCTGCGATACACGCCGTAAAGAAAGACAGTTGATTTCGAGGTTGCGAAACTAAATACACAGGCCAAGCGTGTGGATAGGTCGTGTTTTGTCACCCTGATGTGGGTGTGTGGAGAGCACCCTGCCTAGTTGTTGCAAGTGCCCAGCTGAAAGGTCGAGTGGCAGTTTGGTTTTTGGTGCCCCCAAAGAGGCGGAATTCCCAAAATTTCTCGAAAAAAGATGAGAAGTCAAGTATAAGGGCCAAGACCAAGGACCGCTCGCTGATTGGCGGACGCCAAGTTCAAAATGTTCCGCCGTCTTGCTCGATTGCGTCCACACCGTTGAAGGTGAGGGTACCGACAGCCATCCATATCGATGATATTTTAGCTGTTTCTTTGGGTCGGGACAGTCACCTACGTTTTCGAAGATTTGGTTCTTTCGTTCTTATCTCCTCTCCATATCTACCCCCCCCCTCCACCACCATCTATCCCCCCTCCACCACCATCTACCCCCCCTCCCCCGGTGTTTGCCATCGGGGTTGGGTTTTCGTCGCTTGGCAACGACGTTGTAAAACAAGCCCCCCCCTCGGTGTGCCATCGGGATTGGGTTTTCGTCGCTTGGCAACGACGTTGTAAAACAAGCCAATTCACTTCGTGAACTCGGCAACCAGGTTACCGTTTTTTTTTTTACCTCGTTTTTTTTTTGGGCGGTAACCATAATGGTGGTCGAGTAGATCATGTTGTGCGGGGTGGAGAACCCTCACTCCGCGCAACGGGGGATGATCGCACCACGTTGTGTTAAAATGGTCAAGCTTCCTCGAGGCAGTTACACAGTGCTTACAACTGTCTCTGGAGGTGAAAGCACCAGAAAATAAATTTAGTCATACGTAATTTAGCTGTCATCCGTACGCAAGGAAGTAAGCACAAGATGCCGAACACCCTTAGCAGGATGCAGCTCACCCTTCATGCGACTCGTCAAATACCTCACGGGCCTTCGCGCTTGGTGATGTGAGAGCCTGATCCGGTGAGAACCCGGCGTGCTCCGTCCCGGCTTTGTAGGGATGCGAGGTCAATGCATATGCATGTATTCGTGAAGCATTGCACGTTTCGTCCTGCACCTTGTGCTTGGAATCGCACCTCTGTCTCCCAGATGTCGTGGTTGCTGCTGACGTTGTGGGTGAGTTTGCGTACTGTAGGTCGACCTCCAGTCAGTTCGTTTAGAATCTCTGGCGTGTCTGGGCGAGCAACAGGGTGATGATGACGGCTTTTCCATCTCGCAATGAATGCCCCGAGTCAAAATACATATCATCCGGATCTGTTTCCCATATGGTAATACAAAGCGAACAGTTAATGGCAAGCTAGTCTTTAGCATTTCCCGAATGACGCATCTACCATGGTAGGGCACAAGGAAGAAATCAGATCTCGAAATCACATTCACATTTGGTTATAAGACCGGAAGATCCACAGAACTCTTTCGTTGATTGGCTGAAATGTTATGGAACCCGTCGAATCTTCAGGACTTATAACAGGACGACCCAAAACCAAATCGGGATTAGAAAAAAGGTGAAATCATTTAATCGGATCCCGATTTGGGTGAACAGCGTCCATAGTTGCGGGACCACGGTCTACTCGCATACACGGCGCGTGCCCACCTACCCCCATCCACACGAACTCCATCCACCGCCGAGCCCAGAGGGAAGAAAGAGCGCAAAAAGCCAACCCCAAGGGAGGGTGACTGCGCATCGTTGTTGCACGTGACTGGTCCCGAAAAAAACCGTGTGTGGGATGTGTTGGTCTGTGGGGCAATCTCCCGTGGGTTGTCGAACTTCAAATGCACAGACGCATTGGCGGCTTTCCGTCGGACGAGGGTCGATTCAAAGTGTCACATGCATAGACATCGTGTCAGAACCGCACAGAGGCCATGTACACGTTTGGTGTGTGCTTCTCGAGAGCGATAGCTCCCCATGTGGTGTGGCCACGTCATAGCAGTACGTCACAACAGCAATCTGGCAGTTGGCAAGCGGCGGACCTCTCGGGTTGTTCGTGGTGGACTGGAGATATTCGTTTCCATATGGCAGATCTGCCGTTAAGACACACTGGCCATTTCTGTCCGGATTTGGGTAGATCCGACTCTTGTATTCTTATATCGAAATGTGATTTCGAGATCTGATTTCTTCGTTAAGACCGACCCTAAATCCCAGAAACGAGACAGCTATTGGCATGTACAGCCCGTTCTTTCACCAATCGAAACTTTTCATTGTTGTCAATGCATATATTCAACTTTCTTGTCGATGGAATCCAACTTCTTGATCAAAGTCACACATATTTTGTCAAGTCTGGCCGCCTCTTTGGCTCTGACTTGATGGAGCACGGTACTTAGGCTTTTCCCCCGTAGGCGACCGCCGAAAACACCGAATTCCGAAATATGTCGCCGTAAAAAAAAAATGCCCGCCGAAAAAAAAAACTGTCGCCGAAAACCAAAAAGTAGCGCCGTTTTTGGAGGGGGCTACGCCGAATCATGGATTGAGGTCGCCGATTCTCGCCGATTAATTTCACGGTGCCGATTAATTTCGAAGATGCCAACAGCGGTGGCGGCGGTAGCGACCAGAGCGATGGCAGCGATGAAGAAAGCGACTGATGACCTGTGTTTCGGTTAGTTTCGTGTAGATGTCTTACTTCTTCGTAGTTGGTGGGTCAGTACCTGTCATGATATGCATGTTTTTGCCCGGACGTAGGCGTACATGCCATGCGTAACGTCGAAGTATCGAAGCATCTCATAGTATTCTATTTCGTTGTTGATTTGTTTGATAACTGAGGGCTTGGAATATTGCATGTACGCACCAACCAGCGTAACATGCAAGATAGATGTAGTTTGTAGAAAAATAAGAGAAGGACGAAGGACACATCATTTGGGTTTTCGCGGACAGGTGACAGGTGACCTCCGCAGCATTCCAACCGCGTCGCGACCCGCTCGTTTTTGTTACTGGAAGTACATGCTATGTACGTCGCCGAAAATCGCCAACAATCACCGAAACTGAACTATGACTCGCCGAAAAACATGTGGAAGGCGCCGAAAGTCGCCGAAAAAGGCGTTTTTTGCACTAAAAAAAAATAGCCGAAAAATTCCGTGAAACGCCGCAAAAAAAAAAAAAACATCGCCTGCGGGGGAAAAGCCTAACGGTACTCATGTCTTTCCCTGAATATCTTTGCGTGTGTAGCTTCGAGGTGATACGAACGTGTGACGCTGTCTGCGTGCCGACTATATTGTAGTCTACGTGCTTGAATGTACCGACGACCATATTTGGTTGCTGCCTTGTACCGGCCGGGGTCACGCGGAAGGCCTTGTGCGCCCAACGAGCTCCAGTGTCTGCACTGGAGTGAAAGAGACGTCCAGCAAAAAACAGTCCTGTTGGTCGTTGATACTTTCGCCCATCAGGTCTAGAAACCAGGGCGTTCTTTATGGCGTAAGAGTATAGGCTTGGATCTATATAAGTTTCGGGAGAGGGTTAGTATGGAAGGAATGGCTAAACTGATGAACGAGACCACACCATTCGATCGTTCGTCGATCTTGACTGTAAAACCACCCACGGGGCGACCGAAAATATATTTTGGGTCGTTTCGAAAAATGTGACTTGTTGCAATTTTCGAAGTTGCGCCGCACCCGGAAAATTCGCTTCTTCCGCTGGCTGAGCTGGTTTACCTATGTAGTCCAGCATCATCGTTTTGAACAATGGAAACCAGACAAGTTCGTACGTGTTTTGCAACAAATGACAGACCCTCCCGGGTAGCAGCCATGTTTAGTTTCCATCTTTTTCCGTAGAAGGCAACTCAGCGAAGCTCCAGTCTTACGTAGAAGCCTCTCAAAGAATCAATACAACGATTGTATGGGGCCTCGTTCTCCTGTACTTGCAATCGTCGATGCAATCCCACGGCAGCTGGGTTGGCGCGGTACGTCAAGAATGCAAACACGAACATACTCGCACCCCACCGAAGCCGTTGTGTGCCGCGAAGGCGCTGAAATGGGTCGATGCATGGTGTCCTGTGTGCTCAAACATCCTCCCAGATCATGAAGAAGAGCGTCACCACACCCAGACATTGACACACACGAGTTTCCCTCTCTCGGTATCTGCGCTCCTGGCGAGACGATCATATTTGGTTGCTGGCTTGTGCCGGCCGGGGTCACGTGGAAGGCCTTGTCCGCACAACGAGCTCCAGTGTCGGTACTGTATAGTAGTGGAAGAGACGTCCAGCAAAAAGCAGTCCCTGTTGGTCGTTGATTCTTTCGCCCATCTGGGTGTTTTCACTCTAGAAACCAGGGCGTTCTATGGCGTAAGAGTATAGCCTTGGATCTATGTAAGTTTCGGGAGAGGGTTAGTGTGGATGGAATGGCCTAACTGATGAACGAGATCACATATTTCGATCGTTCTTCGATCTTGGCTGAAAATCCACCCACGGGGCGAACGACCGAAACATATTTTCGGTCGTTTCAAAACCTCCGACTCGTTGCAATTTTCGAATTGCACCGCACCCGGAAAATTCGCTTCTTCCGCTGGTGGAGCTGGTTTACCTATGTATCCAGCATAATCGTTTTGAACAATGGAAACCAGAAAAGTTCGTATGTGTTTTGTAACAAATGACAGACCCTCCCGGGTATCAGCCATCTGTGGTTTCCATCTTTTTCCGTAGAAGTCAACTCAACGAAGCTCAAGTCTTACATAGAAGCCTCTCAAAAAATCATTACAATTGTGTAAGGCCTCGTTCTCCTATACCACCTGCAGTCATCGATGCAATCCCATGGCAGCTGTGTTGGCGCAGTGCCGCAAGATTCAAACACACGAACATACTCGCACCCCGCCGAAGCCGTTGTGTGCCGCGAAGGCACTGAAATGGGTTTCTTGTGTGCTCAAACATCCTCCCCCATCATGAAGAAGAGCGTCACCACACCTAGACATTGACACACGCGAGGTTCCCTCTCTCTGTATCTGCGTATTTTTTATCGTCCATCAACAACTGCTGTTTCACGCGTCTCTCCAGGAGCCCAGGTCAAAATACCCCGTACGACAAACATCGTCATTTGTCCGGACGGTTGGACGTCAACACCGGTAAGGACGATCTCGCATTCCGCCGACGTCAAGCGAAGTCGAAAGGCTGAGATGAGAAAGAAAGAGAGGGAGCGCAAGAAGCTCCGGAAACATAAGGCCAAGGCCACCATGTACGAGCCGACTATAACACCAAAGCGAAAGAACGACGATCGCAACGATCACAAGCCTCTCCTCTCGGCTGGGGCGGCGTTGGTGCCATCCACCATGGCGGTGCCTCGTTCCGAGCCGGATGACGCCCAGGCCCCACCGCCGGCCAGGCCTACGACAACGGGGGAACAATGCACCGATGATGGGGCAGCAAGGAGCTCTTCCGCGGGCGAAGGCACCGAAGATCGAGCAAGAGGAGCTACGCAATCGTTTGTTAAATAAAGTCGAGGAGGAGCTAGCGAGGTGGCAGGCGAAGGCCGCGGGAGCCGAAGCGGCTGCAACGGTTGCTACAGCTGCGGTGGCTGCGGTGCCAGCGAAGGAATCGCCCTTGCAAGCACCCGAGCCCGTTGTGTCCTCCACGCCGCTCGCGCCGCTGCAGCCCTACTACTACTGCGATCCGCTCCTGGACCGCACAGCCCACTTTGCCATGGACTGCGGGTTCTACCCAGGGGTGGCCCCCGTTCTGCTCCAGCACATTGTGTCGACCGTGTACGGAGCGGAGTTCGCAAGCAGCGTGGCGACGCTGTCGACGGCCGACGTCGACTACATGTTCCACACCTTCTGGACCAACGTGGTCAGCTCGTACAGCCGCGACGAGATATTCTTCAGGATGACGACCCACCCAGGCAACGGCGGCATCACGAGGGTGAGCAGTCAGTTCAGAGGCGCGCAATACACGGGAAGAGCGCGGGGAACACTGAGTATGTACTGAGCTTATGATGATTTAACGGGTTGTTTTGTTCGTGTCTCGCGTTGCTCGCCTAAACAAACGCTGCTCTTGTCACTGATGGAGACGACGAACTCCCGAGACGTTCGTGAAGAGAGACGGATAAATGCCTCTATGGTTAATTGGTTTTCGTGGTCGAGGATATTTTTCGTACACAAACTGAAATATATATTGCATATGTGTCCGCACGCTGTCCCCCTCGCATGGGTTTGGGTGTAGACTACATATAGTGTACGTGGTCGTGTACCAGATCTGCACCCCCTCCCGGTTAGGGTCACTCCAGCACGGGCTTGCGCACAAATATGACACCATGCAACCACAGCCGCCCCAGAAGCAACATGCTGATTTGTGTCGCTGCACCTCACCATACGTTGTACCTCCCGGGTCACCCCCCGCTGCCTGCCGCACCCACCGCTACCTCTGCCTCGTCAGGACTTGGGAGATTTCGGGTGGCACATCTACGGCCTCACGACAGGAGGAGCAGACACCCCGTGCGTGTGCGTGGGCTACACGGAATGCCACGGGCCGAATCCGGATATCGGCAGATATCTATTTCATGGCCAATGGGTCAGCTACCCTCCCGCTGGTAACATCTGTGCCTCGTGAAAAACTCCACTCTAGATTACCATAGCACATCGTGAACAAACAATCTATTGAAGGGGGCTGCGTTAGGGAAGAAAGTTCATTTTCTCGGTTGGAACAACAGCGTTTTGGAACTTCTTCACTCGACGTCCATTCATAATGTGGTCGTACGTAGTGGAGAGGATGCTGTCGGCGGGTATTCGTCGACTGTTAGTTAACTTCGACAAGCAAGCACATGCCATAGGCTCATGGACACCCCGTCTCATGTCGTTGTGTGTTTCTTCGTGTTGGTATAGCTTTCGTTACGCTATATGTACAGCATAAGTCGCCGGTTGTAAAAATGTCGGCGGATTTCATTGATGGTTCGTGGGGTTCACTCGCAATGGGGTGTATGTCGAAGAACGACCATCGCGGGTGCGACAAGGTGTGTTCGCTGGTACTTCGCTTTACGGTCCCTTCGCCTGGGACCAGGGAGATAGAGAGGTACAAGTGGGTTGCTTAACAGGGATCTCGGCCTGTGTTCACTTTGACTCCCATTTGGCCAAAACGGTCCTCACGTTTTGCCGTCAAACGTGTGGCTCGTACGGAGGACCGGGTATTGAAACTAGACGAGACTTTCACTCTGCCATTGAACGCTAGACGTTGACAACACCGTCAGCTTCCCTTTGTACTCGAACGCGGAGAGGGAGGCCACATTGGGATACATTGGATGTGCGTTGTATGTATGCAGTGTACGTTGATGTGGGATACACAAACATAGGCAGTTAGTGGGAGAGCGAACTCGCCGTCCTATTGTAGGGTCGTTTTGCGTCTGTGGTGTGTGGCGAGAGTCGGGGCGATGGTACGAGTGTTTTCATAACGCCACGTGAGCACTTTGGTTTATTTGGCCATCGTAACTTATTCATGTACTTGAAGAGGGGTCTGGGTTTTTCAGCCCGCGTCCCCTTGCAAGTCCCACATCACGTTCTGCTCCGTTTTGATAACAAGGCAACGTCGATTTGTCGTTGAACGATATTTGGTTCGACCCGGAAATAATTCCAAACGAAACGTCGGAAGAGGATACTTAGACGACGCAGTACCACGCTAAGTGAATATGCCGGTGGACTCAATTTTACACATCTACATGACAAACAGAATGGAAAACGACATCGTTGGCGGTCACGACCCACGTCATGTCCGCATGTGGCACTCGAGTTGTCGTATCGAACCACGTCGAACTCTGCTCGATGATTTGAGAGAAGACGGTGAACAAGGCCTTCATTTCCATCTTGTCGTTAGAGCTTATTGTCGGCATGGCAACTTCAATAAGGCCGTCAAGGCTTGAACTACGCTTTCTTCCCTGCAAAAACAAACTTTCATTCCGAATGTTCTAATAGCGCAGGAAACGTTCACGGTCCTGTGAGACTGCTGCTGTTGTGCGTCCGCCGAAAGACCAAACGAAAAAAGTCGCACGGTCCATTCACTGCAGCCAACAGGGCCACTACTGGTGTATGGTCTACCACATAGACGCCGTCACGACGGGATGCCAGCCCAATCTAGCCTACGATACTATGACGGGGTACATGCACACATAATGGACCGGCAATTTGCGACCATAAAGTTTCAAACTAGTGAATGGAATTGCGATGCCATAGAATTCAGCAGTCAACAAGCGGAACACCTTCTAGAGGAAGTCGGAATGCTCCAGGCCGGCATGAATGTCCACGACACCACTTGTCTAGCCTACCTGCTACAGCCGTGAGCAAGCCCCCACACTCCCAACAACCTACCCACACCGACGACCCAGAACTTGGCACATTAAACTTCAGCTGGCCTGCTCGTCTGAAGGGGAGATGATCAGGTCATCCCTGTGGTAGTACTCCGCCAACAGCCGGTAGATGTACGACGGTTGCAAGCCCCCCATGTTGGTGATGTAGAGATCGACGAGGTTGGGTGGGATGTAGTCGTACGCGGGGTTCAAAACCTGCCAGGCCGCGCGACACAGGACATAACAGTGTTGCGATCGTTGTTCTTTACGTCCAAATCTGTGCACAGCACCTTCCAGCATCTGCATGCTGCGCCAAATGGCCAACACCCAGTCTAGAGCGCGAGCGTTCTCAGGCAATCTTGAACAGGTACCGCAGAATACCATCAATATCCACGCAAAACAGAAGGTGAACGCAGCACTGTTGCTACGGGCCGCGCGTCCCTTCCAACCGTTTCGCGTCACATCATGGCCTCCAATAGCATCATTCAGTTACTCCCGTTTGCGCTGGCGCTACATATGTACACACATATGCTGGCATAGCTGAGCGCCTTGGGAGGCGTGGTGTGTTGGCTGCTCACCTCGACGTTCCTCATGCTGTCCTTGTCCTTGAAGGACATGACAGCCGCGGGCGACAGAAGACAGTTGAACGTGTCCTGGTCGTGAGGAAACAGCGGGCACAGCTGCAGAGCGAGCGGACCACCGGCGGAGACAAAGAGCCGGTTGTGAAGGGCGGCGTGGCCGAAGTCTAAGCGCGTTGTGGCCTTCTAGGACAAAGTTTGCGGTAAACACCAAACTCATTGTCGAAGTCGGTGCAGCTTGCCGAAATTTGACAGCAGCTGCATGGCAAGGGAGATACTCCACATGTTGGGGTCTCAACCAAGGACATGCTTCTCGACCCTTCGCCTTGTCCGCAAACCAAGGTTTTGGGCCAGGAGAGAATGAAATCTAACGGAACAGCCTGGGCAAACGCATCTTTGAGCACGCAGCCGAAGCTACCTCAGGGTTGTAAAAAAAAGGACAACGACGAACAATCTGGCCATGTTCATGCCCAAGAAACAGGTTTTGGTCCACGAGACGACTGAAGATCTAGACCCTGTAGGTCGAGAAAGTAACAGTATCGGCAATCTCAATCTCCTAGCAGTATGATAGCAGTAGCAGTACTGTACCTTGAACAGCCCGGTGACGCACACGACGGGCACGGAAAGGTCGTTCGCCGCCAGAGCCACGGCGTGGCTGCCATTGAGAGCGATGAGGCCCCCGTTTGCCACAACAGCATGTGTAGACAAGATCACCTTCAGAGGGCACAATGGTCCAATGGACATCAAGGGGACAAAACCAACTGTCAAAAGCCGGAAACGCAAAAGGTTTTGCTGCGTCAGTCGGCGGGTTTTCCAACGAGGGCGGTGGCAGTAAACGCCTCCCTACTTGTTCTACCGTGTGCTGTGTCACTCGGCCGCCATGTCGAGCACTGCTGTCGTCCTAACTGACACATGCCACCCGTGACGCAAACCCACGGCAAGGGATCACTGCTGGTGATGGGCGGCCACAACCGGATTGGCAGACGAAGGACTGGGGTCGACGAGGGGGTGAACGACTTCGAAAATTCCATGATGCACACAAACAAAAACGCCAAAATCTCGTCGAAACCCATCGATCGACCACCGCACCTTGTTAACCCTGGCCATCATGGCGAACACCGCGCTGTCGCTGATCACGGTCGTGTCAATGCCATGCTTGGCCAGGCTCTTGGCGAGAACCTGACCACCGTGAAACATAGTACAGAACGGACAAATGTGCATGCACGTACGTTAAGCGATTGCCAAGCGTACTCACAGAAGGGGAAAATCTGGTGGATCCAGGAGGGTGAGACACACACGTGCACCTCACATGCGTCCAACGCCCCCCCACCACCCCCTCGCAGTTGGCGTATCTTTGCGCTAGCGCGAACAAGCTGTCGGCAAATAACCCATCAGATCAGCAAACAGTAAAAATCAAGACCTCGGGGCGAAACCGTAGACCCGTCATTTCCGTTCCGTGAATTTGCGGATCACTCCGGCTCGAACGCCATAGACATGCCATATCCGATTGGGACAAGTACTTCGGAGTATGCTTTTGTTGGGCACTCTAGACGGCTTCCACGGTTACATCGAACAACTCTCTGAAAACAGTCGCCCCTGCGCCCTGTGGTGTTTACGATTGACGTAAGTATCGTAACCGCAGCAGTCCGCTACGCACCAACTAAAGAACAAAGCACACTTGCAAATGATGGGCAAAGAAGGACAGCCCCCGAGGCTCGGTACCAACCTATCACTCACGTGGCCGCTGCACAACGGCGCCGCCTCCGCCACGATGACTCTGAAGTTCAGGCCGTCCTTCGCTCCACCAGCAGCGGCCTTAAGGAAAGCGTCCACCGTCGCCGAGTTTCCAAAGGTCAGTATGACCTCGCTGTGGCAAACCGAGGACACGGCAAAGAATGCGGGTACGAGAAAATTAACACGTGCACAAAATACAGCACAAGAACGAAAGCAGAAAAAGAACGAAGGCAGAAAGCAAGAACGAAGACAGAACAAGAACGAAGACAAAACAAGAACGAAGACAGAAAACAAGAGTGAAGACAAAACAAGAACGAATACAGAACAAGAACGAAGACAGAATAAGAACGAAGAACACAAAATGTGTCGAAACTAGGTCAAGCATACTGGCGAGGATCCTCATGGAGACAGCATCCTATTTCACAAGAGTACCATTGAGGAATCAGGATACAAGTCACGTTAAGGCCTTGTCGTATGTTGGTCAACACGCCAAATGTCACAATCTCCACGGCAAGAAAAACACATTTGTGGGCCCACACCTCGCACACTCGAAACACCACCACACACCCGCAACACCAACACCAACAACCAAAACATTCCCAAACACAAGAGCGTCGACACACTTGGCGTGTATGGTGTCCTTTGCGTGTTCCTTGATGACGCCTCGCATGTCCCGCAACTCCGTCATGAGCTCGCTGATGCTGGCCACCACGTTTTGTCGAAGGTCTGGGCACGACCTGTGGACAACAACAATTCGCAGCACGTCGTTGTGGCAGATGGCGTAAAATAAAACACTGTTGCTATTGCTGTAGTAGTTGTTGCTGTCCCTTGGTCCTTCGTCAGTCGCAACAAACCTTCCATGGCTTGAAGGATAAATCCTTGTGTCTAACCGGAGAGTGCTCGGTGAGTACAATCATCAGTAGAGGACACCGCTTTCAAGGACACTCCCCCGGTTAAGAACATATTTTATACCACAGGTATGGTGGCTCACAGAATGTACGGCAAAACGAGGGGTATCAACCTTAAGGGCACCTCCCCGGCTTAAGGACACCTGTTGAAACGAAAACCCACGTGTGTCCTTCACCAAGGTACGACTGACTGTACCCTGCAATATCGACACGAAAAAACTGCTGTAGCGAACCCCATACAACGAGAACGAAATCGGGTAGGGGAGATGCTTAGATTTGTAGGTCAAGGAGAACAGGGGATTTCGAACAACGAGAGAAATCTAATATTAGCCGAAAACAAAACAAGAGTTGAGCCAATGTGGCTGACCTTCCGAAGTCGGTGGCGCCGAACTGTCCTCCCAGCATCCCCGTCAGCGAAGGCCCAAGCCCTCCCCCCTCCGCCGTCCCGGCCGCCCCTCCCGCCCCTCCTGTCGCAGCCCCTGCATCGGAAATACAGTTGGTGTTGCTGTTGTTGTCGGTGGTGGCGATGATGTGTAATAGGTACTAGTCATGGGTCGGCTGTTGTAGCTGTTGCTGTTGCTGTTGGTGATGGTGGTGGCGGTGGTGATGATGATCGTGCCGTAATAGGTATTAGTCATGGGTCGGCTATTGCTGCTGGTGTTGTTGCTGTTGTTGATGTTGGTGGTGGTGGTGATGATAATCGTGCTGTAGTAGGTATCAGTCATGGGTCGGCTGCTGTTGCTGTTGCTGTTGGGTGGTGGTGGTGGCGGTGGTGGTGGCGGTGTATGTTGGAATACTCAATGACACTCATTAGAGTTTGCACTGCTGTAAACAACAGTAAGTAGGTATTCACCTAAGGAGTATTACCGGAATAGCCTTCGGTATTATGTTGATTCAGTAATCGGATCATTGTACACACCTACGGGTTATACATTGAACCATAAAAGTATGGTACATCGGACCGTTGTCCTATAGGATATTCTAGCAACGTTGTCATAGGTCGGTGTATTGGGTAGCAGCGATGGGTTGGGTATTGCTACATTTACTCCTGCTGTTGATGATACGGTTGTCGTCGGTGATGGCGGTGGCGCAAGAGAAAACACAGTAGCTCGACTTAGAGTCCGGCATTGCTGCTCTTGCTGGCGTCAGGTGTGACGGTGGAGCTTACGGGCTTGTGACCGCCACGGCCATCAGATGACACAAACAACCCAATAAGGAGGTTTCATCAAACCCATACGGGAGTGAAAATGTCACAAAAGCATTCTTAAGTTGTGTGGGTACTCTCCACAGCTGTTCCTCCCACAAATGCTGCTCAACAGCTGTACCAAAGTCAGAAAGAAGAGAGCAGCCACAGGCTGGATCCGAAAGATTGGGCGATTGGTATCGGAGGCTAGGGAGTGGTGCGGCAGCCGCGGTGAAGAACACCGTTCAACGTAGGGTTGCGAGGTTTGGACACGGCCCTTCTGGCGAGTTCAGGGAAGCCCAGCATTCTGCATGAGAGAATATGCTGCTGAAGTACATCTCTGCTCACGAAACACAGCAGTCAAGAGTCGGAGAGATATGGAGAGAGAGAGGCAGAGGCAGAGGCAGAGAGAGATTGAGGCAGAGAGAGATTGAGACAGAGAGAAAATGAGACAGAGACAGAGAGGGAGAGAGAGACAGAGAGAGAGAGAGAGACAGACAGACAGACAGAGAGAGAGACAGAGAGAGAGAGACAGACAGAGAGAGAGAGAGAGAGGACTGTGTCGGAACGAAGGCTAGAGAGGTCGCAGGGGTGACGGAGTAGCGCGACAGCCCCGGCAAAAATATGAAGGTTTGAACAGAGCCGTTCTAAGCAGTGCCCCCCCCCCCCCGTACCCTGCTTGTCCTGGCTCACCACGGGGGGTGGATTCCCCTCTGCTGTTAGCCCTGCCGTGTCCACCTCCTCCCCCTCCCCCTCCTCGCGATGCAGATGGCGACGTAAGCGAAGCCGATGTTGCTGCTGCAATAAAGAAGCCAGAATATCGAAAACACCCAATTTTCGTGAAAGAGGTCAAGTCGAAACTTGGTGAGGGGTGTCGGCGATGAGCAAGAAATTTCAACCGAAGGCGAAAGCGAAGCCGGCGTTGCTGGCTGCTGCAACGAAGCTGCCAGAAAATAAACTACAACCCCATCATCGTATGACAGGGAAAGTAGCATGTACAGAAGAAACTGTCATTGAGGATTAAGGTTTTCTTGGCGTTAGCAAACTCAACCACGTGCGGAAGATGAGATCCGAATATCACGGCCAGTCACTCCAAAGTGAAAGCGAAGTCGATATACACCACTTGCACTAGGCAGGAAAGCGGTGGAATTGGGGCTGTGAGCGAAATTCGAGATGCGCCCCAGCAGCGGTGGGGGCACCGCGGCATCTATTGCAAGTAGTGAATTGCTGCTGCAATTCTACAAGCCCATCGTTCCAAGCGGGGGGCGCAGTGAGCAACGGAAGCCATCCGATGGTGTACTCTGTTCGAGGAAGGAGTGGCGGTCTCGAGTTGCGAGCATACAACTTCGGGCACCATCCCGCAATGCCAACTAAAGGCGGGCACCATGCTTGCTGAGGGTAGAAGTCATCAGCAGGTGACGTAATATTTCACACCCGCTGGACCGAATGTTCAACGCTCGATTTCGCCGATCTCCCAAAGCATGATTACTCCACGACGAAGACGATGCGCAGAAAAAACTGTACGCTTTCTAAAGCTCTCGATTCGTGGTTCCTTCGCCCCCATTGTCGGCGTCGGCACTCGTTCGGCTGGGGAATAATCGCATAATCGCGCTTTGGAAGATCGATTCAACGGGGTGTGGTATCTTACGTCATGTCACCTACTACTCTCTAGCGGGTGCCGAACAGAGGGAGAAGTCAAGCCTGCGGCGTCGCACAAGATAGCGAGCACCGAGCAAAAAAACATACTCCACAGTCTGAAGAAAAAAACTCACGCTTCCAAACAACGTCCCCGCAACACTTCCATAACAATTCGAACGCCTTCCATGGCTAAAAAAACAACGCTACAACAACGGCCAAGCACAATGCTGAATCGTCGCTACTGTGAGTCGGCCATCGCGACGAGCCCACCCCGACGCACTCACAAAGAAGTCGGCAACACCGACCAAAATAGCGGCGACAACACAGGAGGAGAGTCATTTACCACCGGCTCACCCTGCCCACCGCCGCTTCCATCACCGGCAGAGAAAGCAGACTCGTACTCGTCTCTGATGATGTACAGCACTCGCCGAACCTGCAGCCAACCGGACGAGAGAGGAAGCAAGGCAAGGGGGGGAGGGGGGGGGATGGTCTCCAACATCCGAGCGCAACTACCACGGTGTCTCGAAACAAGCTTTGAAACTCGGTCGAGGGGTGTGTGGTATCTAACGTATGCGACCTTATGACACAAATTCAGATAACTCATCCCCTGGACCGATATTCAAAGCTCGATTTATCAGCCGCAGAGAGAGTCGCAGCGCTGAAACCGGCGGCGTTGAAACCGTCTCGTCGAGAGCTATCCGAAGATGTGTCGTTTCGTTTATGCAATCATTTTCGTCGTGGAGTAGTCGAGCTTTGAAAATCGGTCCAGGGGGTGTGGTATCTTGCGCGAACCATGTTTTGTGGACACGGCGGTCGGTATGATGCACGGAGCCTCTGGGGGGGGGGGTGCGATGTGATGATTTGGGAGTTACGGAATCCCCTGCGCGTCGGAGTATCGGGTTCATCTCTGCTCGGACTCAACGCATGTCAACACGACGGGTGCCCAAAGAACTGAAAGCACGTCAGCTATACCTCCACACGTATCAACTGTTTCGCTGTTCATGTCTGGTCGCCATGATAATTGTACCCCGGCAATTGTCGCTATCAAGTTTATAGACACCCACATTTCGTCGCAAAGGGCGTGGCCGAACCGTTCGATTCCGAACCCCGCAAAAGACGACAAAAAGAAATTCGATTCTGAACCACGCAAAGGAAAAAAAACCCTCAAGCGTCGGCCTTACGGCAGTAGGGGGTGAGAGCAACCCTTTCTAGGCGCCCGCCCCAATCCATGGGTACCCCCCCCCCCCCGCGCCCCCCCGCCCCAGCACAGGTACCTACCCCCAAACCCGCCCGCCTGACCCTCACCATATTGCCGACGGCGAGCTCCGAGGGCTTTGCGGCCACGAGCTCCTTTCCCACCTCCCTCACCGCGTCCATGAGCTGCCCCGCGGTGCCCCACTTGCAGGATCCGACAAGGTTGCGGTAGAGCTCCACCGTGAACTGCGCGCAGTTGTAGGGTCCGCTTACTTGCCTGAGACGGCCGGCCGGCCGGGAGGGAGCAGGCAGTACAGCAGTCATGCCTCGGTTATGGAAACCAAAATGATGGAAACTCGCTCGGTCGAGGATGCTTGAGGCCACCGTCCCTTCCCACGGAGGCTACCGTGCCCACCCACGTTAGTATGACGTAGGTCTAGGGACTATTAGGTTAACCCAGGGCCGATGTAGATGACACGAACCTTGACTGTCACACACCCGTGCTCCTTCCAGCACAGTACACAAGAAAGATAAGATGAACACATTGCGCAGGTTCTTTCTCGACCCCCAATAGCACACCCACCATACACACGTACGGCCGCTGCTTTACATCTCGTCGCTATTTGTAAGGTAGAGGGGGGGGAGGGCTGCATATGCGGCTCTTTCTTGTTTTGTTTTTTCCAGCCCTCTTAGCGCGATGATGACCAGACGGGGAGTGGTTGGCTTCCGGTTTGTCTCTCGCCAGGTCTTCGCTGGCTATTTTTTTAGATAGATTTTTGTTCCCCAGATCGGATCTTGTATCCACGAAAGTACCCCAAACAGAGGACAACTTATTTTCTGTCACAGGCATGGATGGTGGCTGGCAACATGTACAACACAAGGACAGGTATCATGTCAACCTTGAGGACACTTCCCCCGGCTGACGGACACCTTTAATAGCAAAAATCCAGGTGTGTCCTTAACTGTACCGCAAGAGGTGGAGAGATGGCCGGCACCGGATGGCCGGCACCGGCTGCGATCGCTATCGTAAGTATCATCTCTCCGACGCCGGTGAGGACGGAAATACAACTAAATCTAGGCCTGTACTCGGTAGGCGACTGCCTTGTTCGTTGTTGTCGATTCTGGTTATTATGTTGAAAATAGAGTAGAAGAAAGGCTAGCGTATCTATATCGCAAATAGTAACGCCTACGGAGTACAACCCTAAACATGCCGTTGCGTTCTGCGTTTTCAAAGCACCCCGGTCTTGCCTCTCCCATGGATGCGATGCCAATGTAATAAAATGCAGACAGCGGGCCTGCTTTTCACTGAGGGGGCCAACGTGTTGGAATGCAGAAAGCGCCCGCAGTAAAGAACGTCTAGTTTTGGCCGATGCTGGCGTTCGTGGCTCCTAGTTTCATGCCACGGATGACCCGCTAAACAGGCTTACAGTAGGAGTGCTTGACCATGCTTACAAATGGTGCTCAAGTTCTTAGATGCTTAACTGCCGAGTTCTGAAGTGCGGGCTCGTTCTGTTCTGCAGTCGTCGTTGTTCAGGACAGTCACCTGGCGCAGAGGGACGCCGCCCTTGGTAGCCTAGAACACAGTCGTCCCTCGTTAAAGGACACACACGACTACTTGGCGTAGTTAAAACAGGTGTCTTCCGTGAGGCGGGGAAGGGCCTCAATATTGAATACTCCCCGTCGTGTACAAAAAGGAGTGGCGAGTGTACCTGACTGAGCTTGGGAAAAATGTAGAAGGAAGATGTAGGGAGATGTTTGAGGCAAAGAATACCAGGAGAAGACGGTAGCTGCACTGGGGCATAGGGAAGTGGGTTGAAAAGGCGGGAAGTGATATCGACAGGATAAATAGACTAGAGAAGACATTTGTGAGTCACCTTTGGCAACGTAGGAAGGAACGATTGGCCATCGGTGATCGGTCCTGTGGGAACAATCCTCCGTCCTCCCGAGTGGTCAACGGTTTAACCGCTAACGCATGCAAAACACAAGAGTACGCCCCCCCCCCCCCCCCTCCATTATGTTGTACATTCGGCGGATCGCCATGCCTGTAAAGAAAAAAGCGTCCTTACCCGAGGGACGACTGCAATTGTAGCGTAGGGGTTTCATTCTCACCTGCCCGCACCGAGAGCATTTAGGAACAAATGGAGGGCCCTCAAAAATGACACCGGTATTGTGCCCGACCGGCGCTATTCGGAGCGACCGGTGCTATTCAATGTACAGAACGACTTGGTGATTCAGCCCGTGTCCAGCATTAACACCGGCGCTATTCAAGGCTACCGGCGCCAGTCAACTGGCGTTGTTGACGCCCCCCCACTGTTGGCAGGATAGGGGTTGGTAGGGCAAATGTGGCTCCAATGTAAGAGGGTCCACAACGGTTGCCACGGACTCGACCCTCCATAGCATAGCTAAGTACTCTTTTTCCGGTATACGAGGGGGCTCCGATATAAGATATGGCCGAGGGCCTTTGTCACACCACCCTCTCATGTCAAATCGGAGCCACGACTGCTGTAGAGCGATCGATGTTCAGGACAGTGGCATACGGTGTTGAGGGAAGCCGTCCTTGGTGATTCATCAACAACACCGGCGCTATTCAACGCTACCGGCACTAACCAACCGGCGATGACGGCCGTCTGTTGTAGGCAGGGAAGGGGGTAGTAAGACCAACGTGTTGAAATAGTGCGGTCGTTGTTCAGAACACCGAAACGAAACCGAAACCGAAACCGAAACCGAAACCGTCCGCGAGGTTTCGGTCTTCCCCAACAATTGGAAAATGCCGAGGCGCGGCGACAATGCATCCTGTAGCATTGAGGAACAGGCGTAGGGTTTAATACGGTCGAGGTGTGTGCAGTTAAAAAAAATAACACGACGAGGGGTTGAGACATGTGCGATATTTGCGATTTGTTTGTCGAGAAACACGTGTCGTGTGCTGGATTTTTCAGGGGCACCGTTGAGAGTGGAAGACGCTCAAGACCTGGCTGCGACAGCCGACAGCATTCAGGAACACGTGTAGGATAGGGTAGAAGTTTTTCATGGGATATTGAGGTCGGGATCGGGGTGCGTGCGGTGTGAAGTTGAAATAAAAAGACGGGTGGGCGGGCGGCTAGATTTGACTTGTGGGCGAAAACACATAAAATTGACAGTAGTGCCTACGCTGTGAGGAAGCGTTGGGATTCGTAACATGCAAGCATCGCAGCAGGGGTGGACGGGACCCTTCTGTGTAGCCACGAAATCGAGCTCTACTTGGCATAGGATTATAGTGATGAAAAGAAAAGAAAAAGGGTCCCTACATTTGAGTATACCTTTTTTAGGCAAGTTATCCAGTCACCAGGAATCGCTCGGTTAAGTGTTTGATCGGTAGGGACAGATGATTGTACTGGGTGGAGAGATCGCAACGGTTTTCAATATCGAGACAACAACCACCACCACCAACATCAACAACAGTAACAACAACAAGCGCCATCATCGCAACGCGCACCTCCGCTTGAGGCCCACGACCAGCGTCTCCAGCTGGCTCAACACCCTCGGCCACTGCTGCAGCCACGCCCTCACGTCCATGCTCGCCACGTCGAAACCGGTCGGCTTCCCTCCGTGGCTGTAGTCCACGCTCAGGGACCGCATGTTGCTGCGGTAAGACTGCTCCATCCCTGTCCGCGTGTGTGCATCGGACAACGGTTGTACGGCATAAAAGCTACGCGTGTCCACAGTGATATGTACTCATCCGATGCAGGAACTCGTCAGGGTAGTGCTGCTGCGGAAAGACTGCTGCATTCCTACCCACTTGTGCATTGGACGAGAATACAGACAATGTTTCGTGTGTCCAGTGATATGTACTCATCCGATGTAGGAACTCGTCACGGTGGTGCTGCTGCGGAAAGACTGCTGTATTCCTTCCCACGTGTGCACTGCTGCGGAAAGACTGCTGTATTCCTTCCCACGTGTGCACTGCTGCGGAAAGACTGCTGTATTCCTACCTACGTGTGCATTGGACGATAACACAGACAGCACAAATGTTGCCTGTGTCCCGTGATACTTACTCGATGGGGGTTAAGTTCAAGTACATCGTCAAGGTGGTGGTGCTGCGGAAAGACTGCCGTATTCCTATCGACACGTGCACTGGATAAGCATATAGACGATCACAAAATGCTACTTGAGTCCCGTGATGTTTACTCGTCAGGGGTTAAGGGGAAGTACGTCATCTAGGTGGCGTTGGCTGCGGGAATACTCTCCATCGGACGAGGAAAATACAACACTCTTTGTTTTCCGCGTGTCCCACGAATATTCCGTTACGCACCGCCAGAAACGCAGTCGCCGGGTGGAGTGGTGTTCCCGGTTTAGCGCCCCCCTGTTAAAACGACACGCCCTGTACATAGCGACCACGAAAAATAGCGCTTGGCCCCAGCACACTCCGACTATTCAACAGCCGCCGTAGGCAATAGCGACTGCCACACTTGGACTACATCATGGCCGCCACACTTGGACTACATCATGGCTGCCACACTTGGACTACATCATGGCTGCCACACTTGGACTACATCATGGCCGCCATACCCGGCAGAGCGACCTACCTGCCCTGGATAGCGATTACCGTATACCCTCTCGACCCTAAATAGGGGTCGCGCCAGGCCCGCTGCTGCAGCTGCAAGTCTACGGGTGTGGCCCTAAGCAGAAGGTTCCAACGACTCCAACCACAAAGCAAGGCTCGCAGGAACTTGTGCAATAGAACCATAGACTATGTAGGACATGAGGGTTGCATACAGCATGTGAGGTGGCCGCAGCAGGTGCCGTTCACTGCGTCCTTCGAGCAAATCGACAACCTCTTGTCCGGTATGTTTGTAACTGCTGTGGCGGCAGTTCGCCGAAGAGAATGTGGTAATTTTCAAACGAACGAAGTCTCGGGCATGATGCAGCTCTAGCACCAGGACTACTGCTGTACGACCTCAGTGCTAAATCCACAAAAACACCCGCGTACAGCAGACGCTCCGCCTCGCGTACCCTCTGGTGTGCCATCCCATCCGGTAGACCACAGCACTGAGCAAAGCCGAGAAAGTGTTTCCATCGTGGCCGCGTTGCACATGCCGCTGCCGACATAACAATCACGTACCGGACCGTGCGGTACAACGTTCACCTACAAACGCGATGGACGGGAAGTACACGTTGTATGCTATGCGTGGACTGCTACTGCTGTATGCTTGATGAGGGATACAGGAGAGAGCCGGGACGGGCGTGGGGTGTTTCCAGCCTGCTGTGCGCACAAGTGTGGACTGCTGTTTGGGAAGGGTTGGTAGATCACATGTAGGGAAAGGGACCGAGTCAATCCACACAGCTACTAGCACGGGCATGCCGAGAGAGATAGATTCCAGCATGCGGCCGCTAGCGAAGGCCGCCTGCAGCTACGCTCCGCATTCAAACGACACTCTCGAGGGCGAAAACGTCCCCGTCAAGGCCACTGCCATTGCTCACCACAGCAGCTGCACCGAACTTGTCATCTTACCTCCTGCTCCTCAACACCCGACAGCAACTTGCTGCCAGCAATCCCCAGCTGTATAATCCCGACGCGCTGCTGTTCTCGCAGGGGCGGTTGGGTGCCAATGAGCAGGGATATTGCTTGAGGAGCATGCCGGGTGGCTACGAACGCGGGGCAATTTTGTCTATGGGACCATGAAGAGGGTTCGCGAGGCGTTCGTTTTTAGAGGGGATACGCAACATCAATTCTCGCCTCTGCGCGAGCCGCGGCGCCCCAGTCATCGAAGTCTTGCTACACGCCCCTCGCCTCTCCGCTCTCCAACAGCAGCATGGACCGCAACCCGAGAACGTCCTCATCTGGCAGAAGGAGGAACGTTGTCAAGCCCGGGGTACGTATGGATGTACGCCTTTTGCTTTTCGTCGACGCATCTGTGCTGTACATACAAGTAGTCTACATAACACTCCATCATTTCAAAATTTGATGTTGCGGCAAGGGTTGCGGTCTTGAGCGTGCTTCATTGCGTACCTGATGAACCCTCCAGCGTCTGTGCTTTCATTTGCTGTTCGAACTCTGATGAGATATATCTCATTCCCTTTGGTATGATTTGCATATCGTTCATACACGCTATGATTTCTCACCTATGACTCCGCACCCTCTGTTCTGGACTGTGCTACACCTGCACGTCGCCTTTCTTTGGCACTGCTGTAACATCTGCACCCCACTTGGGCCGGGCGCTACTGCAACGCCTTCATTCCACTGCCTGGCCGGTCGCTGCTGTGACGCCTACACTCCATTTGCCGGGCATTGCTTTGACACCTGCACTCCACTACTCTGCCGGGCGCTGCTACTGCTGTGAAGCGCATCGACACGATTCTGGGGCACGACCGGCAAGCCCTCCGCCTCAACTTCGGCCTAGCGATGCACCAGCACCACTCTTACACCTCGGCCTCCTCCAGCAGAGCGCCTATGCACGGCGGCAGCGGCGGCGATGGGCATCGCGGTGGTAGCGCCCGAGATGCTGCTGGCACCGGTGCAGGTACACAATACTCGCTTGTGAAGAATATGTTCATCTACACTGGTGTATAGCACGGAAGATTATTCACACCCCCGACGGCATGATGGTGACCCCTCATCCTCATCCGATGTGGGAAGTTCTGCCTGTTGCGCAGACGATTCCATTCTGCCAGCGACCGGAGAATGAATAGGACTGCAGCGTCCCGGAATCATGCCAACACACGATGTACTTCATTCTGCAGTGTTGCGATTCCTCCTCCGTGTGTGTGCATTCATGCAGGTACCACAATGTACGTACATGACCTACAGCAGTAGTTCTGTGCAGCAGTGGGTGGGGTATGAATTGCGCCCAGGAACGACAGGGTAGGTAAACGACACGTTGTGCTGTTCTCCGACTGATAATCTGATTGTCGCATTGGGACAGCGGTTTGCATGACGGGATCTTGGCTTGGCTGACCTTCTCGTCCTGGAGTCCAAATGACAGATGATGTTGGTTGAAACTTCTTCATAACATATCATCAACCTTGAACAGTATTCCACCCTGGCATCATACCGAATGGAAGCACTGCATTTCCTGCTCGATTTCCTTATGTTCTCGTGTTTGAAACTCTCTATTGCCACGGACAGATTCATCCGAACCTCTCACTCTTTCCGGCAGCCTTAGCCAGGAGCCGTACAGTCACGGCATGTTCACGAGCCAGGGAATTTCTCTTAGTCAAGGAACTGCCAGCCAAATGGGACATCAGGTACGACGTATGGACTGGTTTTCATCATGTGACATTCAAGATTCACCACGGGAGAATCGTTGAGTACATCCCAGAGTGATACTGTAGGGCACACCTCATATGTAAATCGCCCACATATATGATGATATGAAATTAACGTTTCACTCGTGAGGGCACACCGTGTACTGATCTGATCTGATGTATCGCAAGAGACGGATGCGAACAGCAGTGCGTAGCGGCTAGTTTAACTGAGGAAGCAAAGATCGTATTGTTTCTTAAAAGAGAGATTGACAGTAGTTCGCGTGACGCAAGTTTCATGCGTCTCAATTGCCAGAGCCTTGTTCGTGGTGTTAACCACACACGTTTGAGCGGTGCCAACGGGGGAAAGCCTGGCAGGGTGCATTGCTCTAGTAGCAACTTGCGCCGATCAAGGAAAGCCACGGGTGGTATTTGTGGTCCCATTCGAGACTCCGATACAGGAACACAGCTCTTCCCTCTACATTCTCGAAACGAATCGACTCGTGTTGTAGGTCTGCATGCTTGGTCCACTGTGAAATCGCTTACTACAGTAAACTCCAGCATATGGCACAACAGTTTCTGTGGCATTGAAGTTCGAACGACGGGAACCAAGGCTAGCGAACCACCAAGCACAGCACGGTTCTCCCGGTAGGCAAATATTATCCTTGCAAATAACGCACGATGAAGTGCCGTACTCTCCTCCATAGATCTTTCTCACTACGTCATTACGCGCACTGGCGTGCTTTCGGTCGTTGTTTGTGAAAAGCATAATACTCCACTCTTTCCGTCACATGATGGCTAACATTCTTCCGTTATGGCATTGTGCCGCTTTGAAACGTCCCTACCGCTTGCGGGGTAGAGCCAGCAGAGCGAAACCGGTGGTTATGGCATGTCTCAGCCAAGTCCTGATCTCCTCGCACCTTACGTATCCGCGCGCCACGGACACACCGGAAGCGGGGCCGGACGCGCGACGCCGACAAGCAAAGGTGCTGAGGTCGACGCTGCCGGTACGATTCGAAGGGTTGGCGTAGAAGGCGCTGACTGATGCAGAGTGCGGGAGTCATTAGGCTCAACGCAAAATTGTTCACATGTTCACGTCAATCTAAATGAAGCCTCGCACGTTGTGATGGGATGTACTTCCAGGATAATGTGCCACAGTCCTGTAGTGTATTGTTAGCCCTCTCCCCCATAAAGTCGAGAGGGTGAATTGTAGGTGCAATCCATCCGATTTCAGGCTCCAGTACTCCATGGCTTGTTGTACTTCCTTATCCGTGGTTTGGCTTGCTTTCATTAAGGTTTCATTTAGCCTTCTCCGATTGGCCTGGTTGGTTCACTCGCCGCTCGACGACCGATCGAAGTGCTGGTAATCATATATCTCCACAATAACGTGGTCAAGGTGGCCAAGAACGGCAAGTCATCGGGTCACTGCGAGGGGCCAAGAGCGGCAACAGCGTCCACCACCGAAACCACCATCACTCTCAAAGCAGACGGGAGGCACACGGTTCAAATTTGTCATCATCCACAACGTCTTCGGCGAAGGTGACTCGGGAGAATTCTCAGCGACCAGTAGCCGCACAGCGAGCGGTGGTTTCTGCCGGGGCTCCGTCCCTTCCTCTACTTCCACTTTATTCCATTCGAATCTAAACACCTTGGCCTCAACGCAGTGTGCTCTCCATTGATGCATGGAAAGAGTTTCCACCTCCATGAACTGAGCATGACAAGCATGAGAGCAATATTGCACACAATAGGCAGGACTGTCGCCGGCATAATAATCGATTCACCACATGGCATCATCGTGCTGCTTTATGTAGTTGAATGCCAATATCTGTTCCAAAGTGGTAGGCGCGGCAGGTCCAGGTGTGAATGAGTGAACGCACAGCAGTTCGGATCGCATGAGGCATGATCCAGCCATTCCACGGGCAGGGGTTGCCTCGAACGAGTGATAATAATATGAATGAAATGGGACGCACTTGCTGTCGACTCGGCATGCCCGCGCCCGCCGCAACCAACCCGAACCCAAACCGCTGTCCCCTCGGGGGTTTCAGGCGCGGCGCCCGCAACCATTGCCCCGAGACGGTGTCAGAGAGAAAGGCCATGCACTGCGCGTTTCGCACAGCCGAAACGGCAAGGGAGTTGACGTCGAGGGAGCTGTTGGAACCACCGCCGCGGTGCAAGCGTTCGATCGGCTTCTCTCCGAACAGTTCCGCAATCAGGTGGAGCTGGGACGGCAATAGTTGCGCCCGTTCCTTCTTCAGATCTGATAGTTGGAATTGTTGTTGGGTTGACCCTGCAATAGGTAGAAAGTAGAAAGGATAGCGGTGGAATCCATGCGCAGAGCAAGTATGGACCTGGGTCTCACACATCATCAGCACGAAAAGTAAGTGAGTTGTTGAAACATCTGGTTGCGAAAGGTACCAGTGTGATAAATGTTCATGCAAACCCGAACCTCGCACGGCCAGGCCCACGTATCCCCCGTTTTGGGTTCGAATTGTCGTAGCCATCTCCACGATTTATTTAGTATGCACGTCAGTTTGAGCTGCACATGTCATTTGTTTTCTCACCCCGCAACTAGCATAGATCCTTGAAATCCCGAGCTGTGCCGGCGCCTGTTCTTGGACCCAGATATTGACAATCTAGTAGATTTCGCGCATCACCGCCTTCTTTTCTTGGTAAGTTTCACTCTTGCTATCTCAAAAGGTTTCACTCTTGCTACAATATCTCAAAGATGACTCGGCGTGCACTCCCTCCAAAGGTCATGTCCGAGCTATCCGAACTGCGGACGCTCGTCGAGACGACACGCGAGATCGTCTCCGACCAGACCAAAGGTCTCGACCAGGTAACGAAATTCCGCCCTGTCCAGCATGGTCCATGCTGATAGCGAAGTGCTTGAGCACCTGAGTGAGGGAAGGATATCGCTCGACCGTGTCAAAAAGTTGGCCAGCGGGTGTGTATGGTGGGACTCTTTTTCGCCGACCAGACCAGCGGGAAATGGTAGGTGTGCCTTACATCTACCCGCGGTAAAATGGTTGAAGTACGGTAGATCGAACTCAGTTAGGTATCGTAACTTCTTCGCATTGGCCGGGGTGCTGATATTTCGTTTAACTACGAGCTCCTGTGGCCAATGCTGTATTTGGAAAGCTTGGATTTCCATGTTGCACGTACCATTGACGGTGCATAGCAAACAATGAGGCACGTGAGGGCACATTCAAAACACAAAGGTCATGCCATGCGTTTGAGTTCACTACGTCACATCAGCCACTCGCAGAACCGGCGAGTTTCAAAATGACGAGCGATTGTATTCTCTTCGTCTGAATGACCAGGTGTCGACGGCGACGAACGAGCTTCGAGAAGAGCTGCAGGGAACGCACAGCCTGACCAAAGCAGTCAGTGGAAGTTCTTCAAAGGTGTGTGGCTCGTTGGCTTTGTTTTGTCCCAGCCCCTAGCAAACCGTTCGCTGGTTCCTGCGCATGGTTTGCTGCGAAACGCCACTTTAACAGAGTCACCACCGCATCTTCACCAAACCCCTCGACTCCCGCGCTTTCGTACCGTCAATCGGTCTCTTTGGGCCCGATTTCCCCTGTGTCACCGCTCTATTCGTTGAAAATTCTCAGGTTCTGAACGTTCTCGAGACCACCATCCCGGCCGCGTTCTTGTCTCTGGAAACTCGACTCAGCCGCGCAGAAGAGACCGTAGCTGCAGCTGTTGAGACGGCAGCGGCCACCGTCGCTTCCGCCAAGGATGCCGCAGCGGCCGCCGCAGCGGCGGCGTCAGCGGCATCGGCACTCGCTCGCCGCTGCGACAAATCGGTGGTCGGGAACAACTGCCGTGAGCAACGACCAGTAGCCGGCTCGGTTTCGGATGGTCGTAGTCGAAATGAAGATCGATCACCAAGTAACGACAACGGACGACTCTATGCCGCTCCTCAGCAGCAGTATCATCAGCAGCACGAGGGGCAGCACCAGCACCAGCAGCGGCGGCAGCAGCAACACCAGCAGCGGTGGCGGCAGGAGGAGGAGAAGCAGCAGCAGGAGGAGCAGCGGCAGCAGCGACAGGAGCAGCGGCAACAGCGGCAACAGCAGCGGCAGACGTTGCTACCTCCTGAGTTTCTGCAAGGCGGCGTCATGTCAGGGAGTGCCCAAGAGAGTGGCACGCGCGGCAGCCGCAAGAGAAAATACGACGACCAGCAGCTGGAGCACCAGGAACCACCCTCACGTAGGATTCTTCAACAGGATGGTACTGACCGCGCCACGAAGGTGAGCCCTGTATCTGCAGGTGTAGGCAAGGCAAAGTACCTTTCCCGTCACAGTGGAAACAGCTGGGGACTCCGGAGAACTATCGTATGAGCTGATGCTGCCACGAACAAAACAATTGCGATGTCTCGCGATAGACACCATGTGCGTGAACGTCCGCCGTGTTGTTGTTGTTGGGCGCGTCAGGGCCGGTGTTAGCGTTTTAGCCAGCGCGTTCAGGCAGAGATATTCACACAAACCTGGACGAACCGATGCCTCGCCGAATGGAGTGGAGTCCCCTCGGATGCTGCTACCGCGTTGTGTTTCATTCACTCGTTCTCTCCCCCTCAAGATCTGAAGGCCACTACAAATATTGTAGTCTAACGGAATATATATTTTTGCGTTGCTTTCCGCAGCCTTTCCCGCCGGCGTCCTGTATTTGGAGCGGTACAGATCGATCTCCTACTAAGCGTCCTGTATTGCACGCCACCGCTTAGCTTCACGTTGCGGCATCTAATTGCTACCCCAGGAGCTACCCGACATGCCACAAGCCCTGCAAAGCGTCAACCACGATACCCAGGGCGGAGAGTCTTCGGTAAGAACCTCGTGTTAGATGAAAGATAACCCCGGCAACTTGTGGATGAACATGATTGGAGTATTGGAGTATTGGAGTTTTCGCTTCAAGCTCGTGCCGCCTTCAGTGCCCCCTTGGATGATTTTCGTAGCTCTTCCCCATGGGGTTGATGTCCCCCGCTCAGAGAATCGCTTGCCCAGGCCGAATCGAGGATTCGATTTGGAGCGCAGGAGTCGACATTTATTCGTGGCCTTGTCCTCAACCATGTTGCTGCTGAAGCTACTCAACACCATGCTTTGAGATTTTCAGGCCATTTTAGGGGGACATTGACCACCAACGGTGTTGATGAGAGGCGTGACAACAGTTCACAATAAGCCCTACAATAGGAGCCCATTTGCGGTCAAGATATCAATGTTCTGTCTGTAGCACGTTTCACAGCCGCATCTGTTGATGCCGGTGATTGACCTAACTTCCTCTGCTTCCGGCAAACTACCGAATCAGTGGCAAGGGGCAGACGAGTCTCTGCGGTGGACCCAGCCTTGGGGTGGAGAAACCGGCCCAGCTACCGCGGCGGCTGTTGGGGCACCCAGTAGAGTCCGTCAGTCCCCCCGTAACGACCCGGAAATTCCACGTGGTGTTCTCGAGCAGCGGAATTCTTGTCACGACGGTAGCGGCGGAGAGAGGGTAGAACCTTTTTCTTCTTCTGCAGGGGGCGCCTCTTCTTCGTTTAAGTCTTCAGCCGTGCCACACAACAACAGGAACAGCCAAAGGGTCGCCGACGATGCTGAGGTAGACATGCCGTCGTCATCGCTACCATTGTGCGAAGCGGACTCCTTCAACCCGTTCCAGGATGCGGACCTTGCGCCCATCACTACCGGCTCGATCGGAGCCAAAGCCCCCGGAAACGTGAGCACCTCACGCCGCGAAGGTAGCCGATCGCCACCCGCGCCGAACACGTTTCGAGCCGAACAATCCGCAACAATGCGGTCTGGACTTGCGGTGCGACCCCCTGCCCGTGATTCTTCCGGAAAATCTCCTATTGCGGATGCCACTGCCGCAACGCCGACGGTTTCGTCTTCGTCTTCCACGTCAAGGCGACCAACATCATCAACGGCCGGAACGCGGGGTGGCGCCGTCGCGGCCGAGCCATCATTATCAAGTTCCCAGACTCGCATGGTCACGAGGAGGGCCAAGGCCTGTCTGGGACAAGGCGATGGTGGAGCTGGTAGGACCCCAGCTTCAGGTGCAGGAGACACTCCGGTGTGCCACAAGGTACAGAGTCGGCAGCCTCCACCACCTCGGTCTTCGCCGAGCGGATCATCGGCTCTCCCTGCCACTGCTAGCATCAATCCGTTCTCCCGAGGCCCGTCGGTGGACCGGGGCGACCCCGCGTCATCGGCAGGCGGTCGACACCGCATCCCAACGCCTTCTGCTGTTCAGAGCAAGGCCAACCGCGAGCTATCGCACGATGCATCTGTGCGTAGCAACCGGCGGAATGTTTCTGGATTGGATCAAGCGGAAGCGGGGCTCAATAGGTCTGACGGAAGGTCACCGCACCTAGAGCGTGGGCAAAGGAAGCCAACATCTGCAGACGTTGGTGTCATTGGGGACGAAATTGAGGACTATGAAGACTCGTTCGGCGGCCCGGGTTTGACGGTAGAAGCGTACATGGCTGAGAAGCACAAAGCGAAGGTACGAGTGTCGGCAGAACCACTTAAGCACACACGTGCCTCGAGTCATTTGTTGTTGCTCGTCGTCGAAAATCGGTGTTATCTTATAGTAACCACCACGAGCTGTGGCCGGTCATTGTGATGTTTTAAACTCCAACGCCCCCACTACTACCCCATCCCCCAACGTGCACAAAACTATGAAAATCCTTAGCTGGGCCAAACCAGAGGTACCCCAAAGGACAAGAAGGTGGCGACGAGTAGGAAGGGAGATGAAGAACCTCCCGCGCCCGAGACGAAGCACCCCAGTGCAAGGAAGAACCCTCCATCTCACAACCGACCATCGTCTGGCCGTGGCTCTCTGGCGACACCAACGTCGGCGGCTGGAGACTCGGACGCAGGTGGAGGGGGCAACAGCAGGTCAAACAGCGACTCGTGGATGGTGGGCGGGGGTAGCGGCTGGTAGCGACCCACTATCCGTTGGCTACGTCAACCGACCGAAAAGCAGTAGCATGATTGCAGTGAAAGGAAGCCGGGGGGATCGTCAGCTCCGAAACACATCTGATGCCAAAGTGTGAAGCTGGCCGAACGACGATTGACGGCCCATCAAATACAGAAACAGTTTTTCATCAATGTTGTTCACCCGGCCATATTTGCTGTTTGGATGACCCCAGAAACGTTTAGTCAAGACGGAGCACTCACATAATATGTGAGTTAGCTACCATCTACGACAGATACGCCATCGAATTCTTGCGTAGGCTGAGCTGTATTGCCTTGTATTTGGAAGTATTTCAGCTTGATCTGACTCGGGGGGCTTGCATGTTTCGTAGTGGTTTATCTCTTGTTCAGTTGGCAGGTGTACTTTCTATGGCAATCCTGGCAAGGGAAACGCCAGGCAGTTTGTGCTGGAACGGGCGAGGATATTTGGTGTAGCGTTTTGCGACACCGGCTGATCATCTTGTCTTTCGTCGGTGGAAGGGAAATCCCACCGCTCTACCTGCGGCCGTAGTTTCGTGTCTGGAACATCTTGATTTGAACTTCTCTGTGTCACCTAAAGCTCAGTCGAAAGTTTCCTCGTGTGAATATCTCCACCAATGCAGTGCATCAAACACATTTGAAGTGGAATATCCTTCACAGGCGGTATGTCCGACGATAGACTATCGTTTTTGCGCTAAACTCTCCCAGGAATGCAGGCCACATGAGACATTCGCTTGGCCGCTGGCTATCATGTAGGGATAGACGACAGGATATTTCTGAATTCCTGCATTGTGAAAGCGAAGTACTAGATACACTTCACAAGCCCGTGCACGGGCACAGAATGGAGCCGCGACGGTGAGTCGCGAATGAAGCCTCGCTCGATTCATTTAGTCCTGTGAACTGCCGCGTAGAAATCAAGGATAGAACTTCGGCGCTTATGGATACAAACATCCGTTCCCAGTGAAGCCAATTTCACTCTCTGGGGAGGTACATGCGAAAAATGTTGAGTGAACGGCTTCCAGTGTTGCGATTTAGAACGAGAACACGGGCATAATGAAGTGTGCCAGCTCTACAAACTAGCGCTCCCATGCATGCGCATAGGATGCGCGGCGCAGAATAGGATCTAGGCGAAGGGCTGACACAAAAGCGATGTACATGGATCGGGAGACCTTTTTTTTCGTTGGGCATGCACTTACGTGTAGTAGCATGTCATCGCTCTGCCACGCGGCGCAAATCGCTGGCATCCTGGCTTGCACACTTCTCCACTCACATCTCCTCACACTCGAAGAGACCATCGGCGACGTCACCCGCTCCGCTCTACAGTGGTTCATACTTGCTGTAAATCTCTTTTGGCACGATCTCTTTTGGGACGACTCCTGCTGTTTGTGGACATCCCAATGGAAACTTCCCGAAGGCACACAGTATATGGCTATACCCCATGACCTCAACCGTGACACCTGGTCTCGCCACTCGATACTTGATACCAAGTTGGAACTGTCAACATGTGATGGCCAAATGAACAATGCGTACTGACCTAGTACTACAACGCGAACCAGGCGAGTGACAACAGTGCTACAATAGCCGCGGTGCACCAAAGAACCCGCGACACAGCCGACAATGGTAAGAACTCAATGGGGTAACATCAACTTCCGCGACCCCATAGGTTGTCACCGCTCGAAATGTGTACACCAAGGGCTGTGGGGATAACCTGCCTGCCTGTCTCCCTGTCTCTTCCTCTTTGTCTCTCTGTCTCTCTAGACTCGGCAGCACTCTACAATACAGCATTTCACTTTTCTGTCCGTAGTCTACATGACTCTCTCGCGTCTTCTCTTCCCCTCATTCCCAATACAAGAGAACGTGCACAGCACTCAAAGAGCCCAATTGGCCCTAAAAGAGGGCCATCGTGCCCCTTGCATGTGAACGTTCTGACACATGCCAAGCAACCTCGATTCTATCAGGTCTGGTATGATATATATGCGTACCCAAAGTCTACAAGAGGTCCTGCAGGTTTCCAGAAAAACGCCGCGAGAACCCGGCTTTGCGAACCTCGGCCAATCAGAGTTGGTCTCGCCTCCCTCGGCTCACTCACACACCACCACACTGCAGCCAAGCACTCCGTTCACTCGCACACAGCCACCGTGTCTGACCAAGCTACAGCAGAGGTTGGTCGTGCCCGTTGACCGAGTCCGCCTGCAGTCGCCTCAAACGCAGGTCGCCTTTCCGAGAACAGGTCCTACAGTTGGTGTGCTCCCGAACAGCCCACGGCACGGCAGACAATGTTTCCACATGTGAGTCGGAGGATGGGGGGAGAGCGGGTGCAGTCTGGACCCACCAGGCTCAAGGCCACCCTCTGTCCCTGCACTGAGCACATCGAGGGTGGTTTGCAAACGTCAGCGGGTGCAGTGAGGCGTACATGGGCGAACTCGTGTGTGATGTTTTCCGCAGCGGTTTGCTGTCTCATCTAGTCTAGACTATGGGTCGAACCGGATAGTGTTGTGTACGCCTTGGCGAGTTGGCCCCGCCGCAGGTTCGGTATTTCCAGGGCATCATCATTCCACTAACCTGGCTTATTGGGTCGATGGTAGCTTTCCGCGATTTGGAGAAATCACTCCTCGTGTAGCGCAAGATGCCAGGTTAGACGGTTCAAAACAACTGCTGAATGTACACAGCAGCACCCCTTGTGAACACCGCCGATGTCTCCAGTCCAAGCACCAAGCCAGATTTCCGTTGGAGCACAGGTACTGCTGGTGCTCAGAATCAATGAACCCTCATTCCACTCTGAGTTGGGAGCAAGTGCAGACCCAGCCTGGCACCGTCATTCTCTGGCGTGCCGTTTTCACTGCATCCGGCCATCCTCATCACGCCGCACTTTCGAGTGAGTCGCCGTTGCCCCCTTCGGGCAATTCGCCCCCCAGGGCCAGCGTTGCACACACGGGAACTCCATCACAACCCCTGGAGCGTCGCGGAGACGGCCTGCTCAACTGTTGTACACGCACCTTATGCAGTGTACCGAAACACGAATTGAGGTCCAAGACGAAAAGTAGTACAAACTTGATGTGATTGACAGGGCGGCAGCGGTGGCACTCATGCACGAGGGAGAGCGGGTCACGCACCGTTCGCGCCCAAGATGGGCAAACCCAGCTTGGACCTCGTGTCGGTCAACCGCAAGGTGAGCGATGACAACGTGGAATCGCGAAGGTCGCTGCTGGTTGTGCCAGGAACCCTCTCATTCTGGATTCACAAGCATTGCCTCAGTGTTTTAGTGAGAGACCATCAGGCAGAAACCCGGGCTGCTGGACCAGTGCGATGCGCTCGACAGCAGCAATGACCACCCCCGGTTATCAAAAAGGGAAGCCGTTTGACTGTTGTGGCTGTCAGGGTACACTGAGCGAGAGGCGCATTCCGTTGCAGTTGTTCATGGTTTGGGGGCTGAACGAGGAAGACTAGATGATGTCCAAACTCCATGCCGTTCTCGCCATCTACACCTGACCTGAGGACGGCTGTTTTTGCGCACTGCTATTGGTACTGTTTGCACCACAGCAGGTCAAGAAGCCGGCGGCAGTCCCCATCATCTCCTCCCCTCCTTCCTTACCTTAGTGCCAGCCATGATGATCGCTCATTCGAAAGTCCACCGTTGCACATACTATCGCTCTTTGTGAACGCGCGACCGTTGGAATGCTCGGCCAACCCCAAGACGGAGATATGCCGCAACTGGCAACAGGGCCGCTGCGTTGCTGAAGGTAACCTGTGTGCACCCACGGTGGTTGGTTGAAGGTCGTAGACTATGTTCACAGGGTGCATTCCCTTGAAAACAGAGTCTGGTTTTCGAGCTTGTTCTACAATCGCGATCGCCATATTGAGGTGTAGGCTGCAACGCCATGAAAAGGCAGAACTGCGTCGTGACATCGCTAAATTCACAGTCTACGCTAAACGAATGATGCCGCCAGCTACGACTGTAGAATCAGATTTAACACATTTCGCGCTGCCGACCTGGGCGAGAGCAACACACAACTGCTGATGCTGATGAACCACAATATTTCAACTCGAGTTCATCCCCCATGATCTTACATTCTGTTGGCTCTCGCGGGTGTACGTTTCACGAACCCTGGAATCAGCTTGGAAGTGCGCCTTCGCCCACGGAACGCACGAGCTGAGGCGCCAGAGTCTCGACCAGATGTAAGTCCGAGTCTCGATGGGATGTAAGGCAGACCTTCATGAGATGCAAGCCAGAGCCCCGATGAGATCAAGGTCAGAGCCGCAATGATATTGAAGTCAGAGTCTCGATGCGATGTAAGCGAATCTCGGTGAGATGAAATTCACTTATTGTCACATGCCAGACCACACGTTAGGCTACAGCAGCTCAGGCATCCAAGTTCCTCAGCACAAGTCACCACGGTATTGTTTCCGGACCATGCTGAATCGATGTGTGGGAAAAATATCTCACACCCCTTCCCCCCGTCTATCTATGTACTTCATTCTTGCTCCGGAACAAAAACTAGTCAACGGGAAGGAATTTTGATCATGGCCATTTTCAAGTCACCCAGGAGTGAAAACAGAACCGGGTGAACTGGGAGAAACCCATTTACCGCTTTCAACTAGTCGGGGTTGGCTCTCCACCGGACGTGCGAGTTGGAATTCACTCGCTACCTCATCATCCCCACCGAGAATATGATCAGCCCCGACGTGCTGGTTCTGGTACCGTTAGCGCCCACACTTCACAACCTCTATTGTTCGGCGCGGCTGGCGTCCCTGGTCGCTGTAGCCTTAGGCTAAAAATGACCGCTATGTGTAATTTTTTGTGTACCGGGCTCACGAATGTGTTCAATGTCATTTTGCAAGACGTTATTTTCACTTCGAAGTTCACAAACTGCGAGATGCAATATGCGCGCGTGATTTTCACCTTTCAACCCCTTGCGATTCGTGCTCATGTTCGCTTCGACGGCAGGGAGTACACGGGCCGGATCCCCAACGCCTCCAAGTTCCGATGCTATCCGTGCCTGGTGAGGAGTGGAGACCCTACACGTGGATATTTGTGGATTTCCCTGACATTCTGACCCCGAGTTCATGCGTCTGCAACTAGCGGGATTTAAAGCAAATCGAGGAAAATGAATCATTGGCCCGTGTACCATACCCTCACCGAGAGTCTACACACAAGAATCAGTTCCGAAGACCAAATGTTGCCCGTAGGTGCGATTTTTTGCCCCAATCAGTGGTTGCACAGAAGTATGAGGTCACCACCAGGTGAAAAGTAAAGTACATTGATCCCCCCGACCCGTCTACCTTCTACCTCGGTCCATTTTCGTATCTTGAAAAATCTGCTGCCGGCGGGATCATCCACGCTTCTAGACCTGGATCACCACAGGGGCATGCCCGTACTTTTCGAGGTAAGGAATTGGCATCGTTGGGTATAAAACAATTCAGCCTGTCATCTGCGAAAACGAGATGCTCTAGTGACAGGAACCAACGTATGGTATTCGAAGTCCAGATGGGTGGTTTGTATTAGTGCGGATTTCACAGGTTGAAAGTCATAAGGGTGTGGAAGATTTGTCGCCGCTACAGGCGAAAATAGTCAATCGTGTCTAGAGTTGGCGCCGCAATAAACACTCTGAAGAACTGTTGCTCGCGCCGCGCATCAGGCCCTCAGCAATGCAAAAAATCTCGAACGATCCAGTGGTTACTATGCGCCGAACGTTGGGAAACTATTGGAAGCTGCCTCAACGTTCCTGACAGATGAAGTTCCGGCAACACGGAAATCGGATCAATTCGACGCATATTCGGCCACAGGTGTCATTGCACGCTCTACTTTCACATGTTCCCTACTCGTGGGGGCGAGTATTCCTATGAAACGTGGTCAATTCTGCCGAGACCCTCTTGTCCCACCAACACGCCAGGTGCGTTTTCATCCACGACCCCCGCATCCGCGGGCCCACCGCCGCCTACCTCTACAAGCACAACGGTAACAGATCTCACTCCACCAGGAGCGGGGGCAGCGTCGGATCTCCCCTGGGGAGAGACATCTTCTACTGGCCCGACATGCCTAGGACGGATGCCGATGGCAACGAGGTATGGTGGTGCTGTCGGAATCCCTACGTCGGTCCTTTACGTTAGATCATGGACCCGTCTGCATGGATGGATGTGGCACAGCTCATGATCGTCGGCGTCTCTTCAGTGAGTGAACGTGTCAGGGTTCGTGACGAAGGGCAAGCCCTGTGGTAGATGCAGCTTTATTTTGTTTTCTTTCGAATTGCTTCATTATTTCTTCGGTTTCTAGGCTACGTGTTGGGGAGAGAGACGCACGAAACGCTCATCGTCTCTCCGGCCGCGTTAGCTGCAAAGGCCGGCGTCAACTCTTACAAATCCATCTCTCTCCCCACAAATACTAGCCGGGGGACTACGACTGCAAACGCAGGAGTCCCAAAACTGACCAAGTCCTCAAATGGTACACACCATTCTACAACACCTGACTAGATACCGAATATTCCCGAACTTATGCCCCCACCTTCGAAAGAAAAGGGATGGGAGGGCGGGATTTTCTAAACTGCCGCCGCTACTGCGTTAGGCGGCTGCTGCTGTCCTTCCGTTGCTTCACGCGCTCTGTAGCTGTCACACGTTACCCGACTTTGCTACAGCCCCTGCGTGGACTCGATCACGGAATGACACCCCCAACTATAGACTAATAATTCCAAACACCGTGACCCTGGGTTTCCGGTAGAAAATGAAGCCAAATTCTAATTCGACTGTTACAAAATAAACACCAGTTTATTCTATCTGCTTCGACGAACAAACCTTCCTTTTATTTTGTTTTCTTTCGAATTGCTTCATTATTTCTTCGGTTTCTAGGCTACGTGTTGGGGAGAGAGACGCACGAAACGCTCATCGTCTCTCCGGCCGCGTTAGCTGCAAAGGCCGGCGTCAACTCTTACAAATCCATCTCTCTCCCCACAAATACTAGCCGGGGGACTACGACTGCAAACGCAGGAGTCCCAAAACTGACCAAGTCCTCAAATGGTACACACCATTCTACAACACCCACATCGAGGTCAGTTTCTGGACGACTACCGAATAAGTCAACTATCCGTTCCCCCAGACGGTCCCCTCCCCCGGCTGTCTCGATACGATCCTACTGCCGTCTGTAAGTTTCCGTGACACTCGCCGCGAATCCTCTACATTGTTTCGCGCGTACGGCTTGTATGCATCCGACCTCCACTTCCCTTCTCTCTGAATCACTCGTTCTGCGATGTCTCCGCCCGATGCAAGAGCCGTCGCGCCTCCAATTCGCAACGAGTGCAACGCGTACTCCTGGGGGTTACGCCCCGACCTCGCTACCACTTCTCTGAGTGCACGGAGGGCAGCAGTATACCTCACTACTCTCACTGCTCTTCCACTACGGTACGAAGCCAACGGTGCGGAGTCAGGGAACGTCGCATGACACGATAACAGCTCCACCACAAGAGCCACCGCGCCACCGCGTGCTCTCACACCTGACTGCGGTCCGGTGACTTCGTCTCGCGTACGAACCCGTATGTTTCCTTTCTGCTCTTGATCGGCCTTGTGCCCTCTAAACCTCATTTCGACACGGTCTGCTCTACGATAGTGACTAAAGACTAATTGCGTCTCGCCAGCAAACAATGCTACGTCCGCCCTCGTAAGACAGTGTGCCTCATGCACCCTGCCCGCATCATTCGCGAACACCTCATCAGACCGTGTGATAAAGAGATAGGACAAGCACAGACACAGCCACATCACTCTGCCCCCTTCCCCCCAGTTCTGGCTTGCGCTTTCCCCGTCCAGCAGCATACGCCAAGACACAGGCAGGCGCACACGGCGTACCGTCCCCACAGCCACGTGGTTCCTCGCAATCCCCCTTAGCGCACATTTCAACATCGGAGACGACAAGTCTAGCTCGACAGAAGCTTCCAGCCTATGAAAATGTTGTACAGCCGTGAGTTTTCCGGATATTGTACTCGCTAGATTACCCTCAGACTCGAAACACCAGGCTACGAAGTCTATCAACTCCCACACATGAAGGTCCCCGGCACGTTGCCCTACGAACTTGGGCTTCTCCGTCAGCCTGCGAAACGTGCACCAAGAGTTGAAGCCTGACGTGTAAGTCCTTCTAGACGAAGACGCAACTGAGTGCTCGACGAGCTGCATGCCAAGACGTCGGTAACAAAGTCCCGTCCTGCCTGTCCCAGGTCCTGAACCTGCTGATAGCCCTGGAGCCAACCTCGTGTAGACCGGCGTGCTGCCGTTCGATTTAGCCGCAGGTGCGCTGCCATCCGAGGTAGGCCCCCCCGCTACGCGGGAGAGCCCGCACCCCTATTTGTCTTTCCCGTGGGTGAAGAAGCCAGCGGCCTTGGGTCTCGCGCCGCCCTCGCCAGCGGCGCGCGCCTCTCCTCCGCGCCCTCCCCCGTTGCCGTGGCCAACGCCGCGCGCGCCGGTTGCCGGAGTTTCGGACGCTCCGCGCCTAGCGTGGGAAGGGTTCTGGGCGTGGATGTGTGGGCAGTTACGATCATGGCAACCGGACGACGAGTTGAAGGCGAAGCAGTAACCACGAGCGTGTCGAGCGATGCCGCCACTTTCTCTGTCACCAGGACGCCTTTGCGAAGCAAGGATTGCCACTCCATCTGCGACAGTTTTGAAACTGCCGGGGGCCGCCCCAGGATGAGCCACGCTTTTACCCGGCGGAGGTCCCCCCACATCCGCGCTCTATCCTTTGCCGTAGCCTTAGCCGCCTCGGCGCTGGGTGTAGCGGGGGCCCGAGAGGCCGATGGTGGGGCGGTTGTGCCCACAAGTTGCACCCCCCCCCGGAAGGCCAGGTCCTGCTGCTTGGGTGGCGATCAGGTCGTCGATCGTTGCTTGAAGCTGCTGGCGATCACCGGCAGCCTCATCGCGCTTCCGCTGCAGCTCCTCCCTCAGGCCGTCCACCAGCCCGCGGAGAGAAGCGAGCTCAGTCTCATCAGCGGGGGGGTCGCCGCGGGTGCCTGTCCCTGGCGCTCGCGAGGAGGATACCGCTCGACGCCTCGCGGGAGTACGTGATCCGCTGCGCGTCGAGGGGCGAGCCGTCGAGCTCGCCACCGATCGCGCGGTAGACCTCTCGTGCGTGGTGTCGAAGGTGTCGCCGCCCGACCTCGCCCTGCTTGCCCAGCCGCTGCCCTGCCGCTCCGCGTGGAGGCCCGTGTCGGCATCTGGTCGCGGTTGGAGTCGTATAAGCAGCGGACCGGCGGCAGGCGGCGGGCGAGCGTCAGGGCGGCGTTGCGGGAACACTTCTTTTCCTCTTCATCGTGGGCGTAGTCGATCGCGCGCCTGGATCTGCAGTTAGAATGGTCTACAAATCCTATCTTCGGGCGAAACTATCTGACGTGGGTTTTCGTCGGGCCCAGAACGACGCGTTGTTATATCGCGAGCTCGCGTTAGTTCATTCTCGACGCCTGTGGATTGAATGGAGTGATTATTGCTGCTGACGCTACGGTCACCGGACGTCGACCAATCCCGAATATTTCTCTCTTTGGAACACTAGCGATGGTTTCTCTTTTTTTTTTTTTTATATATATATTTTCTTGGATTCGGTGAACCCCGGTTCGCCATCGGCACGGGTGCTTCCACTCATTGGCGCGTCCCGTGCTGATACGTGTTTTTTTTTTTTCGATGCGTTGGATACGGTGAACTCCACTTGCCAACAGCGCGGGTGCTTCCACTCATTGGCGCGTCCCTCGCTGAAACTGACAACACATATGCAGCACGGGTGCTTCCACTCATTGGCGCGACCCGCACTGATGATACTTGTACGCAGCGCGGGTGCTTCCACTCATTGGCGCGTCCCTTGCTGAAACTGACAACACATATGAGCACGGGTGCTTCCACTCATTGGCGCGTCCCGTACTGATACGTGTATGACTTCGTTTTCGATGCGTGGAGATCGGTTAATTCTACTCGCCCAACAGCACGGGTGCGCCCACTCATTGGCGCGTCCCGTACTGATACGTGTACGGCGTTTTTGTTCTTTCTTTTTGAGATCGGTTAACTCTACTCGCCAACAGCACTCATTGGCGCGTCCCTTGCTGAAACTGACAACACATATGCAGCACGGGTGCTTCCACTCATTGGCGCGTCCCGTACTGATACGTGTACGACTTCGTTTTCGATGCGTTGAATTCGGTTAACTCTACTCGCCAACAGCACGGGTGCGTCCACTCATTGGCGCGTCCCGTGCTAATACGTGTACGGCGTTTTGTTCTTTCTTTTTTGAGATCGGTTAACTCTACTCGCCAACAGCACGAGTGCTTCCACTCGTTGGCGCGTCCCGTGCTGAGGCTGACAACACATATACAGCACGGGTGCTTCCACTCATTGGCGCGTCCCGTACTGATGCATGATTTGTGGTATTTTCCTACCGCTGCGTTGAATTCGGTTAACTCTACTCGCCAACAGCGCGGGTGCTTCCACTCATTGGCGCATCCCGTGCTGATACATGTATGACTTCGTGTTTCGTTGCGTTGAGATCGGTTAACTTCCACTCGCCAACAGCACGGACGAGTGCTTCCACTATTGGCGCGTCCCGTGCTGGTGCGTGTCCTTGTTTTTTTTATTTTCATTGAGATCACTTCCGCATAGACAATCCTACGGCAGGTTGACGAGTTTTTGGCATGCATCAATTGCTGTCCGGGCGTTTTTGGTCGCTTAATCGTCGATGGACGTGACGTATTCTTATAGAAGGTTTGTGTCACGGCGGCAATAAATTTGACGTGATGCCCCTCGAGACCGTGATGCACTCACATGGACCGCTACCTGACGTTCCTCGCGAGTTCGAACCTCGCGTGTCATATCCACCTCCCCCCCCTATTTTTTTCTCATCTTCTTTTTCCTTATGCATACAGCACGTAGTTCGCTGTCTCGTTTTTTTTTTTCTCGTCTTCATTGTTTTTCAGTCTTTTTCTTTGAGTCTTTCTCTCGCATGCATGTGTTTTTGCTTTTATCCGTTCCCGTGAATGCTGTTGAATGCACTTTCCGATTACGTATGCGGCCGCTTTGTATGCCATGGGACTTGTCGATACCATCAGTGGGGACTTGTCAATACCATCCGTGGAGACGATTGCTTACGTGAGTGGGCATATTATCGTCGATTCCTTCAGCTATATGCCCCTCTGTGCGCGGCACAGACAAGATTGTACCGGCAAGTAGTCCCTAGTAAGCCGGGGGAAACAGAAAACAAGGCACCTGCCTCATGTGCATAATCGTGACAGCATCATGCCCTACTGCCGCGGGTCGATTGGTTATGTCCGATGCCGCAGGGTTCCTCCACCCCGTGCAGTACAATGGCTGCTATCAACCGCGACAAGTCAGCGTGCGACCATACAACAGGCCCCGCTCTTTCTTTTTGCCGTTGAATTTTTTCTTCAGAGAGAGTACGTCTGGTTGGGACGAACCGCATTTTTTTTCTTCAGCGAGAGTACGTCTCGGTTGGGATGAACCGCATCCCATGTTTGGGAAGGGACCTATCTGAGCGGCGCGGCGAGCGAGACTGCGTTGGCTTGCCGCCGCTTATCTTACTGCACCCTCCCCCCTCGTGCTAAATGCACGCAGCGGTGAGGTCACAAGAGTAGCGGGACGCGAATAGGAACACGGCCGACACGATGGATGTTGGACACGAGTACACACCTTTATATGGAGAGTCGCGTGCTGGTCACTTCCCCAATGCTTGCGCCGTGTCCCGTCCCGCCCTTTTCTAAACTGCCGCCGCTACTGCGTTAGGCGGCTGCTGCTGTCCTTCCGTTGCTTCACGCGCTCTGTAGCTGTCACACGTTACCCGACTTTGCTACAGCCCCTGCGTGGACTCGATCACGGAATGACACCCCCAACTATAGACTAATAATTCCAAACACCGTGACCCTGGGTTTCCGGTAGAAAATGAAGCCAAATTCTAATTCGACTGTTACAAAATAAACACCAGTTTATTCTATCTGCTTCGACGAACAAACCTTCCTTTTCATTTCGGGCCTTGTCGAAAGAATGGAGTCGACAGACCCAAAAGAATATTGTTCTCCTTCGCGCTCTATCGTGAAGAACGTCGTGAAGAACGCCGTCACAGACTATGGTTACATTTGCTTAACTCCGCCCCAGAAGCTCCTCTGAAACGACAATACTTTGAGCTTTCGCCCCTCCTCTGCCTCCACTCGCCCCACGCGGGATGGTTCAGCTTCCGACGGTATCGGCCAACTACGACATGGATCCCAGCATGCTCCATAGCGAGGACGCAACCGAAAGGCGAGAGGGAGTGCCTGCGCACCGACAAGACGGGAGGGGCACGAAATATATAAAAAAACTCACCGATGAATGATTCTACAGTAGGGTAGTGCACGTTTGGGGTGACATCTTATGCACTTGGGGAGAGAAGAACGTGTACTGTAGCCCTGTTTCGTTTATCCTACGTCAAAACGCCGCAGCGACACGGTGAGTGTGTCTCCCTACCCGAAATTTTATCATGAGTTGACCCCCTACCGTAGTATCACTCCAATGGAGGCGGTGCCATCTCACACACACTCACACCCAAAGGTTGGAAACGGCAACCTCATCGACTATACGCACACCCAGTTCGCAAATTTCATCTCCAAGTGAGAGGCTGGTAGGTGTGAGAACGAAGATCCACGCATATTTTCTTCACAAACGGGAGGGTCATTCGTTGGAGGGCCACTGCCGCCGTTAGGAAGAAAAACCGATCGTAAGCGGTGTCAACGACAAGGGCCAAACGTTGGGCAATGGAACCTATATGTTGCCGAAACCTCATCAGGGTTTCGTTCTCGTCCTGTCGTTGTTTGAAGATTTTTTCGGCAACCGGTCGTACGTTGTTTCTGTAGTTCGCGGCGTCGTTACCCAGCAATCGCTCTCGTTCCTGTGGTCAAGGCCCCCCAGTCATTTTCCAAACTTGTCATCACTCAATTGCCCAGGGCGGTGTACCAGCTGTGGTACACGCTAGTGAGCACCATCACGGAGATCAGAGAGCAACAAAACCCGCTCGTAGGGATGGGCAGTGTTCCTGAAGCATCCTACGACCGGAACGGTTCGTTCTGCAACGCACCGCCATCCAGAGGTAGGTATCCATCGGCGAGTCGCGAATCCATGTCACTTTGTAGGGGTGCCTCTTGACCTCGACCTGAGTCCATGCCTGAACATAGATTCACAGTTTGGGGAACGGACGATCGGTTTCTGCCACATGCGGTTATTTGTGGAGGCAACATTTCTCATCATGGTTACCACCACAGAATGCAACCAACATTGCCTATTCGTTTTCCTGAAACATTCTTGACTCAACACGTACCTCTGTTCTTCCCCATGGCCATGTTCGAATCTGTCTCGATTTTGAGCCTGAACTTCAACTCCTAGGCTTTCAATATTGTCTTGGGATTCCATTACTTTCACGTGTATCAGTCATGGTACGGCCCTTCAGTATCCTTCCTCAGCTCCATAATACTTGGTGTGCCAATGGAATGGAGTGCCAAGCTTGCCACCACAATCACTGGTCAGACAGGGTCCCGCGAGCTCACCCGCCCACCAACCAACAACTACTCTTTACGTTTGAAGGTCTTACCCAGTGCTCTCAAATGACCCCCTTCTATTGTGGTAAACAGGCCGGTAGGGTAGGAACATGCGAAAACTAAAAGCAATTGAGCGGCTATGTCGTTGTTAGGGTAGAAGAAAAGAGGGTCACGGAAATATGGGGGCCCCATATATTGGTGAAGACAAAACAATAATTCCCGTCGGAAACCGCTAGCCCGTTCACCGCCGACGTCAGCAGAGGCGAGCCTCGAGACAGGTTCCTACTGCGACAGGATGAGGCCGCCGCCGCCGCCGCCGCTGCCGCCCCAGGCTCCTTTCCCCAACAACAACCGGTCGCGCTCCTCCTCTTCCGATTGGCGGACGAACAGCCCGGACCGTAGGTTGCCGCTGTTCGTCCGCATGTCGTGCGCGCTCTCGGTCTCGCCGGCCTACGTGCCCGTTCCCACTACCACCGGTGCGTTGGTGGCGGGGGGTGCCTGCCACTCGAGTTTGGATGAAGTATTTTTCGATTGTGCCATGCGCATGTAGGTATCATCATCTCACTGCACTTGTCGCATAGATAAATTTAGGCTGCTGCATCTTCAGGTGTGGGCCTCCCAAGTTAGGACAACATATTTTCATTCGAATCATGGCCAGGACGCATCTCACTCTCCACGTTTAAGTGTCGGTAGTGGAGTGTTGTAGGCCGCTGCATCTATGCTCAGTTGGACCTCTCAAGTTAGATGCAACAATTCCCATCGAATCATGGGAAGCAACGCATCACTCTACCTGTAAGTAGGCTTAGGCAGCAGCACGGTGTCCCCATACTATTTAGCCCATCTTGAAGCAATTCGATTGGTTGAGCCGATAGCAGCCAAACGTGTACCTCCAGACATCTGCGCATCTCAGCAGATCACGTTCTTGCTCTAAAATGTTACTGCAAGTCTCATCTACGTGTTGGTCTCCCGTACTGTTTCGTTGAGACATGTTCGATCGCTGCGAGAAAAAAAAATAGTTACGCCACACTTTTGGCTGCAAAGCATGCACCGACCGTGGCCACAACAGAATTTCGTTTTCCATGCATGCCTTCTTCAGCCAGCCGATCGCCAAGACCCCGTACACTGCATACTCCACGTGTCTTTTCTCCGTCTAAAAGGTGTCCGCCATATCTGGAGTGATCTTTGCCAAGTCTGCGAGTCCGCGGACCGGCCCGAGATATCTCCGGAGATCGTCCAGGTGACAGTCCCGGCCACAGTCCCGCGCGCACTCGGAGCGAGGACCGGCGGCGGCGGCAGCAGCAGCGTTCAGCACGCACCGCCATCCTTCCCTCTGGCGGACATCGACCCTCGCTCTGCCTTGTCCTTAGAGGCACGGACCCCAGCTAGGGCCATGAGGTACACGGTGATGAGAGGTGTTCAGACTGCTGTAGCACATCCAAGCATTATCTATTGTCGAAAACTCCACGCTACAGTATATTAGCTCTACTTCATTCTGCTGTAGTTTCGTATTTTCCGTACATAGTGTTGACACCGCAGCCAGCAGATGAATTGCTAGCCTGCAGACTAAGTGTAAATAGACCGCGGCACCAGCTACGATCTACGAGCGTAGGAATGGAAGAAACATTGTGGGGTCTGAAGGAAAAGAAAACAGAAACGTGTAGGGTGACAAGAGGAACAGGTGAGGAATCCTCGAAGTCAAACGTACAGTAGATACGTAGAGTCGATGTTGGGCTACAACACAGGGTTAAAAAAGAAACAAGCCTCTGGGCATCAGCAAGAGGGCGCTTTGTGTAGGACATTTCGTTCTCTGAGAAAGGGGGCTTTTCATCAACAATTACCGCGCGCTCCTCAGGAAAGTGCGGAACAGAAGAGGCAAGCAAGTTTCATCCATTTTCACGATCACATCCATAGCAGGAAAAAACTCCCGCTACAAGAGTGAACAATATCGTCTCAGACTTTCATGCCACAGGCGCGGTAGGCAGTGACTACCCCAAAAACATACAGTCAGTTTGGCTCATCGTGATCTTCGAGCGAGTGAATCAATCGCATGTCCATCAATCAGCACAGACATCGCATTCCTTGCCCGCGCTGCCATGCTCCACCCACCACCACCGCAGAAAGGAGCAACCATCCTGGCGGCTGAACACTGCCACCGGAGCGGAGAACCAGCGGCCGAAGCAGTCGACGGGCCCAGGGGGCGTTCCAGGGTCTCCTTGCCCTAGGCGGTCGACCGCCCCGCCCGCCCTCGGCCGGTCAAGGGACACCACCACAAGGTCGGGCCCGGCTATCGCCGCCTCTAGCTGAGCTCGCCTCCTATTGGCGATCAATTTTTCGTGTTCGGTATTGTCGTCGTTCAAACCATATTCTGCTGCCTTCCGTGCGAAGAAAGTTGTCCAAGGTTTCTTCCTCTCTTCGTGCCATCTCTTCTGTGCGTAGGGAACGTTTCGTGTCGGCCTCTCTCGACCGAGATATTGTCGACTTTCTGGTGGAGAAAGATGGATACACTTTTGTCACCCTATTATCGTGCCGCCGCCGCTCGTCGTCCGGACGTTCTTGAGTAATGTTTTCACCTTTTTGTCCACCATGTCAAGTTAGTTGTCGTTCGTGTTGTTGTCGATGTATTGATGCGCGTACTCCTAGTACTGCTGTTGTTGACGATGCGCTGTTGCTGTTACTGTTGCTCCTGGTGGGGGGGGCGTTGGTGGTGCTGCTCTTTCGTTGATGTCGTTGATGATGATTATGCCGACCTTTGCGCTGTTGTTGTCGTCGTTGTTGTTCTCGATCTCCGGGCAACCCGTTTCAGCTCGGCGGGATTCAACACGGCAAGAGGCTTGACCGCGGAGTTCGGCACGAGGACGTCGCTCAACACCCAGGGCAACAACCAGGTACGAGCGCATGACACGAGTGCACGCGAATCAGAGGAGAATACTCCCCGTTCTAAAATATTCCTCCATGGAGTCGCACGCCCCGGATAGCAGGCAAAGCCGGAGAGCGCCTGGAACCCAGGCGCAGGAGAGAATTCCGTGGGCGATACTTCTGAAACCAATCCCTACTCGTTGTCTATGTCTGTCTGCGAAGAAAAACACGTTCAGAATAGCTCGTGAACCCGAGGCAGCAGAGAGAGTCACGATAGGTTTGTGCCATTCAGAATTCGTATGGGGACTCATGCAACTGTAGGGGTGCACGAGTTGCTTCTCAGTCTCCAATGGCAAACACTCGATGTTTCAGCCTGGAATGACACTGACACACAATGAACGTGACTTGACGGGCTAGATGAAACAAAAACTGATAGTTCAAATCGTCGTCGATATTCGAAACTTATGGGGTAACGGTTGCTGCTCATCTGAAAAACCGGACTCCGAAACGGTTCCGGGCTAGAATGTGATATCCATACCCATTGCATGACTTCAGTTCATTCGTTGCCACTCTTTGGATCAGCTCCGCCACGCTTCCGACACCCGCATGAAGGGAGGCCAGAGAAACGCATCCTGGGAGGATGTGGTGCGCTCCGCGCTGTTCGAAGACGACGACGACACCAAAGAAGCCGCATCGAAGCCGCCGACGCAACGTTCTTTTTCGTCCACGATCTCCGAATCACGCGCGCCCGGGTTTCTGCCGTGGTACGACGGCACCTCGCCCTATGACGACACAGAAGTGCAATCCTCCGAGCCCCCTTCGTACCCTTCCGGGGGGGGCGTGGAATCCACCCGCGGGGACTACCTTTCACCCCCCTCTACGGGGACGTCGCCACGGAACCCTTCTCTCGACTTCGGCACGGCCGACGATTGCTGGTCGGCATCATCTCAGCAGACCTCGTTTTCGCCGTGCGGGGCGCCTGGCCACCCGGGTGCCAGTACCGGTGCTTCGAGCTATCTGTATGACCCCAGAAACCTTTCCTGCCAGAGCAACGGCGCCGGTTGTGGCGGAGGGATCAGCAGTGCCGGCGGGGTCAGCCACGCCAGCCAGACCAGGAGGACGACGACGTACCCCTTCGGGTCTTTCGCCGAGGGCATGTAATCATTCCCTTTTCCATTCGTTTCGTTTCGCCAAGCCGGTGCAGGACATAGGCACGGGGGGGGGGAGGGGGTGACATCACTCACAACCCTTGGGTGGAACGGGCTCCGTGACGTCACCCACGAGCCCTGTGTGGAACGTCCCGTAGAAATTGATCAGTTGCGGGTCATTCGCCGAGGGTATGTGATGCGTCCGTTCGGTTCCCTTGGTCTAGCCAGTGAACGCGTGATGGAGGCACAGGCGTGAGGGTGACGTCACTCGCGAACCCTGTGTGTGGAACGTTCCGTTTGTGCTTTGATCATCTACGGGTTTTTCGCCAAGGGCGTGTGATGCTTCGCTCTTGGGGCTGTGGTGGAGGTACACAAGCGGCGGGGAGGAGCGTGATGTCACTCGCGAACTCCGTTTGAGGAACATTCCGGTGAGTTCGATTAGTTCCGGTGAGACAACCGCTTACCTAGGTGCTTCGCTTCGCTTCGACAAGCATCCGTGGTGGAGACACAGGCACGGGTTGGGGCGTGACGTAACTTGCGAACCCTGTGTGTGGAACGTTCCGGTGAGTTTGACTAGTTTCCGGTGAGACACCGCCTAGCTACTGTAGGTACGCCGGTTTGAATCGACATGCATCCGTGGTGGAGACACAGGCACCGGGGGGGGCGTGGAACGAGAGTCGTGAACCCTGCGTGAGGTGGTTCGTCGTCTTCGACCAGTGACGGACGGCGGTGGTTTGGTCGGGGGAACCTTCTTGGTCGGATTGGTTGATGGGAAACGTGCCAAGGTTTGGGCGCATTATTTGTAACCCGATGCACCAAACAACTCTTTCGGATGTTTTCCATATTTGATTTTGTTCGCAACGTACAGTATTGCAGAAATGAAGGCCCAAGGGGCCAGACCACGCCTTGCTACACCACACAATGCCACAAGTTTGATGGAATCGAAGCTGTTTGTGGTATACTTATAATTGGACTGATTCTGTGGAATATTTGATTGGATCGCTATTCCAGAGAAAGCCAGCAGGTCGCGGGGCATACCGCACACACACACGTTGAAGATGCAGGCCAGGCAACCGTCGAAGCCTGACTACGCGGAATGGGTTTTGGTATTTGGTATTGTACTCCGCATAGTGTCTCAACGGCTACTGGTATTTGGTATTGGTTTTATAGCTGTTTTTCCAAGTTGCTGGATGTGTCGGGGGCCCTCCTATCTGTCTCAGTTTGCGGTATTGTACGCGGAATGTATATAGTCTTCGTTCTCCGCGGCGCGGAATCCCGTGAATCCCGTGATTGTGTGTATTCGCAACGTCGGCTTTTGTGATGTCGATCCAAGAGATTGCCCTTTTTCGTTGTCCTCCATTGAGTCTGGCATGCAGTCATCTTCGAAGCGGCCAGTGTCGTTCTCGGAGGCTCACTGAGTCGTGGCAACGTAGACGCAGGGCTGGCGGGGAGGGGCTAGCCGAGAAGGCGGAAGAAAAAAGTAGGATACGTCTGGGCCAATAGCCTTGCTCCGTTGGCCTTATCGGAACACAGACCGGAATAGACTATTTAGAGTCGGCCATTCGCTGTGGTTTTCGCCAAGAGAATGAATTTTTCACGGAAGGTATCGCATTATTTCGTGGTTGTAGCATTGAGGGGTTTGTTGCTGGGAGGCACTACTGTACATACGGCGATTCGTTCTTGTCATGACTTGTTTGTACGTCTGTGTACCAGTCGGCCATTGCCCCGCAAGGTGACTTCGCATCCCCCTATAGCCTAGACTATTTGTTCCCCCTTCCCCATACAGTATGCCGAAGAACAAACAATCGTGAATCAGCGACATTCCTCCAAAAATTGAGAGTTGTGACAAGTTTCATCCAGGGTCAAGTGTATGGGGCGGGAAAAAAAAGTTGTAGAGTAATACCGCGATGGTGACGGGAGCGATATCCGACGAACGCACTCGTGGGTATCGCAGGGTTGTAGGGGAAACGGTGGATGAAGAGGAGATCGTTCGGCAAGACCGCGGGGGAGTTACAGAGTGTGGGTCATACCGTTGTGAAAATCGCCCACGCTATCGCGGGAGTGGGAACCCTCATATTTAGTTCGGTTAGGTTCTGGGACTGTAGTATGGTGCGGTTTCGTCCCTGCTCTCCGGGGTTCGATGAAAAAGAACGAGGGACAAACGATGCTAGTGAATCGTCCGACCAATAGGCTTGAAGTCGACGGTGAAACGAACACTGAAGCGCGTTGTCAGGGGTCCAGGTTGTGGACAAGTCGATATACCGGAGGGTACAGGGCTGACATTCATTCGGGTATCTTGGAGCAAAAACAAATGTGTTTGTTGCTGAGCGCTGGTCAAAAGGGTGGTCGGTAATTCTTCTGACATGTACTGTTTCGTTCTGAAGGCCGAGACCGCAGGAAAGGAGGAATTATGTTGTCGTTTTCATTTCACAACCACAACCACCACACGCCATGCAGGATTGATACTCTACCGGGGCATTTTCGCCCAGGGATGACAACACTCCCTCTGCCTAAATGAGACACCGATTCAAGCACAAAGAAATCGACAGTGAAGTGGCAGTGAAGGAACGTTATTCACAACAACATTGGATCGAACAAAAGAACTTGAGCACCGTTTGTGAGGGCCGTCAAGAACCCGAAAACTCTATTTATAGCGGCCATGTGAAATAACACAGGAGAAACCGAGAAACCCAGCCTCGGCTAAAATTAGAGGTTCTGACGTGACGTGCGGGGGCGATCTGTATCGAGGCATTCATCTCCCCTCTCTCGCTCTGTTCACCGGTCACTGTTAACTCACAAGGGGGTGGAAGTGTCCGATCCGTTTGTGTGTTTTTATCACTTTTACATCGGCGTTCACAGTATGTCCTCTTCAGCCCCCAATCTGTTGCCACACAGAAGGGTCCCTGCCCTACCCACCCCTCCTGTGGGGCTTGCCTCCGATTTTGCGATCCATGCTTCATAAAAACACCTATCTCTTTTTTTATAATATGCTGTTTTTTTGCTGCGGGTCCGCACCCGCTCTCTAAAACCGATGTCGCTTTCTGAGGGCTCTTGACACAAACAACCCGATTGGTACACGCTAAAACACCTGTAACACCACCACAAGAAATCAGAAAATCGCCAAAAACCCTTGAAAGAAATCGCGTCCGTGACGAAAAGCCGTCCTTCGCTTCAAATTTGCGACCTGAGATGTAAAAACTATGCCGGAAAACGGTGTTGAGTGCGCAAAGATTCCACGGTACGAAAATGGAAACCCGAGACAGCTTTACGGAAGTGGTTCCAATCGACCTCCCGACAACGAAAAAAACATGTACAACGACGTCTTCGGAATGCAGAAAAAATACCGGCAGAACAAGGACGACCGAAAACACACACCGACCGTGTACGCACAAAAACACGAATCGCACAGACATTGTTTTTCAATCCAAGTACTGCAACAGGGTCATGGCCTTCCGCCACTGCCCCGCGGCGTCCTTCTCGTCGGACATTTTCTTGGACCTTTCCTGGGAACGTTCTTCCGTCTCCCGTTCCGATCTCCGCCGTCGTGAACCGTTCTCAGCGTCACTTCTACGCATGAGCCCAGTGCCGGACGGCCCAGCCTCCCGCGAACGTTGTTCGTTGTCTCCCGAAGATGCTTCTCCTCGCTTCTTTTTCTTGGCGACCGGCTTCTTCCGCTGCCGGAAGCGCTCCTGCACACGAAGAGAATCAGCCAAGCCAGATACCGCTCGGCAGTCAAGAACCGATCATTTTTTCGCCGATGCTGAGGTTCTCAGTTGGCCGCAAATGGCCAAAAATATACTTCGTAGATCCTAGTTTGGGGGATCTTGAAACGGGGCTAGCAATGGTGCTCGGTTTCCGCACTTAGCGGAGAGATGGCAACCCCGTGTTAAGCGCTTTCTATGGCATATTTCTCCATAACCAGGAGGGTGTGAAAACCAACCGATACCTCTGAGGAAAGCCCTCGACGAGATGTTTCCAAAACTACAATACCCTTTTCGGCAGGGGTACCCCCCTCCCTGGTTGTGGAGAAATACGCCACAAAAAAACGCGAACCCGGGGGTGCCATCTTTCCGCCAAATACGTTTCTTTGATGTAAGATGTTGTACATGACTGCTTAACCTACAAGGGTTCAAGTGCACGGCGTAAAACAGTGGGGGGGGGGCTCAGTAGTACCGCAAGAGGCGGAGAGATGGCATCCCCGCTGGGCCGATTTATCAACCCTCGATCGCCATTCTATAGGCCCCAGTTCAGGGCTTCTTGAAACCGGGCTAGCAATGGTGCTGGGCCTCTTTGCCGCAATGACGTTGAACATGACTTTTTAACCTACAGGGGTTCAAGTGGAGGGCGTAATCTGTAATAGTAGGAGCGCTCAGTAGAGCCGGTCTGGACCAGATCAGAATAACGGCACCATTCAGAGGGACCGGCACTATTCAAAGTCCTGAACTACCTCATGATTCAGTGTGTGCCCACCCAAACCATCCGCAACGTTCAACCGGCACTACTGAGGGCCCTTGTCCGCAGTCGCGCGGGAGGGTGAAAGCCCAACCTTGCATTTTCAAGAGTAACAGGTGTCGCACCGACAACATGATGCTTCCCCGCATACATCGGCCGTCTTTCAACATCTCAATCAAATTCCGAGCCGGCACGCGGTTGGTGACTACTTTGGGGGGGGGGGGGGGGGGGGGGAAAAACGAAGCCAAAACGGGGGGGGGGGGGGGGGGGAAAAAAAGGGGGGAACCCCAAAAACGGGAACCCCCAACGGCCCAAAACCCCGGGGGAAAAAATTTTGGGGAATGGACCCGGAAATTTTTAAAGGGAGGGGGGGGGGGTTGGGGGGGGAAAACCCCCCAAAAGGGGCCCCGAAAAAAAAAACAAAAGCCCAAAGGGTCCCACCGGGGGGTTTGGGCTGTTTTCAAAAACAAAAAAAAAAAAAAAGGGGGGCCGGGCCCCCGCAAAAAAAAAAAAAAATTCCGGGTTGGGGGCCCCCCCAAATTTTTTCCAAAAAGGGGGCCCATCCTTTAAAAAAGGGGGAAATTTACCCAGGGGGAAAAAAAAA